ATGATCTTTCCTAAAAGCAGTATTCGCGCTTGCAACAAACTCATTTGCATGTTAATAATACATTGGGTCATATCACTACATTGAGTAGGCCCCTAAAGCCACGGGTTAGAATTGGTTAGAATAGGTCTTCAGCAACCCATGCTTGTCGTTAGAGACGACTTTGCTTGTCGTAAGAGACGACTTTGCTTGTCCTAAGAGATGACTAACGGGATCGGGTGGTCAGGCTCGGTGACTTGGTTGATACATGTCATCGTATTCCTATTGCGGAGATCGATGCTCGCGATGAAGGTCACTGGACTGTCTGGCCAGACTCGTTTATTTTACAGATCGCTGAAATATTCTTAGTGCGGCGTGAAACACCAACAAATAAAAACAACAACAACTACATTGCTTAATTCGTGATGAACAGAATACTATGTAATCCTAGGAGGGACATTGTCGCATTGTCGCCCAACAAAAACAAGCAAAAAGTGTCAAAATTAACAAAAAACGCGACATCCCTTCTTGGATTCGAAAATACTTTTTCAAGGCTAAATACCTTGGCACGCTCCCTGTTCTCTCGACATAGCTGTTATAAACACGTGCACAGTTTCTTCAGTAACGCTAAGTAGTGAATGATGATGATCACCCCATAAACAACATGTCCAGCTGTGCCACGTGGTATGGACCAAGTCGTCGAGTCTGGGCCATGCATCGATCCATGCCGTCGGGGCACAATGACACACACCGTCAGACAGGTCAAACACTTAAATATAAAACCATCAGGGTGCCGCTGTTGAAAACAAACTTAGCTCTACGACGGTCGTAAGTCTATGTTAAGGTATGGGAGTTACGATCACCTTAGCGCTAAGTTCGCATTGTACAACGACACCCTGATCTCTACTTTAAGGCCATCCTATCTACATTCATTTCGGCTTCTTCGACAAGATTATAAGATGCCTAAGATCTTTTCCACACGCCATAAAGGAATGAGTGGGTGAGTTAAAAAGATTCATCGCACCGGCAATATTACAGCCATTTAGCGATGAACACAAGATATTTTTTTTTAAATATCTGTCGACAAAACGCAGTAAAACAGTAAGGTATATCACAGTTTAAGATACAACAAACGTGACCAAAATTAAAAATACATAGATATACAATAGATTAGTCTTCTCAACAAGGTTATAGACCACCAATAAGTTTGACCACCTTATTGAAGATGATGGAGCTTACAGCACCTATGCGCACTGTATGACTCACCAGGAGGAGTTTACACTACGAGTCACTTCTTATCTCCAACACACCATTTGTCCATCTCCCGTGGCCGTTATACTGGTGGAGATGGTATCCGCGTGTGCCGTCACGGCTGGCAGATGCATGTAGCCCGCAGATACTATCGCCATACTCCCGATGGCTGGACATGAGCCCCACGGGGGATTAAACCTCTCTGTGGCTATATTGTAGCACTAAAACACTCGCACCGCTATCTACTGTTATTATCACGTATCAGCGACTGTTATTATCACAGAAATATACGGATATTTCATTACCATTGTTGTATAGTCAACAATGCGTAGATGGTCCCATTAATGCAAACAGCTGAAACTGGTATGCAACACCTTTGTTGCTGATGATATATATATAAGGGACGACCAGAAGATGAAGTGTTGGGCTGTTTCATTATACGGAAGCTAGTATCTGCCATGGTTAAATATTTCTTTCAAGCATTTCCTCGCAATAGTACCGTGTTCCCTCGCAATAATTTCGTGTTCCCTCGTTATAGTATCACGTGCTCTCGAAATAATTTCCTGTTCCCTATCTATAGTGCCGTATTCTCTCGCAATAATCTCACGTTCCCTCGAAATAGTACTGCGTTCCTTCGCAATGATTTCCCGTTCCTTCGTTTAACTATTGCGTTCGCTCGCTGTACTAGTTCGTTCCCTCGCAATAAGATCGATGCTCGTGATGTCAATCACTGGATGGTCTGGTCCAGACTCGATTATTTACAGACCGCCGTCTCATAGCTGGAATATTGAAGAATGCGGCGTTAAACAACAACCAACCAACCAACCAACCCTCGCAATAATATCTTGGCGCACCATGTGGATCAGACAAAAAATATGCGTTTTTGTCCTTTTTGCCCCACATTTATTGAAAACGAATACCATTTTTTGGTTATCTGTCCATGTTATGAATCGCTAAGAACAAAATATTTCCAAGGTTTACCCCAAAACATCAATACACTAATCAAGCTCCTCCGTTTTGATGAAATATCTAACGAGCAACAAAAGAATACTATCCTATACATTAATTATGGTTTACGACTTCGCAACCGTCTTTGTACAAATGATGTTTAATTATTCTTTAGGTTATTTGCCTTCATTAATCAAATGCTTTTATCTCTTCTTGTTGTGTTGTGTTGCGACTTATTTTTCACAAAATTGTACACGTGCACATCTCTGTGCATATAAGTCTGCATGTTTATACTTCTACATGTACAAAATTGTATATATATAATGTTACTGTATGTATATGGGCCTATGGCCAGAATACAATAAATGATGATGATGATGACAAAGGCCCTCCTTCAAGTTTCGGAGTGTCACTTTGTATTCGTGTTTTATTTTCATAAATGTTCCTAATGTTCAATAACGACGCCTGACGTCTTAGCAATTTGACAAAAAATGTCCACTCTTTCGGCGCCAATGATTCGATGCTTCAATATTGTTTAGGGCAAATGTGTGAGTGTGAATAGGTCTGTTCAATAAATTAAGTAAACATGAACAGCATAATGCAGAAGACAGTGTGTAACATTTTATATGCTCGAGTCTCGAGTATGTGGCAGTATTGTTGATAATTTCGATTGTGAGAAGACGTGTGACTACAGATCTTTGATTAACATCTTCAACGTCATTAATTTGTTTTATGGATGTTAAATGCTTTATGAACGTCATATCAAATGATATTCGAACACGTTTGTACATGTTTCTATTTCAGCAATATTGCCATTCACTTAATTCCTACCTTTCATTCAGGTTTGTTTCTGTATTTGGCGCAGAAGGAGTCCATCACGAAGACGTGACAAAGTAGATTGGTACCAAGAAAAGAGCCGTCCATCAAAATAATACCATGATGGAAGTCCACATTATTTCTATAATGATTTATCATTGTCGTGTATATGAGATAAAATAAAAGGATTACAACTATGAAACATCTAGCTTATTTACACCATTACTGTTTAATGGAATAACACCACATCAACATTTTACATTGAACAAAACTATTTGTCCAACATCTTTGTGTTTGATGTACATTGGATTCCATACATATCATTAAGCAAAGAAAACATTCTTCGGTAAGTAGAACGAAGACGAGTGTTCATCACTTGGTGGGTGAGGTGAGGTGAGGTTAGGTGAAATTGAGTTTAACGTTGCATCCAAGATTATTGCACTTATACAGCGACTAGCATGCACTTGTGTGTGTGTGTGTGTGTGTGTGTGTGTGTGTTGGGGGGGGGGGGGGGGGGGGGGTGCTGCTTGTCTGATGCCGATTTATAGTGCTGGCCCACTGAGATACCATGCCGCAGTCCTTGTTTTAACCACTTAATGCCAAGCGCCAGACAGGGTAACAACAAGTACCATCTTTTAACGTCTTTTGGTATGACGCGGCCGGGGTTCGAAACCCCGACCTTCCGCTCTCCGGGCGGACGCTCTACCTCTAGACCACGGAGGCGGTCTAGTACGTCATAAAACAGGGTAGATGAAAACATTGACATGTATGTCATGAAAAGGATCAAGTTTTCATCCATTTCGGTAATATTGGAAAAGGGGTAAAATCATACACAATCAACTTTAATCCTACATGATAACCTCAAGACATCCATATCCCCCAAAGCAAAATAAAACACTATCAAATACCACATGACACTCCTTGGTGGCATTGCTACAATCAAGTCGATGTATTTTCTGCTATATAGTTCATAACCATTCTCAGATAATATAAAATATACAAAGTACATATGAATTTCGCGATAGACCACTGAATGCCTTATTGACATACGCATGATCTTATCATGCTTCCTGCAAAATAAAACATATTACATTATCAGCAACATATATATTTTACGATATGTTACAAATACACTCGATAAATATTTATAACACCAATGTGTTTACTGCTTAGTGTTTATTCAAAGCGTCTTCGCACTGTCTTGTATCCCTAGTTAACATCGTAGAATTGAGAATGGACCATGACACTAGGGCAAACTGTCTCCAAAGTTATTCGATAGTAAAAAAGTAAATAGATCTGTGCGTCATGTCCTTGTGTAGATAAATTAACATTGTCGTATTCGAAGCAGCTCCTGTTCTTGATCCATATGAAGCGATAATTCATAAAGTTACCGAAGGTTATAAACTGCTGGGGGAAAAATAGTATTCACTAAAAAATGGGATTCGACCAAACAAGTACAAACGTTATCGTAACGCTAACAGACTCACCTGTAGTGAGATACTCATTGATATGATGCATGTAATATCACCTTTGATACCCGTTTCAAATACATCACCATGGAATAACCATTTCTTGTTTGTTTCATGTTTAGTCACCATCAAACATGGGTGTATAATTCCTTTAGCCCGGCAGTTAAGTAAAGCGAGGGAACGCGAAATCAAAACGACATGATTACTGCAAGGTCTCGCGGTACTATAGCGAGGGAACCTTATAACAACATAATGTTACCATGGCAGATAGGAGCTTCCGTACATTTTCGTGATTTCGATCGTCAGTCTCATAATTAACCAAAGTAGGATATTCCAACATTTTGATTACATGTCAATCTGATTGTAATGGGTTGTAGGATCCAGGATTATAAAATTTCCGTGGATATATTAGTAAGATAACGGATTTGTTTGAAAATTCGTGAAATTGTATGGGTCTGATAATATCAATGTGTCACGGTAAATGACTACTTTCATGCTAGGAGTATTTAAAAGTGGACGTTGGAGCACATCAGCACATCATCACATTGAAGCTGACCTTCCGGTAAGTGTGCATTATATTCCTTATGGTAAATCTCATATGGTAAAAATAGGATATAAATGTAGGTTTGAACGTGACCATTCCTTGTTTCCTTCATTCCTAGGACCCATCAAACAAGAGTGTTTACTTTCTTTTGGTGATTCTTTAACTTTCTAAGTATAGTTTTCAAGTATTTTAAGTGATTCATTCTGAATTAGATTTCCCGTTTCAGATGTAACCTGTCTAGTGAGTGAGTGAGTGAATGAGTTTCGTTTAAGGCTGTATACCAGTTATATTATGACGTGTCACCTTGATGCGTGAGGAAAGCTGGAGTAATGCAAGTCTTAAGTCTTTACCACGGGCATGGTGCTGACAAACCTTGAACCCTAAACTGGACGAAAGGGGATTCGAAGCACGATCATAGGTGTCCGCCATGCCTAAGGTACGCAGTTTTGCACATCGAATTGCAATGCCTTCGACGATCGTCTATGCTAGAGTATATGGCATATAACAGTATCAGTAGCGTAAACCCCAGTGCTCGGAGTAGATAATCCCTTACTGAATTAATGTAATGCTGTACGGATCAGTCGAAATTGAAAGTGGTTGTGATGTCACCAATTGTAGGTTTGTAGGTTTCATCAGTTAAGCCAATGTGCCTGTATGTATACCGTGAAACCTCTAATAAAGGCGGCACTGTTTGTAGAACAATCGTGAAGATTATCAGATAAACGAATTATGAGTAATATATGATTGTATACACACCTGTATTCCAAATATTAGTCAACAAGAAGGCGGGATAGCTGCATTAACAGGTTTCGGTCTGAACAAGTTTGCAAAAACTACTGAAAAGAAGTTAAAGAACACCCATTTTTTTCATGAGACTAAAGTTTATTTGTCACCTTAAACTTCTTTTGAGTAGTATGTTTATGAAGTTTACTTTTTTGTCATAAATATGAATAACTGATAAATATTGATTAACGTTTCTTTTCAGAAAATATTAGAGACAATGCAGGCTCTCATCTTAGCTGTCATTGCAGGTAGGTGTCAAAACATTTTTGTCAAACAAAAATAATATATAGTTCATTAATTTATCGGAACATTTTGCTTTATGACCAATCAACGTCAATCTATATATTCATGATGAGATATATATTTTCCCATGTATATGCATATTCTTTGTAGAGGTAACTGAAATATTCAATCCTTCGTCGGGTTGCGAAGAAACTCATTACGCTATGAGATTCATTTAGCTGCACAATACGCTTCAGGGCTTCGTTCCACAAAGTGATCTTGCAAACACGATTGTGGCAAGTCTGTGTTAAAGTATGGGAGTTACGATCATCTCAGCGCTGACATCACTTTGTGGAACTGGGCCCACGTCTTGTTTTATCAGCGTAGGCCAGTAACATGAACAAATGACATACTAGTAGGTTGGTATAATATTACTTATACTTATACTGAACAAAAGAGGTTAGCGTTAGCGAATGGTTTTTTTATTTGTTTTATTGAAGACTGGGCACAATTATATAAATATATCCCTCAAAATATTCATGACCCCAAACCATTTTTGTTCTGTATATAAGTATGAACTAGCTAGCTAACTATCTGCATCGTGCGTGGAATTACTTCAGATAAGTCTTCACGCAAGTATTCGGGTTACCGTGCTCATGACTGAACATGTCATCCCGAAAATCCAAATGTATCAGTATTTCAGTTGTATCTCAGTTGTGTCACATGACACTCCTTGGGGGCATTGCTCAATTCAAGACGATGTATTTTCTGCTATATAGTTCATAACCATTCTCAGAGAATATTAAATATACAAAGTACATAATTATGAATTTCGCGATAGACAACTGCATGCCCTTTTGACATACGCATGATCTATTCTTGGGCGTGTACATGCCTTCCTGCAAAACAAAACATATTACAATATCAGCTACATATATATTTCACGATATGTTACAAATACACCCAATAAATATTTTATTTTTTAAAACACCAATGTGTTTACTGCTTAGTGTTAATTCAAAGCGTCTACGCACTGTCTTATATGTTGTATTAGAAAGTTTCCAAAGGATTGTCGAGTTTCTGAAACTTGTATCCCCAGTTAACATCGTAGAATTGAGAATGGCCCATGACACTAGGGCAAACTGTCTCAAACGTTAATCGATAGTTAAAAGGTAAATAGATCTGTGCGTCAGTGTATCAGTATTTCAGTTATATCTCGGCGTGTCAGATTAGTTTTGGAGTCAATCAAAACCAAAGTAAGTGTGAGACGTAGGTTTAGCACTTTGCCACAGCAGGTATGAAGCTAAAAGACCAAGGATAGTTTCCTGGCTTATCTTGGATTCGAACCAACTACCAGCGGATCCTGACAACTAAGGGACGCAATAATTGCGACATTGTTAGATATAGACATGATTACATAACGCTTGTAAAGGGAATCATTTAAGGTGGTGAATGCTACTGTAAATAGTATGTTAAAATTTATATCGGTATTAAATTAGTTGGGTTTGTTGCTTTCTAAAATGTTCAACCCAAAGGAAGAAACTCTCTTTGGTGTTTCATGTATGGAAATCTGTTTGTGTACATGATATGTTTGCCTAAATCTGAAACATAAATCTGTGCCTGTATACTTCATTCCGTTTTATCATTTACAGCTTTGTGTCACGTGACGCACGTGGATGCTGCGCAGGTGCTAGACGCTAACATCCGCTTCCGTTACTCACTACACCGTAACGGGCGTCAGGCATATCGTCATCCCACACTTGCCAGCCTCCTTGGTCTTCCCAGAGATGTCACATTAGAGGTCGTCGACACCATCACCACCGTCCATGGCGCGCAAAGACGTCGTTACCGAGAGTTGTACAAGGGCATGCCTGTCATAGGGTCGAGTATTGAAGCCGACGTTGACGACAACGGCCGATACGACGGTGGCGCCGTGACGGGGACACTGATTCTGTCTATGACCAACGACATCCCCAACCCTGGGCTGTGTCAGTTGACGGAACAGGAAGCACAGGACATCCTCCTTCAAGGGGAAGGACTAGCCTTAGATATACACATTCTACGTAAGGAAATTGTCAAAAAGATATTTGTGGACAACGCCAAGAAAGCTCATCTTGTGTTCGCTACGGACATACTTGTTGAGCTCCCGGAAAAGGAGTCAAGACCATACTACCTCATTGATCGTTGCGACGGTTCGGTTCTCAAGAAGTCAAAGAAGATGAGTACGATGTTCAATCCCCGAGAAGTACCTGTGACAAGTACTCAAGACTGGGGGACGGGGGAAACGACTCTGGATTGGGGAACAGGGGAAACAACTCTGGACTGGGGAACAGGGGGAACAACTCTGGACTGGGGGACTGGGGAAACAACTCTGGACTGGGGAACTGGAAGTACAGATAATTGGTTCAGCCCTTCTCCAAGTGACAATACCAACAAAGTGTCTCCCGTCTCCAGCACTGACACCGTATCTTCCCCTACTACACCGAGCCAAAAAGTCACCACAGCTCCAGTAACATCCAAACCTGACGGTCAGTGTGCAACCTTTGTGAAGGGGACCGGTGGTAACCCAAAGACAGGAGCCATCGTATACAGCACACCCCCCTACTGTCTCGACGTGAGGGTGGAAGGAGACATGTGCTTCCTTGAAAATAAATATGTCAAAGTCGTTGATCTGAAACAGACAAAAAACGAAGAGAAGACTGAGGTTGTTAGCTTCAAATGCTCAGACGGGTACAACGACGCCATCAACGAAGCCACCAACCCCGTCCTCGACGCCCTCTTCTACGGCACAGCTACTTTCAAAATGTTTGAAGACTGGTATAACACTAAACCCCTGAACATTCAGCCGTTCCTCCTTGTTCATTACGGTAACATGATTGATAACGCTTTCTGGAACGGACAGAAGATGCTGTTTGGGGATGGAAGCCAAGACCAGACATATCCCCTGGTAGGACTTGATGTCATAGGTCACGAGCTGGCACATGGGGTTACTGAGCAGAACTCTGGACTTGAGTACTCTGGACAGTCGGGCGGGATTGATGAAGCCTTCGCTGACATTGCAGGAGAAGTTGTTGAGGCGTATGTTCGTAAAACAGACTGGCTAGTCGGTTTCGATCTATCAAAGTCAAAGACTGAAGCGCTTAGATATTTTAAAGACCCAACCAGGGATGGAAGCTCAATAAAAGATGCCAAAAACTTTGAAAGCGACATGGACGTCCACTTTAGTAGTGGCGTCTTCAATCACGCCTTCTACCAGATCGTCGAAGTCGGGAAGATCCCGATTAAATACGCGTTTGAGGGATTCCTTATCGCTAACAAGGTTTACTGGAAGGAGGACACGGGGTTCGTCGATGGCGCATGTTCCACTATCCGGGGCGCTTACGATGCTGGCTTGGACACGGAGATATACGCAGCAGCCTTCACAGCTGTAGGGGTCAATGCTTGTCCTTTGACCAAATTTCTTCAGTTGCTAGCCCCCTCGAAACAGCGCTCCAACATCCGGGTATCCAGCATCCGACAACCACTGTTTGGGATCAAGACCATAGACACAACCAAGAAGATCGTCGTGGAGGCTGTTAGTGTGTCTGGAGCGGCTGTGAAGCTGGCGTTGTCGAGGACGGTGTCTCGAAGTAACCCTGCTGCTTCAGGGACTGGGAGGGTGGAGCTGACGGTGTCGGGAATAGCTTTGTACTACGTCCGCGTCTTCACCGACTCCGTCGACGAGATCAGTGACGTCAAGATCACTTTGAAATTGGAATAGATAACAATGAATGTCGGGTGGAGATAAATCTGAATCCACTGGCGTCAGAATGTGTTGTACATTAATCACTCGCTAATACATGTTAATATCAATCACTGTCTCTTGTTTTCTGTTAGACTTTAATTCCCAATAACAAAAGCAACAAAATGGACGTTCTCAACAACCGTGGCACGTCGTGAAACTATGATAAAGAACTATTTAGTATTCTTTTATGCCGCTATTAGCAGTATCTCTGCTATATCACGGCAGTAGATTCAATGAATGTGAGAAGGAAATTAATACATGCAAACATGAACATTACTGTAATTAATGGCAAATCAAATTAAAATTACCAGAAAATCTTTGCAACCAGACAATAAACTTTCAATATGTGACCACATCTTCATTATTGCAAATGCAAACCGCCTTTAGCAATATTCTAGCAATATCAAGGCGGGGGACACCAGAAATAGGCTTCACAGACTGAATCCATGTGGAGAATCGAACCTGAGTCTTCGGCGTGACGAGCGAACGCTTTAACCACTAGGCTACCCCACTGCCCTTCTATTCTGTATTGAGGGCTGTTATGAGGGTCTTGATCGTCATGTTATCCTGTTGGATAAAGATAATCCGGAAAGCATCGGTTCATATAAATGTTCACTATTTCCGATATTGGCGCAGTGTGCACATACACTATTCTAGGCGTTTGATTGGCTCATTGTGGACCCTGACCTTTACGGGACTACTTTCGCTGACAGTCAGCAGTATGCCAGTGACATCATCGCTACATTTAAATACAGTGTGGATCAGACAAACCAATGATTTGCTTGTGTATATATCTATATATGAGCGTTTGAGTTATTTTGTATGCCGCTCTTAGAAGTATCCAGTCAAATGGCGGTGATTGTGAACGACAGTACAACGCTAGCTGTCGAGGCACGATGACCGACATTCAACCAAGTCGCCTCTTTCATCAAGCTTAGGCTGCTGGAGACACGAATTAGAAATAACACCATTTCTAGCTAATTATCTGCACTCTCGTCTTGGCATCATCCTAACTGACTGTACTGTGAGACCTGGTTTAAACTGATGGTGCCGTCCCCCTAAATCTAGTTTGACCTTTGCCCATGTTACAGAATAGTTGTAACTAAGTAATATTCTCTATATATGAGGGCCTGGATTTTTTGTTTGAAACAGTTGGTTTGGTTGTTTGATGTTTAACACCGCACTCAGCAAAATTCCATCCATCATGACGGCGGTCTGTTAATAATCGAGTCTGGACCAGAGAATCCAGTTATTGATATCATGAGTAATTGGGATACGATGACATGCATCAACCAAGTCACTGAGCCTGACCACCCGATCCCGTTAGTAGCGCCTTGCGACAACCATGGGTTGCTGATGACCAATTCTAACCCGGATTTATACGGGTAAGTGGTTTTGTGCCACGAAAAGCTTGACTCCAACCAACACACCCTTCAAGCTTCCAGACGATTCAAGACATCCTGAGTCATATTTTTTTCAAATTAATTGATCAATGCAAATTTTCCACGATGTTTAAATTTCGGTTTCAGGTACAGCTTGCTCTCCATATGTTTAACATAATGTTTATATTGAGAATTGTCAAATATTTGGCACAGATCTTCAAAGCCTAGAATAGGTATTCTGTAACCCTCGCCTCACTACAATCCGTTGGAAGGACAGAATACCAGCATAGATTATTTGCTTAACTGTTACATCTTTTGATGGCGTACAATGCAGGTCGGCTAGGTTTACACCTAGACCCTGGAGGGAGCTTGTACAAGGGACGAAACTCCATTTGAAATTACCAATTGGTTCCACTATTCGTACGCTTCACAAGTTCAGCGCTTTCTGCCAGACAGGAGCACAGTCTAATTACCAGGCTGAATTACTTCCCTTTGACCAAAAACTTTACCCTTGGACTATAATCGATTGAATTGTCTCCCTTTGACCATGACAATAACTTTGCCCTTGATTGTAAACCTCGATCAGGTTGATCTATTTTTCATTTTCATTTTTATAAATACAAAACATAAAGAAACTATCTAGATCTAAACTTGTTTAGAAAGTTTGTCCCTTGGTCGTACATTATCCGGTTCCATTTTGACCGATATTTGTTTTCAAATTAAAGTGATTTTAGGAGTGATTTGAACTTGTGTTTTATGTTTCATGACTTGTAACAGGTCAATGATAAGAATGTTACAATATGACTTTATGGTGAAGGTTTCTTTTTTTCCACATGTGCTTTCCTTTTCGATCCTTTTCCACCAGACATACCGTTAAAATTGTCAAATATTTGGTTACCATCGTCAGAGCCTTGAGTAGGTATTCTGCAAAAATGAACCTGTTATTTTTTCATTTTTGTTTCTTTTTCCGCACGCCCACTCCCCCTCTGGGAACACATTGGAGATAAGAAATACAGAAATATATAAGGACTCCCCAACGTTTTCGTTCGTGCCAACCGTGAACGTATCGAAAAATTCCGCGGATTTTATTCACATTGCAAAACCTTTTAGGTGCCATTTCTACATCATTTGCACAAATCATATACTCATCTGTCGAAGTCACTATAATATGAAAAAGAAACACAATAACCTGCCAAAAAATGCTCTAGATTGTTTACAGTTAAGAAAAATAGATGGAATTTCCAAAACAATTCATGGAATCGGGGTGGACTAATTAGAAACATTATGAACTCTTGATAAAGGTAATAAATTACGTTCACCTAGAGTTATTACAAATAATTTATTTCAAAATACTTACTACTGTTATTTCTTTATTAAAAGCGTCTCCGAAAAGGACAATATTGATATAGATATAATTCTTCTTTGACTTGATGTGACGTTAAATAGTACCTCACTCACGCACTCTTTGACTTGACCATATGATCGACAGCAAGCAAACCGATCGCCTAGTAAAAGATATTAGGGTTGGGGGTTGTCGAATGGAAGGGAGACTCTTTGTTTAGTAGGGGTCGAAACATATATTTGGGGGCTCCAAACGTCAAGCCATTTACGCCAACTCGCTGACTATTAATAAATAGCTTGTATATGACATTTACAGTTGCGATGAGTTGTCTCCCTTTTGAACACCGAGATAGTCGATAAATACACCCATCCCTTAAATAGGCTCCTGTACACTCGTCTCGGAAAGTGTGCCAAACAGCGACGACTGTATAACTGCTCCAGGAATTTGTGCCGCTGAAGTGTGATACCCGTCTCTCGACCTGTCGGGGCGAGTGCTTTCTGTGTCCCACAATGTATTCCGGCTTTGGATGGAATATGGCTAAACCCCCAGGCTGCGTGGTGCTCACAATGATTTGTTTATTCGGTGGAGTGCATGCAGCAGGTCAGGTTGACCTGTGCGAGGATTCCAATTAACTCACTGCTCCGCTTTAGACAGATCTGATTTTATCCCCTTCTCCAATATAAGGTTTGCTCGACCCACATCGGTAGTGTTCAAAAGTATTGTAATATTCCATATTTATTATTTTCTCTTTTTGTTTCAAAAGTAGAATAGAAGTGAATTGAAATTAAATACTGTTCAAATGTCTCTTTTGTTTCATATAGGGGCAGAATTCTATTATAACCTGAAAGCAACGGACACACCCCAGATCATCACCTCGCCAGGATACCCCTTGAAATATGCGCCGTGAGTATGTAGGTCACCTAGATTCTACCACCAGATATATGCCAGTTCCTGAAGGTGATGCACTGTCAGGATAAAATGCCTACCGAAGTTCTCATAGCATTCATAGATCCCGTGACAGGGAATGTGGTGCAGGTTTTTCTGAAACACGTCACATGACAGGTCATATGACATTATAATGTCACAGGTCATGTGACATATAGACCTATGTAATGTGACAGGCATGCGTTCAGTAGGCCGAGGCGCTTTCTGAGCGCTTACTGAGCGCTCTCCGCGGGCGCTCGGGTGTTATCGAATGATCTTGCAACTACCGCCGGCGGAGGGCGCGGTTTTCAAAATGGCGTCGCAGACTGATTTTAGCAATATTGATGAACATTGTGTATGCGAAGTATTATTGTTTAGAATAAAGATACGATAAACGTACCGTTAGTTAGACAGACACCGATCAGACAACAAAACTCTATTGTATGGCATTATCGTGATATACGTCGACCCAACTCATGTAATCCTACCGAATTATTTAACATTGGAAAATCAAAATATGGACTAGATTGTGTTGATTCGCCGCAATCTGCGTGCAGCCAATTGTCAGTGACAATTGACACTGAATGAGATTTCTCAGTTCGCTGTACAAGTCACTAATTAGTGGTAGATGGGCTCGTTGGGGAAATTAAATTTTATATGATAATATATAGGAGATCGTGGAGTTTGTAACAGCTTGTTGCATCCGTTTGTTCGCTCTATCCGTGTTCGTTATATCCGTGTCGTACTGTATTTACAAACGTACTGGGGTAAATAAAATAAAGTCGAATGGGAACGTTAGGTGAATAAGAACTTCTGGTTCTGCATTGAAGCTGTCGAAGATGTAGATTTAAGAAGACAAATAAAATCTTACTTCTTAAAACTGCATTCCAGGTATTTTATTTACCAGTTATTTGGGTAAAACATATTGGTTTGATGTTTATATTCATATATATTTAATTTCAGTATATTCTGGACAGTTATTAAGGGGACTAAATTTAATACGTCGGGTTAGACATGTCACTATATTGCCAAAACGGCAAGAACAAAGTCTCATAAATCACAAAAAAATAATTACTTACCTATAGGGTTAGAAAAAAATAGAGTTACTAAAAGTCGTATGTGCACTGGTGCAATATCGTTCACGCGCACTAGTATATTTTAGTATGTCATCCGGAGGCATTGTTATCGTATTTCAAATTTTATTCTGACACTAGAAATGACGTCATAGCTGAAGACAGTTGACGTCATTTGACAATTGTAGTTTTCTAAGACGGCGGTCGTGATCAGTGCATTTCTCTAAAGGAAAGCTCAGATGGATTAGGAATTAATAGGTACCAAAGAAGTTATTATACTCGCATGTTTGTCAGACTGATTTTACAAAACTCGTCTAAGAATAAATGTATTACCCTCGCTCTCGTTCGGGAAAAACAATATTTCCTGGGATGTGTTTTTTAGTCAACACTTGGAGATTCCAGGTTATGTTGATTGACCAAAAGTAATCTAGGGATCGGTGCCTTGGTGGATTGTGTTTCATTGTACCCCGACGGCCATTCTTCACCACTTGCACCTTTCCGTAACCTGCTTGTTCCAGAGTTGGTCACGAATGCCCATGACGGCATGGGACGTTGTCCAAATCAACCACTGGTTAAGTTATCAGGGACAAAATCGATTATTTACAGGCCGCCCTGATATTGCTGGAATATTGTAGACTGCAGTAAAAAACAACAAATCGCAATGTTTTAGATTTATTTAATAGAAGATAGACACCTATGAAAATATCTCAATTTACGTTTCCAGTTTCGAAAAATGAAGGTTTATATCGCATAATAATACATGTCAAATGTTTACAAAAAGAAATCATGTGAGTGTTATTGGGACAAAACTGCAAATTCATACCAAAATTTATTAAACATGTATCTTGTTCACAAACAGACGTATGAAAAGGATTTTTTCTGTTCTGAAATTAACATGGGTTGCACGGGAAAATACTCAGTGCTGTGAGGGGCTTCAAAATGCAGCTAAAACAATTGGAATGTCCTGGTTTGAACAAGTGAAAAGTCTTCAAAATAAATGTATTTACTTATGTGGTGGTATCAAACTTCACCACTGAGTGCGTGTATGTCTAACAAGTTGTTCCATGTCGAAAATGTAATGTTCACAGGCCCCGCTTTGTCCAAGTCCGCCATCTTTGTCCCTCGGCGTGCCTACTCCTCAGTATGCGCGGAGGCACAAGAAAGCGCTCTCAGCGTGCGTTCCGTTCATTAGGAAATATTCGGAGGTGTTCGCTAGCGCTCGCGGGCGCCTCGGCAACAAACGGCTTATTGAATGCACGCCAGGTCATGTGACAATGGGACACAGGTCATGTGACAGATAATATGACAGTTTGTGTGGCATAGGTCATGTGACAGGGGTAATGTAACATAGGTCATGTGACATGATAATGTTACATAGTTTCTGTGGGGACACGGTGGCCCAGTCATCTGAGGCGCTGCAATTCACTGTGTGTTCCACTGTGTGTTGTCCACCTCTAGCACACCAGAAACCTCATAATGGTCATAGGTCAAATTCCGGTTCGCCCTGATTATGTTTCTAGGTTTGACAGCACCATACCCGTGTGGGTTTCATGGGTAAATAGGTAAATCGGTACAAGTCATGTGACATAGATAATGTGGTAAAGGTCATGTGACAGATACTATGACATAGGTAAATTGGTACAAGTCATGTGACATAGGTAATTTGGTACAGGTCATGTGACAGATAATGTGACATAGGTAAATCGGTACAAGTCATGTGACATAGATTATGTGGTAAAGGTCATGTGACAGATAATATGACATAGGTAAATCGGTACAAGTCATGTGACATAGATAGATAATGTGACATAGATAATTTGGTACAGGTCATGTGACAAATAATGTGACATGTAGGTAAATCGGTACAAGTCATGTGACATAGATAATGTGAGATAGTTATTGTGGTACAGGTCATGTGACAGATAATGTGACATAGGTAAATCGGTACCAGTCATGTGACATAGATAATGTGAGATAATTATTGTGGTACAGGTCATGTGACAGATAATGTGACATGTAGGTAAATCGGTACAAGTCATGTGACATAGATAGATAATGTGGTACAGGTCATGTGACAGATAATGTGACATAGGTAAATCGGTACCAGTCATGTGACATAGATAGATAATGTGACATAGGTAATGTGGTACAGGTCATGTGACAAATAATGTGACATGTAGGTAAATCGGTACAAGTCATGTGACATGAAAGATAATGTGAGATAGTTATTGTGGTACAGGTCATGTGACAGATAATGTGACATAGGTAAATCGGTACCAGTCATGTGACATAGATAATGTGAGATAATTATTGTGGTACAGGTCATGTGACAGATAATGTGACATAGGTAAATCGGTACAAGTCATGTGACATAGATAGATAATGTGGTACAGGTCATGTGACAGATAATGTGACATAGGTAAATCGGTACAAGTCATGTGACATAGGTAATGTGGTACAAGTCATGTGACATAGATAATGTGGTACAGGTCATGTGACAAATAATGTGACATGTAGGTAAATCGGTACAAGTCATGTGACATAGGTTATGTGGTACAGGTCATGTGACAGATAATGTGACATAGGTAAATCGGTACCAGTCATGTGACATAGGTAATGTGGTACAAGTCATGTGACATAGATAATGTGGTACAGGTCATGTGACAAATAATGTGACATGTAGGTAAATCGGTACAAGTCATGTGACATAAGCAATGTGGTACAAGTCATGTGACATAGATAATGTGACATAGATAATGTGGTACAGGTCATGTGACAGATAATGTGACATAGGTAAATCGGTACAAGTCATGTGACATAAGCAATGTGGTACAGGTCATGTGACAGATAATGTGACATAGGTAAATCGGTACCAGTCATGTGACATAGATAATGTGAGATAATTATTGTGGTACAGGTCATGTGACAGATAATGTGACATAGGTAAATCGGTACAAGTCATGTGACATAGATAGATAATGTGGTACAGGTCATGTGACAGATAATGTGACATAGGTAAATCGGTACCAGTCATGTGACATAGGTAATGTGGTACAAGTCATGTGACATAGATAATGTGGTACAGGTCATGTGACAAATAATGTGACATGTAGGTAAATCGGTACAAGTCATGTGACATAGGTTATGTGGTACAGGTCATGTGACAGATAATGTGACATAGGTAAATCGGTACCAGTCATGTGACATAGGTAATGTGGTACAAGTCATGTGACATAGATAATGTGGTACAGGTCATGTGACAAATAATGTGACATGTAGGTAAATCGGTACAAGTCATGTGACATAAGCAATGTGGTACAAGTCATGTGACATAGATAATGTGACATAGATAATGTGGTACAGGTCATGTGACAGATAATGTGACATAGGTAAATCGGTACAAGTCATGTGACATAAGCAATGTGGTACAGGTCATGTGACAGATAATGTGACATAAGTCAATCGGTACCAGTCATGTGACATAGATAATGTGGTACAGGTCATGTGACAGATAATGTGACATAGGTAAATCGGTAGAAGTCATGTGACATAAATAGTGTGACATAGGTTATGTGGTACAGGTCATGTGACATAGGTAATGTGGTACAGGTCATGTGACATAGTTAATGTGGTACAGGTCATGTGGCATAGGTAATTGGTCATGTTTTCACCCTGATAATGATTGTTTAATGTTAGCTTGTCTAACTCACTCCTAACGCTTCAAAGCTTCATAATGGTACACATCACATATACATCCCCACTTTTTACATACATGCATGTACTGTTTTGTTTGTACGTGCATTTAGCATGTTTAGTTCCCACTTCATCGATCTTGGCGAGGCAACTCACTCACTCTGTGACATTTAGTTGTCAAATATGTGTCGCAAATGAAACGTTATGGGAAACTTGACATCATGGAAGGACATCGACATGTGGCATATAGCAGACCTTAACTTCTCACCACTGACATAATGAATACTGAACTTGTTAGGTTTGGAATTAATATTCCTTGACCTCATCACGAGACGCGTAAATAAACTGCCAAAAAACAAAAGCGAAAATAAGAACAAAGCCCCAAAATGATATGGACAGCATCCCTTGATCAAACAAGACATTACTTTTTTTCGCATTTAATTCACGCTCACGTTAATTTCAAGATTTATGGTATTTGAACCTAAAATTATTCTTTTCCGCCATGAATTAGACACTCTTCCATGATCCTGCATGTATCCAGGCAACCGCCTCTGAACGCTGACCCCTTCCTCCCCTACCCTGACCAAATATAGACTGGAAAACCCCTCCCACATGCAAAAACTGCACTCAACGCAATCACCATCCAGCAAAAATATGACAGGATGAATCTCAATAAATGATGTCTTATTTGACCAGAATTCAATTCTGTTAAACAGTGATGTTCAAATTAGTTTATATATTGGTTTTACTCAACATTTGTTACATTCCATCAGTGACGTTCAAATGTACATAGGACAAATATATGTTTAAAAAATAGTTATGTGTCCATCATTTGTGTGTTGGAATTTCTGAAAATAGCAAAGAATCTTTACTGAAAGCCAAGTTGGAGAGTACAGCTGAACACATGTTCAACCCATTGTATCATATACAGTGGCGGGATTGCCACAATTACCTGCCGCCGTACGTGGTCCTTCGTTATATTTTTTAAAAGTCTATAGGACTTATGGGTAACTGAATATAAAGTACATGCATTTCTATTTTTTTAATCAATTGTTTATGACATGTCATATTTGATCTACAAGTTCTTTTAATTCCCGACATGTTGTTAGTTGTTCATTTGTTTTGTTTTTGAATCCTGAAATGGATGACATTTGTTAGGAAGTTTGCATCTTCCCGAGGCAAGAGAGTTAAGTGACTATAAAAGTCCAGTTTCCACCCTTGCCGAACTAGGCTGGTATTAACGAGTTACATTTTGGCTGGACTAACGAGTCTTTGCATAGTCCAATCAAAATCGCGCAACGAAATCGAAATTCGGTTCGTAAACTGTCGTGCAGATTTCGGTCGATTGAAGGATTTGCAATGCATGTGCACCGCCAACTCACTCTTGTGATAAAACTCCATATACACATTCGTTGTGTGCAGCAAACATATATGATAACACATTGTACCCATGTTGGAAATCCAACCCGGGGCTTCGATGTGACAAACGAACGCTTTAACCACTAGGCTACCCCACTGAACCAACACATATAGTAAAAGCACTGTAAGTACAGGTTGTCACCAAGAAGTATTGCAAGAGTTGAGGATAACATGAAATACGTATAAAAAAAATTCAGGTGTAAAAGACAAACATGTCCTGTACATGATCATGGAGGTTTGGACCGCCTCCGTGGTCTAGTGGTAGAGCGTCCGCCCAGAGAGCGGAAGGTTTGGGGTTCGATCCCCGGTCGAGACATACTAAAAGACGTTAAAAGATGGTGCTTGTTGTTACCCTGTCTGGCGCTCGGCATCAAGGGGCTAAAACAAGGACTGGTCGGCTCGGAGTCAGTATACTGTGTTTGAGTGGGGTATTCATGTTAAACTGCGGCTTGGTATCTCTAGCACTATATATCGGCATCAGTCCGGACAAGTACAAGCAGCCACACTCACACACACTTGTAAAGAAAAGGGTACTATTGTAAGGGACTTTTTTGTCCCACAAGATATGCTCAATGTATGAAATGAAGAAAACCGTTTCAAATCAGTATGAGAATTTCAACTATTTCATGTTTGGGGTATATAATAAAACTAAATGCATAGGTAAGCCTAAAAGATGTCAAAAAGGCTGATTTAATTAGTTTTCAGGTAAAGTTTTTCTAACGAGCAGGTTTTTGAACCCAGCTGATTTTCTTACATGTAAAATCAGTACAAACATATGGTCACAGGCATGTACATGATCATCGGAGACTTTTCTCTTGATATTAAAAAATAAATTTACCCATATTTATAGTATTGATGATGTCAGAAGCCCAAAGCCAAGGGGTCGATTTCGCTATATCCAAACTGCACCAGTGCAGGTAAAACATTGCTAGTGCAGATAAATGTTATTGCCATGTTTCACCCAGTGCAGGTCACATTTCCCACCACAAGTGCCGACAGTGGTTATATTTGATAAAAGTGGAAAACTTAATTCTTTCAGAACTCAGAAATCTTTTAGAATCCAGGAAACGAAAGTTCATGAAAATAGTGAAATACACAGGTCTGAATGCAATGAACTTGCAGAACTAACCTTTTACAATTATAACTCGAACAGTCACTGATGAGGTTACAATCACAAGAAACAGACACTTTGAAACTTCTGTTTTTGGTAGTTTGCTGGATATCAATGTGTGAAAAGCCATATACAGATTTCCCCAAATGAAATACTGGTGCACATTATCAAGTGTATTTTCTCTTTGAATTTATTTAATGTTCAAAATAACTGAAAATACAGTATTTCAAATAATGATCAAATGATGCAGCCAATATTCTGGTGGTTCAACTGATTAATGCACTTGGCTGCACCTGGTGCTAGTGGTAGAACAGAATGAAGTCGTACCCTGAAAACTTGCAAGCAGAAGAGAAAAGGCTGTTTGTCAACCATTTGAACATGTCTGATAATTTTATACCAATATGTCACATTTTTCAGCAACTTTTAAATTTGACATTTCCAGTTGGTCAAACACGTCATTAGCCACATACACATGTCGGATGTTATTTATGGGTGTGTGTATCATTCTGATTTAAGGAAGCAAATATTTGATTCTGTGTGCAAGAGAGCCAAAAGCATGCCTAACATACAAACATGTCAATGTTGCACGGTTATGACCTTGAAACATTTACTCGTACTTATGTGTTGCGAAATCTAATGAACCAACGATATCTGTGGTTTTGAGTAGAAGTTAATGCAGATACATTTTAATGTGAACATGTGAACTCTATGCCGCTGTCACGTGACAGGAATACAGCTGTGCGGCATCAGTCAACAGACACATAAGTACATGACACCTTTTTATGGATAACGACTTCTTATATTCCTTGTAACATTTCAGAGCAACTTCTTGTCCCTCATCAGAGCCCACTTGCGCTAAGATGATTGTAACTCCCATACTTTAACATAGGCTTATGATAGTCGTAGGGCTAAGATGGCTTTGTGCAAGTGGGCCCAGGTGAATAATGAGTAAGTGTATGGAGTTGATATATAAACTCACCGACAAAAGAAACGCGAATACTAAACATGTTGGTTATTACCGGTATAAGAGGTATTGCTCATATTCAAGAAATATTAGATTGGTTAGACGCACAAACGTCAATACTGGTATGTTGTGTGAGCCGATGCTCATGAACGCATCACATGTGACGTCATAGATCCATAACTGGAGATGCACCATTTGTTTCATGCAGGTTTAGCGCGTAAAGTTTGGAAATCACGTGCAGCATATCGAGATCAGAATAAAGTCATTCTGTGTTAACACCTGACTGATGTGTTAGTTTTGTCATTAAGTGGTATACATTGGAAACATCTCTAATAGCATTTTTGTTTCTGACATTTCCTAATCTTGTTTTTATTAGTTGTGCTAGTTACTTGTCAGATTTTTAAATATACATGACAGTACATGTTTTTCTATAACATATACAATTCAAATGTATGGTTTGTTATTTACCTCAGACAAAATGTGTTACAAGGATATTTGCTCCACTATTGGTAAACCAACGGATGGGATGATTTTGTTCTTGGTGATGTTCTTTTTAGAACAAAAAGGGTCTTGATCCACTTTTGAATAGAGTAAATACACCTTCTTTCAAAATCTTTAAACCCACTGATACAATTTAATGTTGTACCAAACCTCTTGACACCTGGGAGAGTAGGGCCTTGTGGCTGAAGTAGTCGCTCGTCACGCCGAAGACACAGGTTCAATACCCCACATGGGCACAACGTGTGAAGCCCTTTCGTGGTGTCCCGCTCCGTGATTTTGCTGAAATATTGCCAAATTTAGTTTAAAATTATATTCGTTCACATACTGTCGACAATAATACAAGGGTTAAAATTTAAAAGATTATCAACATTAAACTTTATAATCATAAAACACTGTTGCAATCTATTTCTTTTCTCTAGCAATGTTTCCTACACGCGGCATATTCGTGCAGCTGACCCAAGCCAGGTGGTTGTTCTAGAGACGTTGGACTCTATGGTTCATATTTCTTACGATTGCAGAGCAGATACAGTTGCCGTATTTAAAGGTAAGACCAATCAGAGTCAAGATGAAGAACCGTTGATGATGGTCACTGAGTCAACTCTATGAAGACCAAATGCTTTTTTTCTACCACAAATGCAAAGTTGTAGATGCGTATGGCCTCGTTACTTAAACTGTCCCTCTAAAAATACTGATAACCTGTTTTATGACTGAAATAATAATTAATGATTCAACTTTTTTTAATACCCAAGTGGACATGAAAATGGACCTGTTGTATGGTTGAAATCAAGTCATGGACTGTATATGTGATACAATTTGGTAAATGTGGTCTTAAATTGCAGTTACAAAGAGCGACATTGTCAATGAATACCTTTATTGATTAAAGGAGCAAGTTCTCAAACCGCCAGGCGTGTACGCAAATGGTGTGGGAACCTGCGATACTACTTTGATGCCTCCAGTAGCTACTTCCTTTACTTCCGCACTGATTCTAAGTTCGAGAACAGAGGGTTTCAAGTCAGGTATTACCAAGGGCCTAGTAAGTAACCATTAAAAATACACATTATCCTTTTATTCAATTTTAGTATTTTCCATATTGACTATTACCATGATCACACATATCACGCTTGAATTCTGGGAACCCATTTATCCTGAAACTCCCTCACAGTCAACAGGGATAAAAAATTCAGTCTGTTATTTTCATGGGTTAGTTAATCCTGTTGACCGAGACTGGTCACAGCAAGGAGAGTTTCTGGACAAATGGCTTTCCAGAGTTATTATTGATGTACTTGTGCATGTAAATGTAACTCTGTATTTTAATAATAAACGAAAGAATATTTTTTTAATGATGGTTTCTTATTGGGCTGGGACGTGTAACTTGGCTACTCGGGTCGAGTGGGTTCTGAGTAGGACCCGGGTACCCACAGGACTACCTGGACCTGTGGTTAGTCACGTGATATATTGTTTCATGACAATAACAATCAAACTCCATGGTTACACTGCAAGTCACTGATATTTGCATTTCTTTCTGACTATGCACACATTCCTTATGACTTTTATTTGTTTGAGTAAAGATAAAGCTTCAGTCAACTTCAGTCTATGCATGATCAGAACATTTTTTGCGTGTATCTAAGTAGCTTTTGCCAGGGCTCCTATAAAACAATTCACAATTGGACATTTTCTAGCCAACTTGAGACCTATAGCGGGTATCCGGGTAATACATTACACGAGTAATACATTTTGACTCACCCCAGTCCTAGTTTCTTAGATGTTGCTCCAACATGGTAAGTGGTGTCTGATATATCTTAAACAATTATGTTTCCTCCACAGTTCTTCAGGCAATGGACCATGTAACCGTGTGTGGCGTCTGCCATCAGTACTTGTTGCTTCTGTATGTAGAAGTGTTTGTTCTTCAGGCAGTGGACCATGTAATCGTGTGTGAGGTCTGCCATCAGTACTTGTTGCTTCTGTATGTAGAAGTGTTTGTTCTTCAGGCAGTGGACCATGTAACCGTGTGTGGCGTCTGCCATCAGTACTTGTTGCTTCTGTATGTAGAAGTGTTTGTTCTTCAGGCAGTGGATCATGTAACCGTGGGTGGCGTCTGCCATCAGTACTTGTTACTTCTGTATGTAGAAGAGTGTGTTCGTTAGGCAGTGGACCATGTAACCGTGTGTGGCGTCTGCCATCAGTACGTGTTGCTTCTGTATGTAGAAGTGTTTGTTCTTCAGGCAGTGGACCATGTAACCGTGATTTTGTGGCGAAGAGGCATGCCCAGGACATCATATCACCTGGTTATCCCGTGGGATATTTCCGGTACATCTTTAACTTTCATTGAACTCATGTACACTTATAGACATAAATGCGTAGTTAATTAATGCGAGCAAAGACCACTCACATTTTTCGCATTTAATTCACGCTCGCTTTAATTTCAAGATTTTCAGTATACTAATCCAAAGAAGTTAAACACCCGATTCTTTCATATTACTATGGTTAAAGTTTCATGCTGTGACAGATTAACTATGGTAATATGAGTGAGTGAGTGAGTGAGTATGGTTTTACGCCGCTTTTTGCAATATTCCAGCTATATCACTGCGGGGGACACCAGAAATGGGCTTCGCACATTGTACCCATGTCGGGAATCGAACCCGGGTCTTTGGCGTGACGAGCGAACGCTTTAACCACTAGGCTACCCGACCGCCCTATGGTAATATGAAAGAATCGGGTGTTCTTTTACTTGTTGTGAGAAGTATACAATCCTGTGGTGATTCTGGTGGAGATCATCGATGGTTCCCAGGAAACCTGAGTTTGTTGTTTAAAGCGACTTGAATAGGTTGGGTGGTCAGAATCGGAGATTGTTAATCAGTGGGTTATTTGGTCCATACTGGAATATTGATGCGTGTGGGGTAAGACAACAAAGTTATTATATGCTGAAAAATCAGCATGAATACCACAAAACTGAAGCTTCAAACTTCAAGGGAGTGTTTACTGTGTTTAAATCAGATCAGAGTCACTTACAGCACCCTAAACTACCAGGTCACTGTACCAGTGTCATGTTTGATGATATTAAAACTCTACCTTAGTGTCAGTACCGCCATACATACGTTTTCGTTCCTTCCAATCAGTAACTATTTAGGAAATCTACGCCATTGCTCTTAAGATGAGTTAGATGTGAAAGATACATCAAATCTTACTGGCATCATACTCTGCTGGCATCACCCCCCTACTGGCATCATACCCTACTGGCATCATACTCTGCTGGCATCACCCCCCTACTGGCATCATACCCTACTGGCATCATACTCTGCTGGCATCACCCCCCTACTGGCATCATACCCTACTGGTATCATACCCTACTGGCATCATACTCTGCTGGCACCATACCCTGCTGGCATTATACCCTGCTGGCACCATACCCTGCTGGCATCATACTCTGCTTGCATCATACCCTGCAGGCACCATACTCTGCTGGCATCATACTCTGCTGACATCATACCCTCCTGGCACCATACCCTGCTGGCACCACACTCTGCTGGCACCATACCCTGCTGGCATCATACCCTGCTGGCATTATACCCTGCTGGCACCACACCCTGCTGGCACCACACTCTGCTGGCACCATACCCTGCTGGCATCATACCCTGCAGGCACCATACTCTGCAGGCACCATACTCTGCTGGCATCATACCCTGCTGGCATCATACCCTGCTGGCATCATACCCTGCAGGCACCATACTCTGCTGGCATTATACTCTGTTGGCATCATAACCTGATGGCATGATACTCTGCTGGCATCATACCCTGCTGGCACCATACTCTGCTGGCACCATACCCTGCTGGCACCATACCCTGCTGGCACCATACCCTGCTGGCATAACCCCCAGCATGTTTCATGTTATGGTCAAAGTATACTACTTGGTGGGCCTTGTGTTCTCCTCACACAGTTCACATGATAAATGACACACCGTGATACATCTGAAAAACTGTCCTCAACGTCATTAAGTCGCCCACCCTGTTGGAATATGGAAGAAGGCTATGCAGTTCTATCATCACTTGTTTCAGTGACATGTCCTGCATCTATAGCATTCAGGCACAACAGTCGACTGACCGGATACAGATAGACGTGTTGGACATGCATATTGAGAACTCTGTCCGTTGTCAAAACGACAACATTACTATCGTAGATCCAAGTAGGTGTGACAGTCTCTAGTCTCATGTCCACGTGTGTATACCTGATAATAATAACTGCATTGGAATCAACACACATTCAAGCAGTATCATATCTTTAAGTAACTAGAAAGTGCTATCTGTGTCAGTCAGCCTTTATGGGACTGAACGTTTATTCTGGTGTAGGCAGAGGTCCGTATTAGTAACCTTTTAACAAGAGTTTGGGACATACGAGTAACGAGTAATAGGACATACGACTAACGTGTAACAGGACTTACAGGTAACGAGTAATAGGACATACGAGTAACGAGTAACAGGACATACAGGTAATGAGTAATAAGACATACGTATAACGAGTTATTGGACATACAAGTAACAAGTAATAGGACATACGAATAATGAGTAATAGAACATACAGGTAACGAATAATATGACATGCGAGAAACGAGTAATAGGACATGCAATTAACAAGTAACAGGACATACAAATAATGAGTAATAGGACATACAAGTAACGAGTAATAAGACATACAATTAACAAGTAAAAGGACATACACATAATGAGTAATAGGACATAAAAGTAACGAGTAATAGGACATACAAGTAGCGTGTAATAGGACATACAAGTAACGTGTAATAGGACATACAAATAATGAGTAATAGGATATACAAGTCACAAGTAATAGGACATACAAATAATGAGTAATAGGACATACAATTAACAAGTAATAGGACATACAAATAATGAGTAATAGGACATACAAGTAACGAGTAATAGGACATTCAAGAAATAAGACATACATATAATGAGTAATCGGACATACGAGTAATAGGACTAACAAGTAACGAGTAGTCGCGGCGGGGGACACCAGAAATGGGCTTCACACATTGTACCAATGTCGGGAATCGAACCCGGGTCTTCGGCGTTACGGACGAACGCTTAAACCACTAGGCTACCCGACCGCTCCTACAGGTAATGAGTAATACAGGTGACGAGTAATAGGCCATACAAGTATCTTATAAAGGTTGGAAATAGGGACACCACGCCAAGTTCTGACGTACTGAGCAGGTCGCAATAACATATTCATCAGTTATGTTTTCTGCAGGGCCCATTCTGGTGTCCCTACCCCACATGACATTGCTGGAATATTGCTAATAGCGGCGTAAAACCATACTCGTTCACTCACTCAGTTGGGCCTGAGCCTACAAACACCAACTACTAAGTACTATCTTGAAATTGGTTTGATGAATTGTGGGTCAATAAGGTTAGAGGCATAAAGACTACAATTCATATTGTTCACTTTCATCATCGTGTCTTTGTAGCAGTTAATGCCCTTTCTCTAGATATTGGAGAACATAATGTATCGACTATCTGTGGACAAATGACACCGTCGTATCAGAGCAGTGGACCCAGCCTGCAGATAAGGTTCAAGTCCAACCGTGCCAATCGAATACAAGAGCATTTTAAGTAAGTGTACTTCATTTATTCCTTTTTTCAAACAAGTGCTTATATCTCCTAATGCTTCGTACTGTGTGAACAGTAGCTTCCCAGGTACATGTGTAATGTGACATTTAAAAAATATCCATGGGTGTTTTGGGACAATATTCATTATGTTCAATAGAAACATTGCAATGAACATGATCAAAGAAGGTGAATATGTTTGCAATTGAGTAATGTAATGTCATTGATGATTCTGTTTGTGTTTGTAACCAAATCAACTGTGGTAATAATAATCACTTGTCATGCTAAAATCCATGTTACCGATAGAGCTGCACGGGAGAGCTGCAGAACTCTTTCCTGAATAGATGGATTCTAAAGATTGATTTGTCACTTGCCACTTGTCACCTGTCACTTGTCACATGCGAACATCAATCTACTCGGTAGTTGTGCAGAACTCTTTCCTGAATAGATGGATTCTAAAGATTGATTTGTCACTTGTCACTTGTCACCTGTCACTTGTCACATGCGAACATCAATCTACTCGGTAGTTGTGCAGAACACTTTCCTGAAGAGATGGGTTTTCAAGTTTGATTTGGTGGCATGGGGGGTAGAACAAAGCCTTAAATCCTTCAGTGAATAGTTCCATACCTGTGCGGGAGAATAGAAACATGACCAGGAACCAAAAGACATTCATTTGAAAGTTGAAGCAAATAGTTGAAGTTTGTTAGTAGATCTGATTCTCGATGTACATGACGTCTGACTTTGAGAACATTTGAAGCAGGTTTTGTGGGGAATATGATGGAAGATGTACAGACAAAACATGATGCTCAGAAAAGGATACTAAAGTATTCGTATTCCATTTGGAAAAAGATGTCATTTATGTTTTTGAGTGCATGTGTGTTGAAACGTCATCTGTATACATCAAGTTAACAGTGTTCTCCATATTTATCTAGATTCTGACTGTAGAGATGACAAGCTGACAGCAACTGATGTTGATTCGTACCTGGTGTCACCTGGTTATTCGAGACATTATTACAGGTAAGGCGTATCAGTCCTATATGAACCTCATTTCTTATCCTTCTGATGTCCTGCTTGTTCTGGCATTGTATAGTTGGATTCGGTAACAAGTAGAAAATTGCAACGGTCTCAGCTGGATAAGTATATGATGTCATTATTATTAGATTCCTGTATTTCTCTACTTTTACATATTCACATGTTCTATATACCATTAACTATATGCACATACCACCCTTACACTTCAGCAACCCATTCTTGCCGTAAAAGGCGACTATGCTTGTCGTAAGTGGCGACTAACGGGATCGGTTGGTCAGGCTCACTGACTTGGTTGATGCATGTCTTCGTATCCCATTTGCCTGGACCAATGAACGGGTGGCCCAGTCATCTAAGGTGACTCAATTTGCTGTGCGTCTCTTGGGCACGCCAAAAACCTATTGTCGTGGGTTCACTTCAATGATGTTTCTAGGTTTGTCAGTCCCATACCCGGGTTCACCCGGGGTCTGAGACCTGCATCACTTAGGGTTTTCCTCCAACATGAAGCTGACACGCCATGCTATGACTGGAATACTGTTCAAGGGGGCATTAAACCCAACTCACTCACTCACTGTGTGCCATTCTTGACATGGAGTATCTTTCAGAGTGAATTTTAGAATGTCAATCTGTTCTTCTCAGCAACCTCGCATGTAGATGGACAATATCAAGTAATGACCCGCAAAGGACGATAGAGGTCGAGGTCATGCAAGTGGAGATATCGGGCACACCCCCCCTGCTTGTAACGAAGACAAACTCGAAGTGGATTACCTTCGTATGTTTTACTTCCCTTTGCACAGCCATGAATCTAATAGAAAGTTTCAAGACACATTTCACTCGCATTAATGTTGTTGGGATCAACGTAATACTCTCAGGAAGGCATTCGTTGCTTTCACCACATGTAGTGGAATCCCATGTAGCTGAATCCCATGTAGCGGAATCCAATGTAGTGGAATGCCATGTAGCGGAATTCCATGTAGTGGAATCCAATGTAGTGGAATCCCATGTAGCAGAATCCCATGTAGCGGAATTCCATGCAGCAGAATCCCATGTAGCGGAATCCCATGTAGCGAAAATTCCATGTAGCGGAATCCCATGTAGCGGAATCCAATGTAGTGGAATCCCATGTAGCAGAATCCCATGAAGCGGAATTCCATGTAGCGGAATCCAATGTAGTGGAATCCCATGTAGCGGAATCCCATGTAGCGGAATACCATGTAGCGGAATCCCGTGTAGCGGAATCCCATGTAGCGGAATCCCATGTAGTGGAATCACATGTAGCGGAACAAGATAAGTTTGTGATCATGAATATTTTGGGGGGTATTTTTTGGTTGTGAAGAGTGTCATAAAAATATCCCGAAAAATTCATGGTCCAAAACTGTTTTTGTTGGGTATACGTATGACGTACTTAACACCTTTGATTGACCATTTTCTCATTTATGATATCAATTAAGGTAATTGTAAATTTGTTGTTTCAGGACAGCAATATTAATCACTCCTGTCAATGTGTTCTGGAACCAACTCCCTGTACTTCATGCCTGAATATTGATTCTTTTTATGCAGATTGGTCCTTGCCAAAAGATGTTATATGCGGTTCAAGCATCCCGAGACAAAAGTTCGTTAGCATGGGTAACACCATGTTAATCACATTCACTTCAGACAGTGCCAACGAAGGCCAAGGTTTTGATGTACGATATCGTCTGGTACAAGGTAGGTTTTCTCTCAACATAAAGGGGGGGGGGGGGGGGGGGGGGGGGGGCACGGGTGGCCCAGTCGTCTAAGGCGCCAGAAACCTATGATTGTGGGTTAGAATCCCGGTTCGCCCCGATTATGTTTCTAGGTTTGTCAGCACCATATCCGTGCTCGTGGGTTTCACCGAAGTGGTAAACGTCAGAGACCTGCATCACTTCGGGCTTTCCTCCCACACCAAGCTGACACGCCCTGATATGACTGGAATACTGTTAAAAGCGGCGTTAAACCCAACTCACTCACTCACTCTTAACATTAAGGAAATACATTGTGTCTGTCAACAGACGAGTTATGGTCCTCATATTGTCGGTATTTCGGGTTTGTCTTTGTGCAAGAGCTGATCCTGAAATCCCCCCAAAATATGAAATTGAGTGACTTTAAAACTATCGGCATACATGTCTAACATGAAAACAAAACTGTTGTCCACTGTCACTCATTCAAAAAAGTTATCAAATTTTACAAACTGCAAACCTTCACATCTTGACTATCCTCCTCACCAGAGTGAGTGAGTGTGGCTTAACGCCCCTTGGCACTGTTTTAATCACATCACAACGTGGGAACAAAGTCTGAATTCCTCCAAGTCTGACCACTTTGGTGAAACGTACGAGAAAGAATATGGTGCTGACAAACCTGGAAACAATCAGGTTGAATATGGACAGCGAAAATATGCACAGCAAATTCCAGCGCCTTAGATGACTTGGTCATCCGTGCCCACCCCACATCAGAGAACCACACCACCGAATAAATGTTTTGAAGGGAAATTCAATTGCATATAAGCCCCTGTCATACCAGTGGAACAATTTGCTTTGTACCTGTTTTGTTGCAAACATTTTATGTTAATTATATGCATGCTTCATACTTTGTAATGTGAAGATATTTCGATTTTCAATTTCCAGTCAAAAGCACGTATGCCCCGTGTAATCAGACATTGGTTGCATCTGGAACAGAACAGGTTCTTACATCGCCAGGATATCCACAGATCTCACTCCTGTAAGTCTTTGTTTAGTGTTCCTGGACTTCAATCAGTCATGTGTTTCAGCTCATTGCTTATCGTAGAACCCAGTTAAAGTAATGGAGTTTAATACTCAGTCAGTGGTATGATCATCTAGTGGACCGCCACTTGTTTATACCTTCTAATGTTATCTGGTTTAGTTACCCTTTTTATTTCTTTTAATTACCATCCACTGCACCAACAGAGTAGGACTCACTCACTAATGGGAATGGCACCGTCCAGATTCAAAAGAGTTCACGGTAAATACTTTTTGTTTGACATTTTTATGGGCAGCCATTCGGTCAAAAAATACAAAGTTGAAACAAAGGACAAAAGTATGTAATAATAGTCAAATGTTGCAAATAAAGTATTAAAAGTTACTAATAAAGGTCAAAATACAAATTTTAAAACAAACAGACGCCGGTTAAAAAATACAAAGTTGAAATAAAGGTCAACAGTATGCAATATAATAATCAAATGTTACGAAAAGACGTCATATGAAAAGAAAGATCAATGTGTACTAAAGAACGTCAGTGCGCGGGAAAGGACACTAAATTGCTAAAGGACATCGAATGTCTTTCATATCTCACAAACACTATGATTTGGGGGAAATTGGGTTCCACACTATGACAGTACGGTAACAAACCTAAGGGATGCACTGAACTGATATAAGGACATGTAAATATCCCACTAGTTTAGTTCTCCTTGTCTCCAGGTGGTTGGGTAGCCTAGTGGTTAAATCGCTCGCTCCTCACGCAGAGGGCCCAGGAGCGATTACCCACATGGGTACAATTTGTGAGGCATATTTTCAGTGTGTCATGCCGTGATATTGCTGGAATAGTGCTGGAAGTGGCATGAGACGATCCTCACTTACTCACAAATTCTCTTTGTGTCCTTGCTTCTTTGTTGGAAAGGGGGCACGGGTGGCCCAGTCGTCTAAGGCGCCGCGATTCGCTGTGCAGAGTTGCGTCCCTTGGGAACGCCAGAAACCTATGGTTGTGGGTTCGAATCCCCGTTCGCCCCGATTATGTTTCTAGGTTTGTCAGCACCATACCCATGCTTGTGGGTTTCACCGAAGTAGTAAACGTCTGAGACTTGCATCACTTCGGGCTTTCCTCCCACATTAAGCTGACACGCCGTGATATAACTGGAATACTGTTAAAAGCGGCGTTAAACCCAACTCACTCACTCACTCTTTGTTGGAAAGTTTATCACCAAAATATTGTATCTTCTGTACAGGACACAAAGCTGTATCTTCACAATTAGAGCACAAAGCGGTTATCACATAAGAGTGACCCTGATCGACCTTGACATTGAATACTCTCCAGCCTGCAAACATGACAGCTTGACAATATCAGATGGTAAGTAATAATATGATAGAATAAATACAAATACATTGTACAGCGATTTCGTCTCTGTTCTTATAAGATCCTATTTACATGAATTTAAGTTAGAACTACCTTCTCTGAGAATAGCCAATGACATTAAAGCACAGAAAGTTTGAAAATTAAAATATAAATCTTTCTGGTGTTATCATCAAAATATGTGACGTATTGTTTTCTTGCATGTCCGTCCGCACAACTAGTTTGTAATGCTGTACAGAACTAACTACTGCTAAATAGGTCATATTTTGATATGAAAAAAAGTACCATCCGGCAGCGCACTTTGTTAAACAAGCTGAAAAAATGTCCTAGTGATTTAAAACCATTAATTTCTTTAAATCATGTAAACATCCGTATTTAAAATCAAGTTACTCAACATGTAAAAACATTTGAGAAATAGACAGTCACCAGTGTTATTTTGGAAGGCGTGTTCTGCATGTACAGAAAGTGAAGGTATTGTCTGTCCAGAAGACCCCCTGATCATTTCTTTGTAGGTACTTTGACGCTAGATGAGTTATGGTGTGGGAAAAGGGCTGGAGAGGTTGTGAACAGTCAGAGGAACGAAATCACAGTGATCTACGGTATTGATGACTCCAACAACGGACAGGGTTTCTCCCTCAAGTACTCCGAAGTCAGAGGTAGGTATCCCCTACGAACATGCAATCTCGCAAGATACTACCATATTGACAGTGTACACTACTGCAAACATGAAAACTTAGTCATCAATCGTAAGATTTCCCATATCGGTCACGATCGTTAGGCATTCGTGCACTGCTAGAACAAAACATAAACGTTCCAATGACAGCGACCGTGATGCAAAAATGTTGCGGATGCAATCCAGAGTGAGTGAGTATTGTTATACGCCGCTTTTAGCAATATTCCAGCAATATCACGGCGGGGGACACCAGAAATGGGCTCCCATGTCGGGAATCGAGCCCGGGTCTTCGGCGCGACGAGCGAACGCTTTAACCACTAGGCTACCCGACCGCCCGATCCAGAAGATGTTTGTCTTGACTACAGGTGTGCTTATGCTACTTGTAGTACATTTACATTGTGGACAATTGATGCTGCCGTTGATATGTTTCTTGCTGCGAAATAATATGTACTTACCTGGCATTATCAGATTGAAATTTCAATACAGATGCATCCATTAATTAATCTATATGAAAGCTTCCTTGAGTGTACATGTGTATTCTTGATTGAAAAAGTTCGCCGCTTTATAATAGTCTCATATGTTTTCTTGTTTTGGAGGACCGCCTCCGTGGTCTAGTGGTAGAGCGTCCGCCCGGAGATCTGAAGGTCCGGGGTTCGATCCCCGACCGCGTCATACCAAAAGACGTTAAAAGATGGTACTTGTTGTTACCCTGTCTGGCGCTCGGCATTAAGGGGATAAAACAAGGACAGGTCGTCTCGGAGTCAGTATACTGTGTCTGAGTGGGATATTCATGTTAAACTGCATGGGTTGCTGAAGACCTATGCTAAGCCGGATCTTTACGGGTCCCGCATGTGCATAAATATGTCCCTAGCTCGCCACTCATTCAGGACCATTCACTACAGGCAGACGACAAGATAGACGAAAACATATTCTCCAGATAACACACTGCTACCTTTCTAATGTACAGGATCAGCAAGCAGAGTCCAAGAAATGGTCATGCCCGTACGAAACACTCCACTTTACTTAACCTCACCTGGATTTGAAAAACGATTCCCTCAGTAAGTGCATTATAATTCTGTTTTCATTTAGTCTATGCTGGCTAAATAAATTTTACAAAATTGGTAAATATATCCATTTCAGCAGATTAAAAGTGATATGCAAGATGCTTACCTTTGTAAAACATGTTGTAATGCTAAATGAATATTGTACAGTGAGGAGGCCGGGCTGGAGAAACGTAAGAACATATATTATGTATAGGATAAAACACGTCCGAGGGTTTTTATGATATTTAAAACCCGCATCCCGAGGGATTTTCCGATGGAAAGGGTTTTAAATATCACAACAACCCGAGGGGAAGTGTTTTATCTTACTTATAAACCGATTTAGAACCTTAAAACAACATTTATCAACATTATTATGTTTCGAACATACTTTCCATGAACCTTAGGAAACGGGCGTAAAATATCTGTTGCTGGCGTACGGATCTTGAAAAGGACATTCTAAAAAGCAGTGCGGCTTATCAACGCCACTGTAGCCTTGTGGTACACTCACTGGGCCACAGATATGAAAGTTGCGAGTTCGATCCTCGGGAATATAAATAAAATATTTGTCATTTGATTTTACATTTCATTACATGTTACAATCTGATCGGAAGTTATATTAATAAAATACCCAGGACATTATATAAAATCCCTGGGATATTATAACACATTATATAGCAAATATGACTTGAATATCCTATTAAATCCCAGGGACATTACAACGTCCCTGTTTATGAGATTTAACCCGACTGGAGAACAATAGGATGACGTCACCGGAGGTTTATGATTATGTCTTGTAGTGAGTGAGTTGGCATTCACAGCACATTTAGAAAAACTAAGGCATTATTACAGCTGAGAATACCAGAAACCCGTCGGATGAGACCAGTTAACCCTTTGACCAAAGCACCTCGTCATGACCGTTCATGCATTTCATGTAAATCTTACTGTGTCCATTCCCTTGATTTTTAAAGAGGCATCACCTACAGCTACATCTTTACTGCTGATCCGCGACAAAGAATACGTCTGCGTGTTCAGGAATCATATCTGCGTTACAACACTGCCGACGGAAGCTGTCTCAGTGAAAGGGTCAGGCTTTATGATGGTAAGACAAACCAGGCATTGTTATAGAGCAATAACTCAATCCAGGCATAATCAAGGCATAAAAAGGCAGATTCCAAATGTATTGAATGTATTCAAATCGCTTCTGTTGACAATGGTATCATGTCTGATTTTATGTTTACTGATTAGAATGAGTAAGTGAGTAGGTTTTTTCGCCACTTTTGTCAGTATTCCAACCGTATCGAGTACCCGTGAAGATCCGGCATAGAATAGGTCTTCAGCAACCCATGCTTGCTGTAAAAGGCAACTATGCTTGTCGTAAAAGGCGACTAATGAGATCGGGTGGTCGGGCTAGCTGACTTGGTTGATTGCATGTCATCGATCCAAATTGTGTGGCTCGATGCTCATGATGTCAATCACTGGATTGTATGGTCAAGACTCGATTATTTTCAGACCACCGTCATATAGCTGGAATATTGCTGAGTGCGGTGCGGAACAACAAACAAACAAACAAACAAACTATATCGAGCGGGGATCACTGGAATTGGACTTCACACATTGTACCCATGGGGAATAAAATCCTGATCTTTGGCATGACGAGTGAACACTTCAGCCACTAGACTTAAAAACCAGAAACCAGTGATTGCTGATTACCTGATTACCTCGGTTTGTCAGCACCACACCCACACCGTGGGTTTCACCAGTGTGGTACACACCTAAGACCTGCATCACTCCGGGCTTTCCTCCCACATTAACCTGCCGTGCCGTGATATTACTGGAATACTGTTCAATATGGCTTTAAACCCAACTCACTCACTCACTCACTCACTCACTGGAATACTGTTCAGTATGGCTTTAAACCCAACTCACTCACTCACTCACTCACTCACTCACTCACTCACTCACTCACTCACCCACCCACCCACCAACTCACCCACCCACGAACCCACCAACTCACTCACTCACTCACTCACTCACTCACCCACCCACCCACCCACCCACCCACTCACTCACTCACTCACTCACTCATTACAGGCCCATCTTCAACCAGTTCCGAGCTGAAGTCTATTAACACTGGAGAATATGGCTGGTGTGCCTTGGACCTGCCTGTCTTCATCAGCAGCAGCAATTACATGACCATGGTGTTCAAAACAGTCAACTCTTTTGACCATGGGAGAATTGGCTTTGTGCTAATGTATGAGCAAGGAAACTTCAGTGGTATGTTTATCTTTCAATTATTATTAAATATACTGAACAATACAGGTAAGGGATCATAAATGTTTTAGGAATATATTTATGAACTTGTGTGATTAGTCTTACTACAAAAAAATACCCCAAACCTTTATTTGATCATGTAGCAATGCGTGGAGTCATCCCACGGATGGCATCCTTACCTTGTCAGCTTGCTGATGGGGTTAACCTCTTCGGTCATGTGGACAAGACTTCCGACCTCGGATCAGAAGGTCCTTGTTCGAATCCCATCATGGGACTCGGAAATATTATGGCCGCTACATTGGCGCCCAACGTGGGGCACGTTTATATTATATTTGAGCAAAATAAGTCTCTGTACCCTACTATGCGGCCCGGGACGGGTCTTCTGTTGACGGGGTTAGCCTGTTTGGTCATGGGGACAAGGCATCCAACCTCGGATCAGAAGGTCCGTGGTTCGAATCCCATCAGTGATGAAACATTACATTGTGACCTGTTTTTTCCATTCCTGATGAAACGGATTTTAAAAAATAAGAGGTCACGTTGACCATTTCAATACGGCAGATACAGTACATCACCTTGAGTTACATCTACATCTGACTACATTTGATTCGACCCGTGAAGATCCGGGGTAGAGTAGGTCTTCAGCAACCCATGCTTGCCGTAAAAGTAGACTATGCTTGTCGTAAGAGGCGACTAACTGGATCGGGTGGTCAGGCTAGCTGACTTGGTTGATACATGTCATCGTATCCCAATTGCATGGATCGATGCTCATGATGTCAATCACTGGATTGTATGGTCGAGACTCGATTATTTACAGACCGATGTCATGCAGCTGGAATAATGCTGAGTGCGGCTTTAAACAACACACAAACAGACAAAAACAAAACATTTGATTCAACCTGTTTTCAGTCATTCAGTCAGTGCTTAATGCCATACAATTTTCCTTCTCTGAAAGAAGCCAAACAATATTTTCAGAACAAGCAAAATTAGCAAAGCTGTACACCTTATGATTTCATTACATCAATGTTACCATCTGTAATAGCAGTTCCATGTAATTGTTTTCGTAATCAGTTTTGGGGTCAGTGAAACTATTTCCTGGAATAATATTCAATGTTTCAGATCCTCTCCCATGTGGTGAGTCCTTGACAGCGTCGTTGAGGAAGTCGTACCTCATGAAGAAGATTCAGCCGTAAGTGTTTATACACGCCAGACGTAACATATGGCAGATAGGTGGGAGGGACAGCTAGATGACAATGTTTCCTGAGTTCTTGAACATTGTGCACTTTGGTAATGATTGATGTTTTTTTGGTTGTTGTTTTTATTGTTTAATGTCGCACTCAGCAATATTGCAACTATATGATGGCCGTCTGTAAGTAATCGAGTATGGACCAGACAAGCCAGTGATTGACATCATGAACATTGGTCCACGCAATTGGGATACGACATGCTTCAACCAAGTCAGTGAGCCCGACCACCCGATCCTGTTAGTCGCCTCTTGCAGACAGACAGTTTATTCAGTAATTTAGGCATCAAGGCCCATAGTACAATGCAGTTTGGATATTAACATTTGTCACTTGATGTACATGATAAGATTATACATCAAGTTATACATTCCTCATTATAAAGACATGTTTCAAGAATACAGAAACAGCATAGATCATATCAGGATTTTCAGAGTTTAACAGATTTATCATTAACTGACGGTCTTTAAAAATACCTTGCAACATAGGGAGAGATTTATACCTTAAATGTGAATCCGTTTCACATATAAGTAAGACATGGTATTCATCCTCTCCTCCTCCGGATGAACAGTTTGTACAATTAGAGTTCACAATATCACCGTCTTTGGACCTGCGATATACATTTACACTAACATTGTGCAATGAAATTCTAAGTTTACAATAAGCTTTTATCATTTAAACAAGTTAAATATCTTTCAGTTTGTAACAATGATTTTACTTTGCTGTATTTGCTAAGATAAAGTGATTCAGAAATACTTTGGTGCCACTGGTGACAAAATATATCCTTTAGTCTTTGCTTAAATGAATATAAAAATAATTGCGGATCTCCAACATCTTGGGAAATCCATACATATGAAAAGCCACTAACTAATAATAATAGATTTCTCACATCTGAATTATCATCAGGTACCTTTAACATTTTGTAACACTGATATGATCTATCAGGCACCATTCTAAGTCACCTCTTACAACAAAGGGGGCACGGGTGGCCCAGTCGTCTAAGGCGCCGCGATTCGCTGTGCAGAGTTGCGTCCCTTGCACATGCCAGAAACCTATGATTGTGGGTTCGAATCCCGGTTCGCCCCAATTATGTTTCTAGATTTGTCAGCACCATACCTGTGCGCGTGGGTTTAACCGAAATGGTAAACGTCTGAGACCTGCATCACTTCGGGCTTTCCTCCCACATTAAGCTGACACGCCGTGATATAACTGGAATACTGTTAAAAGCGGCGTTAAACTCACTCACTCAGTCTAACAACAAGCATAGTCACTTTTTACGGCCAGCATGGGTTGCTGAAGACCTATTCTACCCTGGATCTTCAAAGGTAATGATTTATGTGTACAGACTAATGATAAGTTTGATGATTATTCCCTAACTGCTGAGGCAACAGTGTTAGTTGACATCCTTGTTGGGATTCAGAGTGAGAGTTGTTCACCTTGTCATAAGGGGCGATTCTGAAGGTGCCTAAACAATCTCTGTGCCTCAGTTCATTGCATGGCAATGCCATCATACAGGATGCCGTGGGACTTTGCTCATAATATCAATCACTGGTTTGTCTGGTCCAGATTTGGCCATCATGGTCTTGTTTGAATTATGCAGACGTAAGAATTAAAATGCAAACAAATCATATTTCTCGGGCAGAACCTGTGGTCTTGGCGTTAATGCTTGATTCATTATGCCATTAGGACGCTTCACTACATGGTATAAGAGTTATGGTACACTGTTATTGACAAGAGATCACCAAGAGCGTACTCACAAACAAGGGGTTCTGCACTTGCAGACATCTACGCCTCAACTGCTGTCCAATACTAATGATCTGTACCCGGTCCTCAGTTCCATACTGAAGCTTGATTCATTATGCCGTTGAAACGCTTCCCTACATGGTATAATGTGGGATAGTGTGTCATGCAGTGATATTGCTGGAATATGGCTGAAACTGGTGTGAAAAAATATAAAAATGTTACATATATTTCTCAAGATTTCTAAGGATCACCACTTTTAAAGTTAATATGTCAAATTGTGTGCATCTTTTGACATCTCTGAAGACTTGTTTAACAAACAAGAGTTTGTTGTCATGTGCCACACAATGCCAACATACAACACATGACAATAGCCAGTCGGATCACTAGGGTTGCGACCGGGTACGAAAACTGAACTCGAGTACCCGGCAGACAATACCCGAACCGGACTCGAGTACCCGTAGTTCAATGTTGTCCTACTCGTTTGTAACGCTTTTGCGAATAAAAGGTCATCAAACATCTATTGATCTATTCTAAGGTATTATGTTTTTTATTAAATGCCTGCATGGCTTAACTAAAAACATTTGAACGTTTGTCCGCTTTGTCGTCCATTTTGAAGTGACTTACGAGTTACGAAAGGCGATGAGAGTTATCTCCCCTGAACGGGTACTCGAGACCTGAAAATTGGACTCGAGTCCTAAGCTACCCGACCCGTTATCGGGTACTCGAGTACCCGTCGCAACCCTACGGATCACCCGTCGAAATTAGACTTTCCGACCAAAACGGAAGCAGCACACTCGGGCACGACGATCTGTGAAGTCTAAAAAGTATGTCTGTTGCCCACTTGCACAAAGCGATCTTAGCGCTAAGATGATTGTAACTCCCATACTTTAACATAGGCTTACGATAGTCTTAGCGCTATGATCGCTTTGTGCAAGTACACCCTGGTCTGTCCAATTGACATGATCTTCAGCTCCATCCAAACATGGCTGCCTGTGATGTCTTGTCAGTGGGATAGGAATGCATGCCCTCCGGAGACCAGCCTCACGGTGTAGTATATATCTTGGATGAAGCCACCTTTTCATGGAAAAATGTCCCGATTGCTTTGTTACAGACACACGTCCTGTACATGGGTGTTGACAAGAGAAACAAACAATACCTACATTCAACTTAATGTCTTGCGTTATGATGTCGGGAGACGGAACGACGACAAGTGTGGTGCAGATCATGTAGAAATATATGATGGTAATTATGTATAACCATACATTTTGTCAACAACTCACCTAATTTTTCTTCCATTTTTACTCCCACATAAAATATGTACACCAGTTGAAGGGAGTAAAAAGTTGTGTTTTTTCAATTGGACCCAAAAACGTTCTTTCTTGGTCTCTCTTAACCAGTAGTTTGTTGTGTACACAGATTGAAAAATGATCAATCAGTCGAGTCAGATTACTAGCAACATAATCAGTTATATTTTTAATTGATCAATGTATTTATAAGACTTCAGTTACATTTGGTTTAGTGTATATTTATAATTGCATCCATGAGGGTATCTAAGGTGCTGCAATTCGCTACGCAGAGTTGTTTCGCTTAGGCACTCCAGACACCAGTAATCATGAGTTAAAAAAATGGTTCGCCCCGATAATGTTTCCAGGTTTGTCAGCACCATCCCCGTGTTTGTGAGTTTCACCAATGTGGTAACCTGCAACCTGTTGACTTGCAACACAGTAGTGTAATATGTGCTGATGATATATGAGGTATCACTTTCTTTTGCATACAGGTGACACTGAAGCAAGTTCACGTATTGCTCTACTGTGTGGATCCAAGTCTGGGGCCCTCTACATTGGAACCGGTGGTCAGATGATGGTCAAGCTGGTAACAGGAGAGTCCCCTGTCACCTTCCACATAGAATACAGCTCGTGTAAGTCTATAACCTGACCTGTTACTTAGTAAACTAATCGAACTATTAACAAGAGATATATGATGAAAGTTGACTAACCGACAACTGTAAATTGGGTCAATGGTTTGAATATTTCTGTAATATTAGGAAATGTGAATTGGTATTGCTGTTAATAGCATTATGAAGTACGATATCACCTGGGCAATATTATTTGTCCACTTATGATTTTTTTTAATCGGTGTATTTTTATTCACATGGCATGTAGAACTTCTGGTGATATAGATGTTTTCCAATTTTATAGTGAAAATGTTGACATGTTTCGGATACTATTATGCAAATAAATAGTTCCAGATATACTGTAACAAGTATTCTTCTTTCTTTCACTTTTCCTAATTGCTCGACATGTTAAAACCTATGTATATTCAACAATTGTCCTCAGATCTTTGTTTAGCGGCAGCAGGAACTAAGATCTGATTTTAATGAGATTGATATATGCTCAGAGCAGTGTTACACCTAACTCACTCTCTCAAATTTTGTACCAGTACTTTTCATTCTTGGTATTGTGTCTATACTACCATGTTTTTAGCGCACGAAGACAGATGTACCCCAAAAGATCGCAGGGCTACAGAACAACCAGATTACCTTGTTTCTCCCTCATATCCCAATAAATATGCATCGTAAGTATTCTAGATATGTATGTGGGTACAGTTGTATGGAGTAATGGCTGTTGAGTGCGTCTCATGTTGTTTAACACTGCACTTTGCAGGATGTTTAAGACGGCACTGTATGCGAGCTATACGACGATTGCAAGTTTGGTTTGTTTGTTGTTTAACACCTTAGACAGGTAACGGAACAACCCAGGTAGAGAATAATACACCATCATATTAGTCTGTATCTTATTTAATGTGATCTCATTTCTATACTTTGATTTTCTTTGTTTGTTGTTTAAAGCCGCACTCAGCAATATTCCGGCTATATGACAGCGGTCTATAATTAATCGAGTCTGGACCAGATAATCCAGTAATTGATATCATGAACATGGATCCACGCATTCGGGATACGATGAAATGCATCAGCCAAGTCAGTGAGCTTGACTATCCAATCCTGCTATTCGCCTCTTACGACAAGCATAGTCGCCTTTTACGGCAAGCATGGGTTGCTGAAGACCTATTCTACTCCGGATCTTCACAGGTCTCGATCGCCTGTAAATTATCAAAACGAGTCAATGTCACGAACATAACAGGAACATACACATACTTTTGTGATTTTCTTTTATCTACCAGTTGTGTGAGTGCATGCATGCGTGCGTGCGTGTGTGCGTGCGTGTGTGCGTGTGTGCGTGTGTGCGTGCATGTGTATCTGTTGTTGACCTACGCACGAGGAAGTACTACAGCTATATGATGCCGGCTTATCGTAATCGAGTCTGGACCAAACAACCCACTGATATATTATGAGCAACGACCGACGCCGTGGGGATACAATGACACGCAATTAACCAAGTGAAAGAGTCTGAGCTCTTAACACCACTGTTGTCACTTACGACAGGCGTACGTTGCTGTGGAACAATTCAGGGTAATTCGGAATTCATGTTTATCAGGATAAACACAAACAGAGGCAGCCACTTGTATACTACGCAATATGATTGTTTATTAATGATAAAATCCTATGGCTATATGAATAAATACAATCAATAATTTACTTGACTGAGATAACCATTTATGTTGGAATTACTTTCAGCATGTCTTATTGAGACAACTTGAGGTTTACAAACGAAGATCAGTGAGAAAAGCATTGTTAAACATCCTGTTACAATGCACTGCATCAACTGAATGTTGTATAAATATTTTTCTTCTTAAGGCTAGAAACTGTTTTTACAGTCTTTGTAGTGAGGACATTTACGGATTAATTCCTTGTTTTGTGTTCCTCAGGGGTCTTCATTGCACATGGCTCATTGACAGTGGCAACGCAGACTATATTGTTAAGTTTAAGGTCGTGCAAGCAAGCATTGTCTCCTCAGTCGACTGTACGTATGACTATCTGGCAGTCTATGACGGTAAGTGTCATAACGATGTACAATTCTAACACGAAAAATCACCAAAGCGTTTGTTGACGGACATATTTTAAATGTATCTATTCAGTGTTTATGGTAGCTTCTTGTTTTGGCGGGGACAGTGGGTTAGCCTAGTGGTTGGGGCGTTCACTCGAAACGCTGAAGACCCTGGTTCAATTCGCCCCAGGGGCACAATGTGACAGTGAAGCCCATTTCTGGTGCTTTGGATGCAAAAAGCGGCGTAAAACAGTTCTCACTCACTCTTGTATTGGCACATCAGCATTAACGCTCACCTTATTAATGTTGTCTTTTGGTTTATGACAGCAATGTAAGTGTCTAATGATTCTTACTCCTAGTGCCTGGTGTGGGGCGGTTGGTTAACCTAGTGGTTAAAAGCTTTCGCTCATCACGCCAAAGACCCGGGTTCAATTCCCGTCATGGGTACAATGAGTGAAGCCCATTTGTGGTGTCCCCCGCCGTGATATTGCTGGAATATTGCTTAAAGCAGCGTAAAACCTTACTCACTCGCTAGTGCCTGGTAAAGGCTAAGTAAATTGGTCAGGGCAATAATATCGTGCACATTTTATGCACAGGCATGTCTGAGGCAACCCGCGTCCAGTTGGGTAAATGGTGCTGGGGCGTTGATGAAACAGAGACAATATATTCCACTCAACGATACTTGACTGTTGTCTTTCACACGAGCAAGGATAACACTGCGAGTGGTTTCAGGCTGAGATACTGGAGAGATGCGGCACCTGAAGAACAAGGTACTGACTGGACTTGAGTTTTAAAAATTTAGAATTGCAATAGCACGTGTTAGATGTTCCTCTCACAACCTGTATATAGAGACTGGTAGATATAATCACACTGATAGAAGAGACAGAATATGCACATTGTGTAACACAAATTCAATTGAAGATGAGTTTCACTTTCACCAAATAATTGATGAGCTTTAGAGACGTTATGAGTCGTAGGAGATAGATGACTACCACAACAGTACATGCTCTGCCTGCCTAACACAATCTACGATGCTCGTTTCAATGTTTGAAAAAAAGATTAGAATAGTAGTCGGTTATGATTCATGGTGTAAAAAAAGTTTTATCAAGTGTTGTGCACTTAAAAACCAACATCGTATCCCTTCAGCGAATTCCGGTGAACGAACGGGAATAACAAACTTGGTCAATAAAAACATGAAATTTGATATTGTAGGTATACGGTGGTCTTGCCGTGCTAGAAACTAATGTTGTGGGTTCGAATCCAACCCGTCTTTTCGTCTTAATTTTAATTCTTGGTGGTATAACTGATATATATATATGTTCAATCTCATTAAAATCACATCTTAGTTCTCGCTACCGCTAAACAAAGATCTGAGGACATCCCATTAGGGGTCACGTCAGAACGACCTTTCATCTGACCAATCAGAGCGTCGCTTACCAGATCATGTAAGTGACAGTCGGGATGTGATTTCTAATCAAGCAGCCTCGAAAACTTTAACACGGGGTATTCCGAGCGATAGTTACGGGATTAACGATTGAATCTGTACAATCTAGACCATATATTAGCCATTCGAGAATGTTATTTTGTTCAGGTTTCAAATTTTTAAGCGAGAATTTGTCAAAATATGTTTCGAAGCGTAGTCGCCAAATTGCAGTTAGTGCCGTAAAGCACGAGAAAGCTGCCTTCTGATTGGCTAATGTCGTCTTCTTGTCAGTAATTCCATTGGTCGGTCAGAGTTTGCGAAAGGTCGGTCTGACGTGACCCGTAATGGTATGTCTTCAGTTCTTTGTTTAGTGGCAGCGGGAACTTAGATCTGATTTTAATGAGATTGATATATGCTCAGAGCAGTGTTACACCTAACTCACTCTCTCAAATTTTGTACCAGTACTTTTCATTCTTGATATTGTGTCTATACTATCATGTTTTTAGCGCACGAAGACAGATGTACCCCAAAAGATCGCAGGGCTACAGAACAACCCGATTACCTTGTTTCTCCCTCATATCCCAATAAATATGCATTGTAAGTATTCTAGATATGTATGTGGGTACAGTTGTATGGAGTAATGGCTGTTGAGTGCGTCTCATGTTGTTTAACACTGCACTTTGCAGGATGTTTAAGACGGCACTGTATGCGAGCTATACGACGATTGCAAGTTTGGTTTGTTTGTTGTGTAACACCTTAGACAGGTAACGGAACAACCCAGGTAGAGAATAATACACCATCATATTAGTCTGTATCTTATTTAATGTGATCTCATTTCTGTGCTTTGATTTTCTTTGTTTGTTGTTTAAAGCCGCACTCAGCAATATTCCGGCTATATGACAGCGGTCTATAATTAATCGAGTCTGGACCAGATAATCCAGTAATTGATATCATGAACATGGACCCACGCATTTTGGATACGATGAAATGCATCAGCCAAGTCAGAGAGCTTGACTATCCGATCCTGCTGTTCGCCTCTTACGACAAGCATAGTCGCCTTTTACGGCAAGCATGGGTTGCTGAAGGCCTATTCTACTCCGGATCTTCACAGGTCTCGATCGCCTGTAAATTATCAAAACGAGTCAATGTTACGAACATAACAGGAACATACACATACTTTTGTGATTTTCTTTTATCTACCAGTTGTGTGAGTGCATGCATGCGTGCGTGCGTGCGTGTGTGCGTGCATGTGTATCTGTTGTTGACCTACGCATGAGGCAGTAACTACAGCTATATGATGCCGGCTTATTGTAATCGAGTCTGGACCAAACAACCCACTGATATATTATGAGCAACGACCGACGCCGTGGGGATACAATGACACGCAATTAACCAAGTGAAAGAGTCTGAGCTCTTAACACCACTGTTGTCACTTTCGACAGGCGTACGTTGCTGTGGAACAATTCAGGGTAATTCGGAATTCATGTTTATCAGGATAAACACAAACAGAGGCAGCCACTTGTATACTACGCAATATGATTGTTTATTAATGATAAAATCCTATGGCTATATGAATAAATACAATCAATAATTTACTTGACTGAGATAACCATTTATGTTGGAATTACTTTCAGCATGTCTTATTGAGACAACTTGAGGTTTACAAACGAAGATCAGTGAGAAAAGCATTGTTAAACATCCTGTTACAATGCACTGCATCAACTGAATGTTGTATAAATATTTTTCTTCTTAAGGCTAGAAACTGTTTTTACAGTCTTTGTAGTGAGGACATTTACGGATTAATTCCTTGTTTTGTGTTCCTCAGGGGTCTTCATTGCACATGGCTCATTGACAGTGGCAACGCAGACTATATTGTTAAGTTTAAGGTCGTGCAAGCAAGCATTGTCTCCTCAGTCGACTGTACGTATGACTATCTGGCAGTCTATGACGGTAAGTGTCATAACGATGTACAATTCTAACACGACAAATCACCAAAGCATTTGTTGACGGACATATTTTAAATGTATCTATTCAGTGTTTATGGTAGCTTCTTGTTTTGGCGGTAACAGTGGGTTAGCCTAGTGGTTGGGGCGTTCACTCGAAACGCTGAAGACCCTGGTTCAATTCGCCCCAGGGGCACAATGTGACAGTGAAGCCCATTTCTGGTGCTTTGGATGCAAAAAGCGGCGTAAAACAGTTCTCACTCACTCTTGTATTGGCACATCAGCATTAACGCTCACCTTATTAATGTTGTCTTTTGGTTTATGACAGCAATGTTAGTGTCTAATGATTCTTACTCCTAGTGCCTGATGTGGGGCGGTTGGGTAGCCTAGTGGTTAAAAGGTTTCGCTCATCACGCCAAAGACCCGGGTTCAATTCCCGTCATGGGTACAATGAGTGAAGCCCATTTGTAGTGTCCCCCGCCATGATATTGCTGGAATATTGCTAAAAGCAGCGAAAAACCTTACTCACTCGCTAGTGCCTGGTAAAGGCTAAGTAAATTGGTCAGGGCAATAATATCGTGCACATTTTATGCACAGGCATGTCTGAGGCAACCCGCGTCCAGTTGGGTAAATGGTGCTGGGGCGTTGATGAAACAGAGACAATATATTCCACTCAACGATACTTGACTGTTGTCTTTCACACGAACAAGGATAACACTGCGAGTGGTTTCAGGCTGAGATACTGGAGAGATGCGACACCTGAAGAACAAGGTACTGACTGGACTTGAGTTTTAAAAATTTAGAATTGCACTAGCACGAGTTAGATGTTCCTCTCACAACCTGTATATAGAGACTGGTAGATATAATCACACTGATAGAAGAGGCAGAATATGCACATTGTGTAACCCAAATTCAATTGAAGATGAGTTTCACTTTCTCCTGGTGTGTCAAGTTTAGAAACATTTACGTGATAAATATTTGCCATCTTTCTACTCTGTACACCCGAATGTCCATAAGTTTGTAGATCTTTTAACTTCATCTAATGATACTATGCTATGTAACCTGTCAACATATGTTTATCACGCGATGTCACATAGAAACAGAATTGTTAGTTAACAACCACGTCACCTACATGTAAATACGCATTGTACTATAGGCCTGTGGCCTTTTAAGTACTGAATAAAACTGATTGACTGGACACATTCATTAAATACCACGGCGTTTAAATGCAATTACATGTGTCACTTCTGTCTGTTGCTACAGTTAATGCCGTTTTGGGGAGCACAGAAAATAATGTTTTGTTAAAGTTTGATACCAAAGTTTTAAATTCCATTGCAACGGACGATGTAGCGTAAGGACTCTTTTGGACAACTAGATTTGCATGATTTGAGAAGTGAGGTTACACGTGGAGAATGGTTTTAGATAGAAGTGTTTATAACCCATTCCACTCCTCCTAGTTTTGAACTTCCTTGAAGTGTGTTTCTAATATATCAGGGAGCACGGGTGACCCAGTCATCTAAGGCGCCGCAAATCGGTAGGCATACTCCCTTAAGTACGCCAGACACCTATTGCTTCTATGGGTTCCAATAAAGAACTCAATATTTTTGGTGTTTTTAGAGGCATAAACGTGAAATCTGTAGCGGATTTAAGCAAAGTGTGCATTTATATTTCAATAAACGCAAAAAATAGTGAAGTCAATTCTTAGAAATAAATAAAGTCAACAATAATTACTTCTCAGACTGCTTATTTAATGATTACCACACACAAGACTTTAGATAACAGTACTAAATCAGTGATTTCGTTCAGCGCAATAATGCAATACAAGCCCCACACATTCTATTATCAGCCAATCAGGAAACACTAGTTTCTATGTAGGCGTGGCCTAATTTTTTTCTGCGATTTTTCGAAATATAAACCCGTCACCACTGCCTCTTAGAGCAACACATACTGTTCTAAAGTGTCAGAAGCCAAATTGCCTTATTTCGATTTTTCTATGATCCTAGATGCAGGTTTCGTTTTTTGTAATTCCCACTTTTAGAGTTTTGTGTGTGAACCATGGGCTTCTGCCAAAAGACATCTGAACTTTCGATCCTCATCTGTTTTCAGCGTTTAAAGTGTCCTGAAGCTGAATTCTGAACCGATGTTGAGTCCGAGACAGTGTTTAATGAATAAATGGCTGTTTTGAATCACACTCTATTCTTGACAAATACTATATACTCCAGGTAATCTAGGCCAACTGGTTTGGGGTAAATTCTGAGAGGACCTTCCAACAAACTTTTACATGAATGAAAACGAAAGTTGTTACAGCGTTTATTGTCATGTTGATAAGTAGATTCAGATAATATCAATCAACATTGAAATTCAAACTCGCCAAAACATGTAATTTAAGAGATAAACATTGATATTTGGTGGTTATATTGAATTTTTGCAAATGATTGAGTATTCTACATGCATCCTTGGGTCTGTTTACCGCAAGTTAGTAGTTCAAATCACTCAAATATGTCATCAGAGACCAACAGTGTATTTATATTCTGTGTCTAGCCATCAAACTCTTGGCGGCCATCTTGGAATTTTGGCCGAACAGGGGGCTCTGGTGACGGAATTTCTTATCTTAAAGTGTTAACTATACTTCAGTGAGTTAATGTGCCAAGGTATATGCATATAAGTCCTAGCACACTGTTTAAGAGTTAAAAGATTCAACAGTGTTAACACACAATAAGGAAATTTGTCGGCCATCTTGAAATTGGCGGCCATCTTGAATATTTGCAGATTTGTCAATAGTCGAAAACATTCAGTTTTGAATATCTTTTTAGAAATATAACATGGTTATTTCACAATACCACACATGGTATTTTTCATCAAAACATTGAACCTCATCTGAGATATTGAAGATATATTGATAATTGGTGGCCATATCAGATTATGCAAATAAGACATATTTCCCAAACTGGGATTGCTTGGGACTTTTAGTGTGTTGTTTTCGGGACCTTGTAGAAATGCACTGTGTGGTGAAATAAATTCTGTTGCAATTTGTTCCAAATGAAACCTTATTTTGCCTGGGCTGATAGTGTTCAGCATTTTGTCATGCCTATTGTTATGGCTGAATTTGTGTAAGTTCGCCACTTTTTAGCTTTTACATATTTATAACTTTTTTCAGGTCAGGCTACAGCTACAGGTAGCAACATGGGAACAATTCTTGGTGGCATCTTTGGTGGCCTCATACCGTTGGCTGTCATCATCTTCATAATCTGATGACCTCGTCTGGAGACCTCTGTCCAAGGGCACGAGTTCTTCTGGATGTGGTCAAGCCACTCCTGCAGTAGCTTATCAGCCAAAGCAGCAAGTTGCGTATATGCATCCACTGTCTACTAGTCCTAATGCGTATCCTGATAAAAGAACGCATGGCCCTTCTCCTCACTATAACGAGTTTCCTGAACACCAAGGTTCAAAGTGCATTGTTCAGGGACATGAATATTCCTAACAAGGACCTGTTAAGGATCATGAAGTTTCTCAGTTACTCCATGTTCAAGAACATGCTTCATCTCGTGCAGGGCCTATTCAAGAAAATAAGTACTCAGCCAGGGCCTTTCTAAGGGAATCAATTTTCACAGCCTGTTCATGATCTTGAATATTCTAAAGGGCATAATTATTCTTGGGCAAGGCCTATTATAGAAAATAAAAACTTTCAGCCAGGGCCAGTCAAGAGGGATGAATAATCTCACCAAGGGCCTGTGGAAAGGGATGCATATTCTCAGAAAGGGCCTGTAGAGAGGGATGAATATTTTTCTGCCAGGGCCTGTGGAAAGATGAATATTCTCAGCCAGGGCCTATTCAAGAAAATAAGTACTTAGCCTGAGGACTTTCTAAGGGAATTCAGTCTAAGGGAATTAATTTTCACAGCCTGTGTTCTAAAGGGCATAATTATTCTTGGACAAGGCCTATTAAAGAAAATACATACTTTCAGACAGGGCCTTTCAAGAGGGATGAATACCCTCAGCCAGGCCCTGTGGAAAGGGATGATTAATCTCAGCCAGGGCCTGTTGAAAGGGATGAATATTCTCAGTCAGGGCTTGTGGAGAGGTATGATTATTCTCAGCCTGGGTCTGTTGAGAGGGATGAATATTCTCAGTCAGGGCTTGTGGAGAGGTATGATTAATCTCAGCCAGGGTCTGTTGAAAGGGATGATTAATCTCAGCCAGGGTCTGTTGAGAGGGATGAATATTCTCAGTCAGGGCTTGTGGAGAGGTATAATTATTCTCAGCCAGGGTCTGTTGAGAGGGATGAATATTCTCAGTCAGGGCTTGTGGAGAGGTATGATTAATCTCAGCCAGGGTCTGTTGAAAGGGATGATTAATCTCAGCCAGGGTCTGTTGAGAGGGATGAATATTCTCAGTCAGGGCTTGTGGAGAGGTATAATTATTCTCAGCCAGGGTCTGTTGAGAGGGATGAATATTCTCAGTCAGGGCTTGTGGAGAGGTATGATTATTCTCAGCCAGGGTCTGTTGAGAGGGATGAATATTCTCAGCAAGGACCTGTGGCGAGGGATGCATATTGTTTCTGCCAGGGATTGTTGAGATAGGAATATTCTCAGCCAGGGCCTGTGGAAAGGGATGAATATTCATAGCCAATACACAGAGTTCAAATCTAAAACAGAAGAAAACAACCCCTGGTGTAGTCTGATATGCACATCGCTATATGGCTGAAATAATGCCAATGCAATGTTAAATTTTAACTCACTCACTCACTGATACAAGTATCTGAAGTCCAAAGGAATGTAACATACGATCCTGTGATACATAATTAATGTTTAATCTGTACCCTCTCATTTGAACAACAACAATTGAAGATGGGTCCACAGCTCAGTAGCCACCTGTTACCTTAGACAGGTAATGGAACAACCCAGGTAGAGAATAATACACAACCATATTAGTCTGTATGTTATTTAATGTGATCTTATTTCTATACTTTGATTTTCTTTGTTTGTTGTTTAAAGCTGCACTCAGCAATATTCCGGCGATATGACGGCGGTCTGTAAATAATCAAGTTTGGACCAGACAATCCAGTGATTGACATCATGAGCATCGATCTACGTTATTGGGATATGATGACATGCATGAACCAAGTCAGCGAGCTTGTGGCTTTAAGGTTTTGAGAGGTCGCCTTCTGCCTTGGCAATGCTAACCTGTCCTTCTTCTTGGACGCATTATTGTGAGTGGAGGTACACTTCTTTATTGGGAGTTTTAGAATTGATAAAGTTTCTGTTCTTGTATTGATAAGATTTTTGTTTTCGCATTGATGGTTTGATTTTATTTTTAGAAATTGGCAGAATTTCTTCGGCCGCTCTGTGAAAATGTTTGAGTAGGTGACCATCTTTCAGAAATTCACTATTCTTCCCTATTGCATCTCTTGGCTTAAGAAGATCTGTGACAGATAGCGAATCTGACTACAATTCTTTATAGGGATCATTACCATAAGAATTAATGCATTGGTAAAACACTTTCAACTGAATGTTTGTCTTTGTTTTTTGGGGGGCACGGGTGGCCCAGTCGTCTAAGGCGCCGCGATTCGCTGTGCAGAGTTGCGTCCCTTGGGCACGCCAGAAACCTATGATTGTGGGTTCGAATCCCGGTTCGCCCCGATTATGTTTCTAGGTTTGTCAGCACCATACCCGTGCTCGTGGATTTCACCGAAGTGGTAAACGTCTGAGACCTGCATCACTTCGGGCTTTCCTCCCACATCAAGCTGACACGCCGTGATATAACTGGAATACTGTTAAAAGCGGCGTTAAACCCAACTCACTCACTCACTCACTCTTTGTTTTTTTAAATTGATGGATCTGATATTGTATATCTGTTGATGTATATTTCTTAAATGTGTGTATTATATTTGATGAGGTACATGTGTATTGTAGTCCTCTGTGAAGATCCAGGTCAGATTTGGTCTTCGGAAACCCATGCTTGTCATAAGAGGCAACTAACGGTATCGTGTGGTCAGGCTCAGTTGATGCATCTCATCCTGTTCCAGTTGGGTAAATTGATGCTCATGTCAATCACTGGATTGTCTGGTCAAGACTCAATTATTTACTGACTGTCGTCAATTAGCTGGAATATTGCTGAGTGTGGCCTTAGACAGTAAACAAACATACTACTCACAAGTATTATAAGAGGTGATTATGCTTGTAGGGCGGTCAGGCTGGCTGACTTAGTTGATGCATGTCATGGTATCCCAATTCAAGATCCGGGGTAGAATAGGTTTTCAGCAACCCATGCTTGCCGTAAAAGGCGACTATGCTTGTCGTAAGAGGCGACTAACGGGATCGGATGGTCAGGCTCACTAACTTTGTTGAAGCATGTCATCGTATCCCAATTGCGTGGATCGATGCTCATGATGTCAATCACTGGATTGTCTGGTCCAGACTCGATTATTTACGGAGCGCCGTCATATAGCTGGAATATTGCCGAGTGCGGCATAAAACAATCAATCAACCAACCCAATTGCGGAGATCGATGCCGATGTCAATGAAATAGTTTGTCTGTTCCAGACTCGATTATTTACAGAGCGCCGTCATAGAGCTGGAATATTGCTGAGTGCGGCGTTAAACAATCAATCAACCAACCCAATTGCGGAGATCGATGCCTATGTCAATGAAATAGTTTGTCTGTTCCAGACTCGATTATTTACAGACCGCCACCATTTAGAGATGGAATGTTCCTGAATGAGGCATTACACAACAAACAAACAAACAAACAAACACTGTGTTATACATCAATTATTATTAAACGAGTGCAATATCAATCGTTTTTCCCATCTCTATGTTATAAATACTTGTATTACAAGCCAGTATTTGTATCAACTATTATTTAACAGGTGAAGTATCAACAAATACTTGGGTTCTGTATCACCTGTTATGAAAGGAGTGAAACCTAAACCGTCTTTCACATCTATATCACAAATATTTATGTTATGTATTAAATGTTATGAAACAAGTAAACCATTACCCAGTTTTCTGTGTGTTAAAAATTCTTGTGTTTTATTGTTAAACTGTTATTAAAGGCTGGTTCCCATGTACATGCAACTTCGATTGTTTATTATGAAATATATGCATATGATGTATAAACGTCCAACGCTAATGTGGTCCCAGGCGGCCCAGCAGCCATGCTAGTAGCGTCCTTATCCATGCCAGGATGCACTGAGTGTTTGTTGGTTCAAATCTCTGATTACCCCTGTTGTGATCCTTGGGTCCTTCTGTGTCGTCCAGAGACGTCTGTTCAAGGCCCAAAGGTAATTTTCTAGAGGTCAAGCCACCCCTGCGGCTGCTTTATCAGCTGAAGCAACAAGCTGGGTTTATGTTTTTTATCGTCCACCAGTCGACTAGAAAAGAATTATGACTGAATCTATCTCATCAATATTCAAATTCACACATGATCGTGGACGGAGCAGGTCAAAAGGGCCACAGGAGAAAGTATTAATATCAAGGGTAAATAGTGTAAGTTTCTGTTTGTTTGCTCTATTTATTTTGACCGCCTCCGTAGGCCAGTGGAAGAGCCTCCACCCGGAGAGCTGAAGGTCGGGGGTTTGATCCCGGTCGCGTCAGACCAAACGATATTAAAGGACGGTACTTGTTACCCTGCGGCATTAAGGGGCTAAAACAAGGACTGGTCGACTGTCTGAATTTGGTATTCATGTTAAACTGTGGTATCTCAGTGGGCTAGCACTATAAAATCGGCATTAGTTCAGACAAGGACATGCACGCACACGCACACGCACACGCACACGCACACACCTGCATACAGGTCGCTATATAAATGCAATAATCTTGGACAGACGTTAAACCCCATTTCACTTCACCTATATTTGTTTCATTGACCCAGAGGATTTACAATACTTCACTACAGTATACTTCTGTGATACATACTGACTGGACTGACTCAGTGTCAGAGTGATGGTATAAACTATTTACATGCCGCTCACCGTGCCTGCTCAGTGTGTAAAGTACCAACAAGTGTTAGGAAGAATCGGCATGTTCTTGAGCGACTCCGGCTTTGTACAAGCTTGTGCCAGCCCTGTTCAAGCAAGCCTCACCACAGAGGCTACCACCCGAGGGCAAACTGCGACGATGCATAAGGAAGACAGCCCACCAGTTCACAAGAAGAAATATTTGCCTCCTGGAATCTGTTCAATGATGGAAATCTCAGCCCGACTAAATTACTGTCCATCTGTTATTTATTAGCGGAAATAGTAAATTCATGTATGCTTCATATAAAGAGGTGTAAATGTTACGTTATTGAAAATAACATTACATTTGGCCATTCGTCTGACCAATGTTTTGTCATAACATCTTCATTGACAAAACCTCTACCTGGTAACTGGAGACAGGGCGACACGCCCTAAAAGAGGGAGGGTGTAACAACTCAATTAACCATTTCAATATCGGGCGTGACCACCATTTGCGTTAATACAGGAGAGGCAGTAGCGGTGCGTTGAATACACAAGATGATTGAAATCAGCATGGTGAATGTTCCAAATACCAACCAAAAATCGTTCCAACTGAGCTAGCATTACCGGCTAGTTTTGGTCCTGTCGTAGGCGTCGTTTTCGTTTTGCCCCGGGTCTGAAGAAACAGCCGGCAGTACAGGAATTATTTGCTGTCTCCAAAAAATATGCTACGACACCTGCAACATGTGGGCGCGTATTATCATACTGCAACGTGACGTTACGTCCCTGTATTTTTCCAAAAGGTAGAACATGTCCAGGTAGTGTACGCCATTCAAAGGGCTGTTAACTATTAGGAGTTGCGTTCTCCCGTGAGTTCTCCCCATACCATTTAACTTCCGTCCCGAAACTGACGACACTGAGTAACGCAAGCGTTGCTAAGACGTTCTCCTGGACGCCTGTCGACCCTTGCACGATCACAAGAACTGTCCAGATTAAACCTGGACTCATCTGTGAACAGTATATTGTCTCAGTCTTGTCTTCTGAACCTCAGATGCTGTTTATAAAACTAGGCATGCCTGACGGTGAAGTTGAAGGAAGGCCCCGAAATGCCCTCGACTCCCCACTTACACGTACAGGCATCCTTCTAGATACTGCTACCTGGTAGCGTCGAGAATAATGTTCGTGTCGGAAATTGAAAACTGGTCACAAGCCAACTCCTCACAGCGGAGTTCCTTATACCGGTAGGCTAACGAGTGTCAATTTAACCCTGGGACGGAGTTTGGACTGTGAACACTTAAGGGGTCACTCTTTGCTACGATCTGCCGTGGGAGTATTCCCAGGGCCCATAGGCCAACAGAATTTTATGAACGACTCATTTAGATTGCTGCCATTCACAATCAACAAGTGAAAATGCATTAAGTGGGTGAGATATACTTCAAAATTAATAATATATGTGAATAAATAAAAAGATTTAAAAAACTGTTTTCTATGCTTTGGGAAGCCTGTGCAGTTTGTACTATCAGGTAAAACACACCGTCATATAGCTGGAATATTGCTGAGTCAGGTAAAGACAGTCCAGCCCCAGCACAGTTGTTGTGGAAACGTTAAGGACAAGCAACTGACCTGCACATAACTCTCTAGCGCTGACAATGGCAATAATAGCCCAGCTGCAATATTATCTATTGTGTACCCACTACACAGTGGTCATGAAGATGTACATATATGCCAAAGTGCCACGATTATATGATAGGTACAGGCTAGTGGACATTCTGACGTGGGGTCGGCTTGGACACAATATTTCGGTTCTTCAGACAGCTTGAAAACATACACAACGTTATCTCTAATACTATTTGGACGGAAATCACATTATTTCAAAAATCCCCCAGCATGTCCATGGAAAGAGCTTATTGTGTTTGGAACGCCTGTGGACAAATTGTTTTTTAATGCACAGCCGGGAACAGATTGCGCACCCCAATAAATGCTTCTCACACGTGTATGCACTTTTACGTAATCGATTTGACAGTTTTGCCAAAATGTGTCGCCATTAAGGTCATTGCGACTATTTGTGTGGATGGTTATCTAAAATGGATTAACACTTTCATTTACTATTGTCTACATAATAGAATGAGTTTAATGTATAATATCGACTTGCGCGCCAGATGTGTCAAAGGTGAAACCTCATGCACTTAGGCTTCGAAACTGTCGATACTGGCTTCCGACCGAGCTAAATAAAGAGACTGTAAGGGAGGTAAGTATATTCATACTTTTTTGAATGCAACAATAGGTAAACTGTTTACCATTTAAACAATTCTTTTTGTAAATGAACTCGTACCCATTGTGTAATATTAATAATAACGATTAATTGCGCATACAGCGATTGTGATTGTTATTGAACATGTCTTTCTTCTGTCTTATCCTATGTTCAGTACATGTATATGTTCTGTTACTGTTAATTCACGCACTTTCCTAGCCGTCTAAGGCGCCGTCGAAAAGGAATGTGAGTTGCGCCGTTTATGCCTGCCACAAACTTAGAGTGGGTTCGAATGTAGCTAGGTTTGTCAGCACTACACTCGTGCTCGTGAATTTCACCAAAGTGGTTAACGTCTAAGACCTGCATCACTAACGTTTTTCTCACATAACAATTGGCCAGCGTATATGACATATAGCAGGATGAGGCTCTTCCGACTGACCAACGCAGTAAACACTTGGATACAACACAGTAAACATGTGGATACAACACAGTAAACACGTGATAACGACGTAGTGAACACATGGCTACAGCACAGTAAACATATGGCTACAACACAGTAAACACATGGATACAACAAAGTAAACACGCGGATACAACACAGTAAACACATGGCTACAGCACAGTAAACACATGGATACAACACAGTAAACACATGGATACAACAAAGTAAACACGCGGATACAACACAGTAAACACGCGGATACAACAAAGTAAACACGCGGATACAACACAGTAAACACATGGATACAACAAAGTAAACACGCGGATACAACACAGTAAACACGCGGATACAACACAGTAAACACATGGCTACAGCACAGTAAACACGCGGATACAACACAGTAAACACGCGGATACAACACAGTAAACACGCGGATACAACAAAGTAAACACGCGGATACAACACAGTAAACACATGGATACAACAAAGTAAACACGCGGATACAACACAGTAAACACGCGGATACAACACAGTAAACACATGGCTACAGCACAGTAAACACATGCTACAATGTAAACACAAGGATACAACACAGTAAACACATGGATACAGCACAGTAAAGATATATTAGGAGAATATTTTCCTATTTCTTCAGCGGAAGGTCGGTGGTTCGATCCCCGGTCGCGTCTCACAAAACGACGTTAAAAGATGGACCTTATCGGCTCCGAGTCACTCTACTGTATGAGTGGATTATACATATTAGTCTTGTGGCATGGTGTATGGTCAGTAGGCTAGCCCTGTAGAACCTGCATTTATCCGGACTGGTACATGTTGACACACGCACGCTCGCACGCACGCACCCACACACGCACGCACGCACGCACGCACGCACACCCACACGTGCATGCACGTCTCGATATACATGTAAGCGCACTTAAATCTTGTACGCGGTGTAAAACCCGGACTCACCACACCACGCCTTTTCTGTGACATGTAAACTACTGTCTGTGGTGGGGATTAAAAACTCACACTGGATTTGCCCAAACACAATGCGATAATATAACATGTATTTCGGGTCGAGATGAGCATATATCATTTACTAGCCATATGACGGCGGGGGCATACGTTATGTGTCACCAGTGTTGTCCCCATCTGGTATAATGGAACCAAGGCCAACAGCGTGTCCAGCGTACGTTTCAACCACGACAATTTACCCCCAGCTCCTGCTGGGATAATCTCCAAAGGATTTAATGTATTTGCATGAGGATCAACCTGAACGGTAACAGTAGTTGCGATGTCATCGTATTATACTGTTTATCACTGGCGGTACGATTAATCACCAGTTGACTCAGCAAATACCCCTTGCTAAGCGGAAACAAAGACTCGCGGATGTTGAACTAAAACATGCTTGTGTAGATCTTGAACACATATACTACTAAAGCTAGTTAGGGAACACCCACAAGTGTGTGTGTTGCAATACCTTTCAGCCATGACAGATTAACTATGGTCACATTAACAAATCTAGTGTTCTTTAATTTCTTTTGAGTAGTATATGGTGTGTGCATGCGTGTGTTTGTGTGTATGTGTGTCATAAACACGCACGCACGCACGCACGCACGCACGCACGCACGCACGCATCAAAGAATAATCGTCCACAAGGTGGTACAATGTACATATACATACAATTTATTTTATTTTCTTCAGACAATTCGGGGCAATGCGCGCCTTTATCTTGACTTTGATTGCAGGTAGGTGTCAAACAATCAGAACACAATCACGAACCATTATGTATTAGTTAGGTTATCAGACAATAAGGCTAAATTTATAAATGAAAAATTATCTAACCCAGGATATGCTTAGGCCAATGAGCAAACCCCCCAACCTTCCTCCCCCCCCCCACCCCCCCCCTCCACACACACCCCCCCTCCACACACACACACACCCCCCCCACCCACCCCACCCCACCACCCACCACCCCCCACCCCCGCCTAGAGCAAATTGTTAGGACACCAGAATCATAACAATAATGTGTTCCAGAATATACAAGAAAAATAATTTTGACTCTGGGTTGCAAATGTTTCACTGAGCATGCTGAATGTCCTTATTTTAGTGAAAAACTGTTGCTTCTGAAAGAATGACCGGAAACATATTGCGTCTCTTACAACCAAGTCCCATGCACCCCTCCACCCCTACCTAATTAAATGGCCCACCCTAATGTAGCATATACTGATTCCTTTAAGAAAATTCATTAAATGATATCATTATGCTAAATACAGCCGTTAACAATGTAGAAAATCTGTTAGGTTATGAAAATGAAGGGCATGGACACTTCAAAAGAGTGCCCATAATACTCTCGTCTCTTTTTTTAATATCTTTTACAGCTTTGTGTCACGTCATGCGCGTGGATGCTGCGCAGGTGCTAGACGCCAACAGCCGCTTCCGGTACTCACTACACCGCAACTGGCGCCAAGCACATCGTCGCCCATCAATTGCCCGACTCCTACAGCTTCCTAGCGATGTCACACTCAAAGAAAGCAACACCATCACCACCGTGCATGGCGTAAAACGATGCCGATTACGGGAGTTGTATAAGGACATGCCTGTCATAGGGTCGAGTATTGAAGCCGACGTTGACGACATCGGCCGATACAGTGGTGGTGCTGTGACGGGGACGTTGATGCTGTCTATGACCAACGATATCCCCAACCCTGGGCTGTGTCATTTGACGGAACAGGAGGCACAGGACATCCTCCTTAGAGAGGAAGGAATAGCCCTAGATATACACATTTTACGTAAAAGAATCACCAAGAAGGTATTTGTGGACAAAGAAAAGAAAGCTCATCTCGTGTTCGCCACTGACATCCTTGTTGAAAACACGTTAAAAGAGTCAAGACCATATTACCTCATTGATCGCTGCGACGGTTCGGTTCTTAAGAAGTCAAAAAGGCTAAATACGAAATACCGATCACATGGAGCAGATGTAACCAGCACGGAGGAGTTTGAGGTGACAAGCACGGATGAGTCTGGGGTGACAAGCACGGAGGAGTTTGAGGTGACCAGCACGGAGGAGTTTGGGGTGACCAGCACGGAGGAGTTTGGGGTGACAAGCACGGAGGAGATCGGGGTGACAAGCACGGAGGAGTTTGAGGTGACCAGCACGGAGGAGTTTGGGGTGACCAGCACGGAGGAGTTTGGGGTGACAAGCACGGAGGAGATCGGGGTGACAAGCACGGAGGAGTTCGGGGTGACCAGCACGGAGGAGTCTGGGGTGACAAGCACGGAGGAGTCTGGGGTGACAAGCACGGAGGAGTTTGAGGTGACCAGCACGGGGGAGTTTGGGGTGACCAGCACGGAGGAGTTTGGGGTGACAAGCACGGAGGAGTTCGGGGTGACCAGCACGGAGGAGTTTGGGGTGACCAGCACGGAGGAGTTTGGGGTGACAAGCACGGATGAGTCTGGGGTGACAAGCACGGAGGAGATCGGGGTGACAAGCACGGAGGAGTTTGGGGTGACCAGCACGGAGGAGTTTGAGGTGACAAGCACGGAGGAGATCGGGGTGACAAGCACGGAGGAGTTCGGGGTGACCAGCACGGAGGAGTTTGAGGTGACAAGCACGGAGGAGATCGGGGTGACAAGCACGGAGGAGTTCGGGGTGACAAGCACGGAGGAGTTTGGGGTGACAAGCACGGAGGAGATTGGGGTGACAAGCACGGAGGAGATCGGGGTGACAAGCACGGAGGAGTTTGGGGTGACAAGCACGGAGGATTCTGGGGTGACAAGCACGGAGAAGTTTGGGAAGACAAGCACGGAGGAGATCGGGGTGACAAGCACGGAGGGGTTTGGGGTGAAAAGCACGGAGGAGTTCGGGGTGACCAGCACGGAGGAGTTCGGGGTGACAAGCACGGAGGAGTTTGAGGTGACAAGCACGGAGGAGTTTGGGGTGACAAGCACGGAGGAGATCGGGGTGACAAGCACGGAGGAGTTCGGAGCAGAGGAAACCTCCACTGGGAGTGAGCCCTCAGCAACTGTCACAGTACAAGCCGAACCTGACGGTCAGTGTGCAACCTTTGTGAAGGGGACCGGTGGCAACCCAAAGACAGGAGCCATCGTATACAGCACACCCCCCTACTGTCTGGACGTGAGGTTGGAAGGAGACATGTGCTTCCTGGAAAATAAATATGTCAAGGTCGTTGATCTGAACCAGACAAAAAACGAAGAGAAGACTGAGGTTGTTAGCTTCAAATGCTCGGAAGGGTACAACGATGCCGTCAACGAAGCCACAAACCCCGTCCTCGACGCCCTCTTCTATGGCACAGCTACTTTTAAATTGTTTGAAGACTGGTATAACACTAAACCGCTGAATATTCAACCATCATGGCTCCTGGTTCATTACGGTAACATGATTGATAACGCTTACTGGAACGGAGGGAAGATGTTGTTTGGGGATGGAAGCCAAGACGAGAGTTATCCCCAAGTAGGACCTGATGTCATAGGTCACGAGCTGGCACATGCGATATCAGAGCAGCACTCTGAGTTAGAGTACTCTGGGCAGTCGGGCGGGATTGATGAAGCCTTCTCTGACATTGCAGGAGAAGTTGTAGAGGCGTATGTTCGTAAAACTGATTGGCTAGTCGGTTTCTATCTATCAAAGTCAAACACGAAAGCGCTGAGATATTTTGAAGACCCAACCAGGGATGGAAGTTCAATAAAAGAGGCCAAAAATTTTGAAAGCGACATGGACGTCCACTTTAGTAGCGGCGTCTTCAACCACGCCTTCTACCAGATCGTCGAAGTCGGGAAGATCCCGATCAAATACGCGTTTGAGAGTTTCTATATCGCCAACAGATTGTACTGGAAAGAGGACACGGGGTTCGTCGAGGGCGCATGTTCCACTATCCGGGGCGCTTACGACGGCGGCTTAGACACAGAGATATACGCAGCAGCCTTCACAGCTGTAGGGGTCAATGCTTGTCCTTTGACCAAATTTCTTGAGATGGTGACCCCATCAAACAAACGCTCCAACATCCGGGTATCCAGCATCCGACAACCATTGTTTGGCATCAATACCAAAGATGCTACCAAGAAGATCGTCGTGGAGGCTGTTAGTGTGTCTGGAGCGGCTGTGAAACTGGCGCTGTCGAGGACGGTGTCTCGAAGTAACCCTGCTGCTTCAGGGACTGGGAGGGTGGAGCTGACGGTGTCGGGAATAGCTTTGTACTACGTCCGCGTCTTCACCGACTCCGTCGACGAGATCAGTGACGTCAAGATCACTTTGAAATTGGAATAGATAACAATGAAGGTCGAGTTGAGATAAATCTGAATCCACTGGTTTCAGAATTGTAATTCCACCGGCGAATAAATAGGAACTGTCATGTCCATACATTTTCCTTGTTTTCTGTCAGGTTACGTGTTCATGGCAAAAGAACACGAGGCAATGGAGTTAAATGACTTTAAAAGTCCAGTTTCCACCCTTGCCGAACTGGGCTGGAATCTCAGGGCTCGATCGTAGCGCCACCAGTGGCTATTACTAGTTTAGTCCCTTCCATGCCCCTTATATTGACCAATTAGATTCCATCTCTCATATCACTTGCATTTGCTTCAAACAAAATGGCGGTGCCATGTCATGTCATGTGACCATTCCCCAAAATATTTAAGTTCTGAACAAGTGAATGCACAAGTGCATCACAGCCCAATTTCCAACAGAGTCGCGTCATTTCTAGTAGATGATGAAGCTATGAGAGAAAAATTAATACATGCCATGAACGCAATGTGAGTTGTAACGTTAACGAATCATATGAAAATAGAGGAACAAAAGCGACAAAGAAAATTAAAGCAAAATATGTCCGTTGTTTGATGAGGTCAAATCATCACTTATATACATGTCGAACTCCCGTTACAATCATGTAATTGATACATAATGAATGATTGTGCGCCGCTTTGAACTAAACTTCAGTTACATCACGGCGATTCTTGATCAGCAATATGTGGGAAACCTTCAGTGATGTTCTCGACGTTACCACTTTGGTGAAATCAAAGAGCACAGAAAATGTGTCGAAACACACACACACGCACACACGCACGCACGCACGCACGCACGCACGCACGCACGCACACACAAACACATCTTATCACTACGTAAAACTTATCAATATACAATGTACATGTATATCAACAATTCAAGCTCGTTGAATCCACAAATGTGTTATCAACAAAACAAAATCAGTGCTGTCTGAATGAATGACTTTGTTTATTACCTTCGAAACAACAATGCGTTTTCAGAACTATTGTGAACTGAGGGGCAAAAAAGTACACCGAGTTTGTTGTCCATGTAATTGAACATTGAAAGAACTGCTGTCAGTGGATGATGTCGAGTTGACCATCACTCATTTCTGCTACTGTTTGTAAAAAGTAATCTGTGGCTGGGATATTTTGTACAAAAATAAACTGGTTCAGTAAAGACTGTGATGAGAAATGTATATGCAACCACATGACCCTGCCATGTTTAAAATATTGTAAATAGTGCCGAAAAAGGCAAATATATAGATTTTCAAAGATAAGTTGTCTAAAATACCCACCAGCAGTTGTGTATTATGCGATTTTTTTAATTTTTAAAAGGTTTAAATCAAATTATATTTTTAAAAATATACCCATGCAGTAATCTTACAGTGCTGACTGATCACCACTATGGTTCATTTTTAGAATATGATATCACTCACAAGTTATTTTCAACTGAAATCAAACAGGTGATAAAATCAATTGAGCGGTATAGTTTCTTTTGCTCCTCGGTATATATGCAGCCTCACACAAAGGGCACACACTGAAGGCGATTCTGTCAGCCAGATGTACGCGCAAAACACAAACGACTGTCCAACAACTGCGACTGGTCCGATCTCATGGCGAGTCTGTCAGCCAGATGTACGCGCAAAACACAAACGACTGTCGTGCAACTGCGACTGGTCCGATCTCATGGCGAGTCTGTCAGCCAGATGTACGTGCTGTACACCGAATAGGGAAATCCATCCCAGAAGACCTCCCCAGGAACGTTCTGTCGAAGGCCGTCTGAAGTCGGAGTGAGTCGACCGTTGGGGTTGCACAGGGTCGGAATCCCCGCGTAGGAATACGCGATGACATCACAACTTTTGAACCACCAGCCCGACTGATGTTCCAAGGCACAAGTCCACCACGAAAGATCATCGTTGTCACGGTCTTTGGCTGAGAATGGCTGCCTGATGACCCCGGTCAGGCAGTCGATCCCAAAGTCCCCGGATGTTTGGTCGAAAGAATCAATTGCGAAATTGTTGTCCTCGTCCAAGATTTTGAAGCTGGTGTAACGTTGGGAGTAGGCCGTGCCGTCCTTAATGACGTAGCTGATGGTGAAGGTCATGTTCTTAAACGAAAGGAGGGCGTAGAGGTGACGGTTTCCAAGCCAGTGGTCACCCGTAAGCGTTCCGAAGCCGCCAGTGTACTCCGACCATGGTCGGAACATGTCAGTGGAGGAATGTTCGCGGTACTGAACGTACAGTCTCCCGCCTTTGCTCATGTCGCAAAGAACAAAGAAGGTGTGGTTGGAGGTCGACGGCTGGACGGGCAAAACACCCTTAAAGTTGACGTAGCTGCCTGACTTGAACCCTTCGCTGCAACCTGGATACAATAAATAGTAAGAGTTAAGTGGTATAAAATACTGTAGGGCAAAGTAAAATATATACCCATGTTTGACTATGGATAATATGAGACAAACAAGAAATGGTTATTCGATGGTGATGAATTTGATATCAGTATCATAGGCGATATTAATGTATCATATCACTGAGTATCTCAGAACAGGTATACATGACGTCTCAAGGAACATGGGGTTCGCAATTCGAGGGGGGCGATCGGGAAGCCGAGTGGTTAAAACGTTCGCTCTTTCGCCGAAGATCCGGGTTCGATTCCCGACATGAGTACAATGTATGAAGCCAATTTGTGGTGTCCCCCGCCGACATATTGCTGGAATATTGCTAAAAGCGGCGTAAAACCATACTTACTCACTCGCAATTCGAGAGACTGTTTTCAAGTGAAGTTTTCTTTTGCCCGGCACTTTGTTTCATTGATATTTCATTGTCTGCGTACCATATGGTCACACTAATTCGATATATGTTCAACTAGCTGCTTATATTCATATTTACAATGAATTTGCTGATTGCTACCCCTTTTTAGATCAATGCGGATTCTTCGTCGCCAACAGACAACAGTCTGGGGGTGATCTTTGCATTATGCAGGATTAAAATGAAATTAATCCGGGTAAATATGATTGAATAACGTTTTACTCACTTGCCATGCGTCTCTCACAGTTGTCCCCCACATAGCCGTGAACGCAGACGCAGCTGTTCCCCGTGCCTTTGTAGCCCCCGTTCTGACACTCCCCGCGCTACCAGACAGACAAACAAAATGTATTACTTGCCGGATAGCAGTTACCCGGCATTCGAAAATTCAATTTTGTTCGGTATACCCGAAGTGCAGATTTCATGTCATTTCTGAGATTGAGTCGGACTAACGGACTAGTGAAAATACAGCTAATACTAATAATCTTCTGGAAGTTGTTTACAGTTTAGAGAAATGCCAAAGACATCTTAAAACAATAATTGTATTTAGCAATAGGACTCGAGTATAAGGAACGTTGTGTCTGTACCATGAATAGACAAATGGTCAATATATAACATCCATTTCTATAACGGTAGTAGTAGTAGTAGTAGTTGTAGTAGTAGTAGTAGTAGTAGTAGTAGTAGTAGTTGTAGTTGTAGTAGTAGTAGTTGTAGTAGTAGTAGTAGTAGTTGGTGTAGTTGTATTAGTAGTAGTAGTTGTAGTGGTAGTAGTAGTTGTGGTCGTAGAAGTAGTTATAGTAGTAGTAGTAATAGTAGTAGTTGTAGTAGTAGTAGTAGTAGTCGCGGCAAAAGCAGTAGAATAAGTATTTGGATTTAGGACAATTATGGAACAAAATGAGGACTATTTGCTGTCGCATAATTTTACATTTCCAAAATATGGAGTATATATCAATACTATCAAGATAAAGTTAAAAAACATGTAGGAGAACAATCCGTGTTGTGTAATTATTTTGTGAATTTCTTTACACATGTGCTACTGTACACCAATGCATCTCGCCACTTTATATAGATAGATAGATAGATAGATAGATAGATAGATAGATAGATTCTAGCATATCACTTTGACATGGAATAGTCATAGTCACTCTTAATGCATTGGAGACGGAGAAACAATCAAATAAAACCTGCTAGAAAATCAAATCTACCACCTCCACAAAGTAACTTGAGAATTGTTCCCTCTTGCACTGGTCATTGTCAGGCTGGGGAAAGAGAGTACAGTTTCGGCCGTTGCGGTCAAATGTCCGGCACTGAGGGTTCTGGAGGCACAGAGCGGCGCATTGTATCCCCGTGTCGGTGTCCGTAGTGGCTAGAACGGACGTGGCGGAACACAACTCTGCTTTGAACATAAAGATGCCCGTGATTTGAGGCAGGTAGAGCACGTGCATCATGGTTGCCAGGAGACAGCAGTGTGACTTCCTTCTTGACAACACGTCGTAACCGGATCCTTCTGACCTGTAGATATAACTCGGCTTTATAACCATCCTCGATGATCTAGAGTTTGACCTCCAGTTTGTTATTATGAATACCCTGGACCCATTCGCTACCATAGCTTCTTTTCGAAGGTGACGTGCACGCGCTCATTATGCCTTTCGCGCAGATGTTTTCTCCTCAATTTGTGTTATTTGATTGGACGGCTATTTTGTAGAGTCCGCATAGTTTGTATCGCACTCAAAATGGAGCCATGTTGGCGATAGAGGCCAGGGTATTTATCATAAAATAATACAAAAGAAGAATCAAAAGTATATTCATGAATATAGCTTGGCCACCTGAGTTCTTTAGATGCATATATATATAATCAAATATGTTGACGCAGCAGTTAATTTGGGGGAGAGTATTTTTTCAACGTTTCTATAACTGGGGAAGATGCTTTTCCTGCTTCAACAGAGAGAGTATCACAAACTTTAGTCCGTACAAACCTAGATGAGAAGATATCTTTAGTATGGTACAGCTATCTTTACATTTCCCACTCTGGCTCTTGCTTGGATATTTTCATACATATTCTTAAGTATTATAAACAATTCCAACGAATTTCCATGTTGAGTTGGACACATACAAAAATAACATATATCTGTCAACATGATCGAACGCTTTCTCAAAGTCAATAAAACAAGAATAAAACCTATGGTTTGGTTTTCTGAGATATTTCTGACAGAGATTGCAGAACGAAATGTTTATCAGTTGTAGAGAAATCATATATCAATCCAGCTTGTGCTTCATATATCGTATCCTTGACTTGAACTATTGACTATTTCTTATTCCCAGTTGTATAATTGATGTGAAATCAGCTATAACAGTGGGATAATCATTCCTATCTTCAGGAAATCAACCAAGATTAAATACAGAGCATATTCAAATATAATACAATGAGATATGCTACACAGGATTGACGACATACATGTTTTTTCAGGCAAAAACCGCAGACATGCAAATTGTGTGAGAGTCTGGTGCTACCGGTAGAGCAGGACATGCCAACTGTTTCGCGAACGCTGTTATCACTGATTGTCAGTGATCTGTTCATATACTATTTGCTGCCATTTTGCCTTTTACAGCCTATTGAAAATTGGTTCGTCGGATAAACGAAACTAGTCATAATCTGGCGTTGACATTTCTGATATTCACAACAGGAACTAAAGCAACGACCTGGCAGAAAATACAAGGAACAAACAAAAATTTCCATTTCTTTGTCATACAAATTTTAATTGATAAGAGTGATTAAGATGCAGCAAACAGTTCTGGATAAGATAAAAGATAATTTTTAATTGTTACTGGACAAAGTTTAATATCATTGATAATGTACTGGGGTGTTTTTTTTTTACATTTTCTATTATATACGAAAACAAACAAGAACACCAAGAAAGAAAAAGTTCAATAGACTCACCTTACATTACGTGTGTCAATCAATACGTTTCACAATATGTTTGACACATTCCGCCAAAAGCTCTTGTGATGAGTGAGTACCAAATTAGCACAACGACTTCAGCACCCTCTACCGCCAAGAACTGCCGTCACAGAAACAACGTTTTGATATCGATTTTTAAGACTATAATTATTCTGCCCTAACCACCTCACTGATCAATGGAACCTATTAACGCGGTGTTGGGGGTCTGCATGTTGTCTTATCGCAAGCATACGTCTTCAGGAATAAGAAGATAAAGCTGTTCTCATGTCACTAGGTAACTTCAACGCCTAATTGGAGGAAACCGTTCTCACCAAAGTACAAGACTCTCGATTTTGAACAACAGTATGTAAGCTTACACTTATTCAATCATTAGCAAGATTGTTAAGAGACATCACTTTGTTTGTGGCAAATTTTGTCCAATAGGCTTTAGAATGAATCATTTTTTTCTGATCGATGACTTGGAATATGACAGTTCTTTCTAAACATATGAAATATTCACGTATTATCACACACACACACACACACACACACACACACACACACACACACACACACACACACACACACACACACACACATCAAAAGCTCTGACTTATAATTATTTTACAAATGATTTAAGCACAAAGATTATGGCTTTGAGTGCTCTTCCAGAGGTGTGCGTCACAGTAGGGGATTACACGTGTGTTTGAGCATGGTAATAGTATCTCCACAAACAGCCACACGTAATAGGATATAATTGTCCCAACCATCCGCTTACGAGGTCACCGAGGATGTTGTCATGATAACGGTGTAGGATGCTGTTGGATAAGGAAGCAGGTAATATGTTACAGTTAAATTCTCTCGCTTCAACTCTTTGGTCTGAGGCCGTGTGTTGAATAAGGAATTGTGCCCTTAATGTCATCCACTTCCCTAGCTTCATCAACGGTCACGCTTCGCTGATTGCCACTTAAGAAGTCATATACACCACACACGACCAAACTATCGTTATTATCCAATGGAAATTGCAAAGAATAATACTTTCAAATGGATTTTATACACTCCTTTACGATGCGTGAATGTCGACATTCAAATGAATACGGGCGTAACCCTTTTGCGGAGTTGAAAAAAAAAATAAGTGAGAAATTTTGTCGAGATTTATTATTGACAGTGTAATGCATTATTTCCGTCACTTGATACGCAACTGTTTGTAAATCAGCGGCCACTTTGATCAGCAGTGCAAAAAAATGCTGTTGAAGTTTTAATGGTGCAGAGCTCTTAAACATTCGAGCTACTTTTAACATACTTAAATTGTGTTTTGATCATTGAGGACCATAGAATGTGTTTACGTTCGTGGCGTGATGAAAATGATAAAGGAACATATACAACACAACTTTTATCATTTGTAGTTTTATTGAAAAAACATAATAGGAAACACAATACACGCAATAACATTTTGTTTAAAATAGTAACTCGTTTGTGGTAAACTATTTAGCAGAAACATGTGAATCGTTATTTCAATCCTGCAGAGTATTGAAGCTTTTCCAACCTCAGGTGTACAAATATATTTTTAATAGGAATATGTCGCTAAACTCAGCCCACAAATCATGATAAAATCGCAGGAAGAAGACCCAGAGAAATGTTCAAAATAGAAACACTAAAGCGCACAATAAGCACAATAAACGCAATGATACTTCAACAACAAAAAAGTAAATCGCTTGTGGAAACTATATTTGGAATAGTCCAGTAGGAAGATAGGGTTCCAAGACACCCGAAATATATATTCTTTAACTTATAGTTTTTCCAAACCTCATAGTGTCCACTACATGAATTCTGATGTTCTCAAGGTGAAACAGCGTTCCATACTGTCCACTGGCGGCCATATTGGATTTCTGACGAAAATGTATAAGCGGCACAACTTTTCAACTCGCCATGACACATGTGTGTAATAAGGGTATGAGGAAAATTGAAATAATTAGAATATTATTTAAACAAGTATGATACATTAAAACCTGAAACAATCAGTATACTTAACTCAAACACATGCAAATATTTATCAACATACAAAACGAATTCATATGCTTTCCGTGAAGTCTGGAGGAAACAGTACTAAATTTGCTTAAATTGATAGTTTTTTGCAAAAATAACAAACTTAGAGTTTGAAAAAAACACAGTAACAAAGAAATGATTATACTGCTTTACAGTTTTGTGCTGGTAAGAGCCTATGTGAGTGGTTATTTTCAGTGAGAACTTTAAATTTGTGTCTATACAGATAGTCAGGATAATTCTCAGTAACTGCCAACTTCAAACATAAGAAATGAAGCGTGTATGCAGCATAGTCTTGTTCTGATCCCAGAGACTTGCATAACTGATCACTCTCTTCTCTCCACCTTGGGTTTGGTCAAAGCTGCTCCTAAACCTGTCTGGCCAGCATTTATATGCAATTCAAGGGGAAGAGAAAAATCACAGAAACCAAGAACAGGTGATGAAAGCAGTCTGGCACGTAACTCACAAAATGATTGTTCCTGCTCTGGTTACCATTCTCATATTCTCTCCAGAGTTTCACTTTTCCATTTTCTCTTTCTTAAGTGATCAAGTAGAAGTTTATTCAAATTCTGGCAATTTGGGCACAATTGGCAACAAAACGTAGACAGTAACCAGCCAATCTGAAAAATTAAGCTGCTTCCTTTGGAGAAGGTGGTCAGGGCCATGGAGATATCATCTCTAACTTTTCTGGCTTTCAAATAAACGAGATGTCATCAATGTATACCAGACATCGACAAATGCTAACAATGTAGACATTCTTCCTTCAGTCTTTGATATATTGACGGGCTGTTGCACAAACCAAAGAGGTCGGAAATATATTTATAAAAGCCGAGTGGGCTGACTGTAAATGGTGTACGCTCTTAGTCTTTAGCTCCTCCTAGCTCGCCGTTTGAAAGGTATTTCATCAGTTAGGTTTATCCTGTGTTTGACAGTTGAAGTAAATCCTCAGTCTAATTCATCCTTTGAAATGAGATCATTAAAACTTGAGATCAAACCTTCTGCTACCTTATCATAACAGATGCATTCGATAAGTATCTCTATCCATAGACTGTTGAGAAGGTCCCGACATCACTCCTGAATAGTCTTCAAAATTGTGACAGGTTCATCTCACAAAGAATGGTCCTAGTAGTGACATTGTTGATGCCTACTTTAAGCATAGCTTGATACTCACAGTGGTACATAACGACGGTTGATTCTATGTCCCAAACAGGGGGTATACCTGATCTAGGTGTGGCTTGCATCAAAGTCCGAGGACAACTCTTACGCTTGTCAACATATCCACCACAACTATGCTGCTGTTTGGGACACCAACAATATACTTAATCTCGGGACTCGTGACTATCCCTAATCTATAATTGTGCCCGAACTATGGGGTCTCAATAATAACATCTTTCAATCAATGGTTTTAGTGCATTGGTGCCAAGCAAATTAGCAACTGACCAGTTGTATTTACTGTTTGGAACAACTAACCGCCAACAAGTCACCAACCCCATGAGAGTCTAGGTCCACTGCCACATATTCCAGATAATGAAGTTATTAACCATCAACACATTTCATTTCCAAGACAGTTGCCAAAGGCTATAATGGGAGATGTGAACAATGTTTACTATAAAAGGTTCCTGTCGGTACATTTGGCCTACCATGGCGGGACATATTCTTATGATCCACCAAGCATTGACATTAACTCTACAAACTTTCTGTAGGTGACCATTCTGTCCACAGTGATAGATTCTAACCTTTCTGCACTATCATACTGACCGCCTCTGTGGTCTTGTGGTAGAGCGTCTGCCCGTCTGTTCGATTCCAGGTCGCGTCATACCAAAAGACGTTCAAAGATGGTACTTGTTGTTACCCTCCCTTGCGCTTGGCATTAAGGGGTTAAAACAAGGACTGGTCGGTTCGGAGTCAGTATACTGTGTCTGAGAGGGGTATTCATGTTAAACTGTGGCATGGTATCTCAGTCGGCTAGCATTACTTTGTCCCGCAAAGATGTGACATCTGCTACTAACTGCTGTACCATACGTTCTAACTTCGATATAGAGTGAGAATCGTCGTAGGCACTTAAAGCTGACTTAGTGGTAGCCTTCAAACCTTGGCGCTTTCTACCTTGGCGTTTCCTACGGGTCACCTTATTATGTCGCACAACTTGACGGAGTTCATCGAAAGCCTTTAACAGTGTCAAACCTATGACTAGATATATGTGTCGACTCCTGCGCTGCAGCCGTAGACTTTACCAGAAAACAGACCCCCCCCCCCCCCCCCCCCCCCCCCCCCTACCCAATATGAAGTGGTCCCTAAAGATGTTATCATAGCACTTCTGACAACTGCTGTAGAGTGTTCCCTACTGTGGTGTAAGACGTCATAGGTAATCCAATCTTCACCAGTCTCACCCATGAAAGTATTTACCTTAGGAGGATGTGTACTATTAACTGTAGGGGCTAAAGGGATAAGGGTGGAGGATATGCCGCCTTTGATGCGAACTGAAAAGATAACTATTCTGCCATTCATTGTTTCAAACCTTTGAGTTATCAGCCTTTGGTTTTACAATCATGTCTTTCTTAGACAAAACTTTCTTTTAATCAGACCTCAGATATGTTAGGTGGTAACTTCAAAAGTAGTCAATTGATTCTAAATCTTTGTCAGAACGACCCAAATTATACACAAAATAGACTCACATGTGTATGTGCCATGATCAGATATAGTGATGCAAACAAACCATACCATAACGCTTGTGTAGCTTTTCACAGGCATTTTAATCGTTTCTTTGTTACTGTGACTAATTTTTCAAGTTTTTCGTGTTTTAATGTATTAAACTTGTTTCAAAAATATTTTAATTATCAAAATAGTCTTGTATGTTAATGTGCCATGTCTAGTTAAAAAGTCCAATATGGCCGCCAATGGACACTATGAGACAATATTTCGCCTTGTGAACATAAAAATATTTAGTAGACACTTTAAGGATAATAAAAATGTAAATAAACAAAATATTATCTTTGGGTGCATGGGTACCCTATATCCTATTCGATTAGAAGAATTTTTTTTATTTCATTCTTGCAGAGTAATGGAACTATTTTAAACGTGACATCTTATTAATATGTACACATATATGTATAATAGGAACATGAGGTCATACAACGTCGTATTCGGTTTAAAATCATTTCTAAATCATAGGAAGAATACCCAGACAACTATTCAAAATAGAAAAGTATCAAACATTGCAGAAGGGGCTTAACAAAAATGTTTCATCTCCAATTAACCAGTGTATACAGTCACCAGTTTATTAGAGATGTTATTATACAAGTTAATATAAATAACACGAAAACTGTACAAATGTATGCCACGTCTTATGTACATATATATTTCGGCAATTTCGACACAAGAAGATAGCATCCAAACGTATTTTATGTATAATTTTGTGCTACAAAGGCGTAGCAATTAATTTCAGTGAGGATGTGTTGCTAGAAGAATCACCATGACGACAGAGAGTAGACCGGTTATGACATAATGAACCAGGAGCATGATGGTCTTGACTCGGTTCTCCTGAAACAGGAAGTTGATGTTAAAACATTTCCATCAACAAACAGCAAACAAGCAACAACTCCACTTATCAACTGGAGATCCAAAACAAAAGAGTGAGTGAGTGGGTTGGGTTTAATGCCCCTTACAGTATTTCAACTCATAAGCACTGGTATGGTACTGACAAACCTAAAAACAATAATAAGGGCGAACCGAGACTCGAACCCAAGATCATATGTTCCTGGCGTGCCCAAGGGACGCAACTCTGCACATCAAAATGCGACGTTTTAATGGACTGGGTCACCCGTTCTGGCACATATCCTTAAATAAAGGGACGCTACTCATAACAGTGAATGCTTAGGCCCAGAGAAGCCTATCACAGGCAGTGTGAGCTCACAGAGCGACCTTCTGTGCAGTACGTAAATTACACTTAAAATTGTTACCTGTTCTATAGTTGGTGGGGGTTGAGTAATGACAGCGACAGGAGCTGTAGGGGGAGGGGTGGTGACGTCGTAACCCTTGTGAGAACCACGCCTCAAATTCAGACTGGAACTCAGCTCGAACTTGGTCTGCTTAGCTGTAAGCAAACACACACGATGCAATGTTACAGTATCGAGTATTCACAGTGGTACACTCACTACACACACACCCACACACACACACACACACACACACACGCACGCACGCACGCACGCACACACGCACACACACACACATGCATGATTCTCGTAAAGCTGCTTTAAACAAGTCACTCACTAACTAGGTTTATGAGCTGTGTAGCAAATTATGTGCATTTGAAATTTCATTGGAATAATTAGAATTGAAAACAAGCAACCATTTAAACCTTTAAGAACTTATTAAATCACGGACTTTAGGAAGGGGGCAGTGATACATAACAGTCTTCGTGGCTTCGTCATCGATGAATTTTTCACTGTACCTTACATGTCTCTGTCACAGGATGTCACAAAAAAGCAAAAAGTATCTTAGATTTTGGTTTTGTTTAGAAAAAGATATACACGTGTTGTACCTGCAAGAGTCTTGAGAACAGTCGGAAGAAGTTCCATTGCAACTAGGTACGCAGCCAAGTACACGACGTAAACCGCCATGACAGCTATCGGCGCTGATGATGACCCTGCCTTTGTCAGGTCAAGGCCGATGAATATAGTAATTACTGAAACATTGAAGGAAACACAATCAGATGTTTATATCAGGAAGGTACAATGAGACTGTAACACACGGTCGATGAATTTACCACCTCACCTGAATATATTAGTTTTTAAAATTTTAGTTGCAGTTTTGTTTTGCACAGGATTCTTGATTTAAATTACAAATGAAGATCCTAGCATGCGTCAGTTGTTTCTGTCTCCGTGTTTAGATTAGCTGGAGTGAGTACTTACTTGCCAATACCACGGAGACAACCCCTACTCCCCAGTGGGCCCAGTTGAAGAGTTGTCTCCCCACGGACTCGGGGCCTGGTCGAAACAACGCCATGATTGGCTGCAAATACACACGTTGTACATATGAACATACATTTATGGCAAAATGAAATCCAATGTGCATTATCAAACATACCACTAGTATTTATGTTGGGGTTTAATGATTTTATCGATTACATCAGACCTGCCATATTTGATTATATAACGTTGAATTTTAGGTACTGTAGGGTATGGATTCTACGTTTCTCATTTATTTTAAATCGAAAAAAGAGCTGATTCTATTTTCTAATATATAATATATAGGCTTTTTATATACATTTTGAGAGTAACATTACATCTCGACATTATTATTAAACAGCCGGACAAAGAAAATATACACCCATGTTTGTGGATAAAAATGAAACACGCTAGAATGGTTAATTGATGGTTATGTATTTGATACGGGTATCATAGTTCTGTTTTTTAGACCTTAAGTGTGCAGTGTTTTGGCGACTGTTTTTAGCCCAGTAACGTTTTGATAACATTTGAAATTTTTGTAACTTTCTTTTGCCCGTAGTATTTTGTTTGCAGCCACTGTACTGGTACCTACGTTGGTGATGGCGAGGACGATGACGATGATGCCGAGAGGAGGATGCAACTGTTGATACTGCTTGCCTGGAATCGCTGGAATCTGAACACGAGGGATGAAAGTGAAATTACAACCCGAGGCGTGTTTTAAAGATTTAACGAACGCTTCCCGCGAATACTAACTTGATTATTACATTAATTATTACATAGTGTGTGTGCATTTGCATTAATTTTAACATCATTTTTATGCATCACGTTAATATGGTTTGTAGTAAGAACAATGTACACAAAGAAAGTAGTCCCCGGTTGCTTTACTGACCTTGCTGTATCCTTCCGACTCCACGACAACAATTAGTGCCGCAAGGATGGTCATACACACTGTTGTCACCATACAACCACGGTGGATCTGAAAACATATCACATATATTTAGTCCTCAGGTGCTTGTTTTCAGAATTAGATTAGGGTACACCTACATGAGTGAGTGAATTGGATTTAACGCCGCTTTTAACAATATTCTAGTTATATCGCGGCGTGTCAGCTTAATGTGGGAGGAAAGCCCGAAGTGATGCAGGTCTCAGGCGTTTACCACTTCGGTGAAACCCACGAGCACGGGTATGGTGCTGAAAAACCTAGAAACATAATCGGTGCGAACCGGGATTCGAACCCACAATCATAGGTTTCTGGCGTGCCCAAGGGACGCAACTCTGCACAGCGAATCGCGGCGCCTTAGACGACAGGGCCACCCGTGCCCCCGTACACCTACATGTACCTTGTTTGTGTGTTGCTTCACAACGCACTCAGCAATATTCCAGTACTACTACTCGCCGTGTACGAACTGACATACTGTTGCAGCAATCTTTATGTAAGGACCAGTAATTTTAGTTCGTTATAACCGTAGTTCGTTATAAGCCTATATACAGCAAATGAACGGGATAAAAAAAACAGTTCGTTTTATTCGTCAGTTCGTTATAAGCGTATTCGTTATAAACGTAGTTTAACTGTCGTTATTTTTTTCTGCGAAATATAATTAAAAAGTGGGTAAGTGAGTTGAGCATCGCTTTAACAGTATTCAGTTAAATCGTGGTCGGTTAACGAGGTTAACGTGGGAGGAAAGACATTGCTCGTTTAAAATTTGTATAGGACCACATCACGGATCGGCACAAACAGTATGTCAATAAAAGGACGACTCTGGAATTTGAACCCACAAGAAACGGATCATGGCAGAGATAGGTGATGCAACTATACACAGCGAACTGTGGCGCCTCAGAGAGCTGGAGCACCAATGCCCACAAGTAACAGTGTAAGGGGCTGGACCATTTTAAGACAATTTTTATCTTTGAAAAAAGAATCAAAACAATTATTATTAACCTTTTACCCACATTTCACCCCCTATAACTATCATCTGAAAATCAGACTAACCTGGTATAAGGAATTAGTTACCCAGTATTAAAAGGTGTAGCAATCAGATGTGCAGTGTGTTTTTTAATCCTTGTATTCATAATAAGAAATACGTTATTTAAAGACGAACGGTTCAACTTCAAGCAAGTTTCTTTAGTTACATGTGGCGCACGCTTATATCATTAGAGACTTACCTGAAACCATATTTTCAGTCCGAAGAAGTGGGTTTTTGGCAGCAATGGTTTTCCGTACCTGGCTGTGACAAGCCCAATACCCGGAAGTAGCACCCAACACATGATCATCATGCAGCCTGTTGTGGAACATTTAATAAGCGGTATAATGAGGCTGAGAGAGAGAGAGAGAGAGAGAGAGAGAGAGAGAGAGAGAGAGAGAGACCCTGTCCACTAATATAGAGTGACGTATACGTAGTTTAACATGGATACCCCACTCAGATATAGTGTACTAACTCCGAGCCGACAACCCCTTAATGCCGAGCTCCAGACAGTATGACAACATGTGCCATCTTTTAACGTCTCTTGATATGACGCGACCAGGGAATCGAACCACTGATCTTTCGCTGCCCGGGCTAATACCCTATCCACTAGGCCACGGAGGCTGTTCGCCTTTCATATTCATTGGTACATGTATACGTGTCTCCAGGAATAACGCATAACACAGTTACACATATTCGTTTGTAAAGGAGACGATAATGTCGCCCACTGGGTTGAACTTTAGCCCTGCGATCGATTCTGTATGTTGTGCCATGTGTGTTGTTGTTATGGTTACGGCGTTGCCACATGTTCCGCCATATAGTGCAGAGTAATCGTGCCAGATACTACGGCGGGCAGTTTCAACCGAGTCCGAAACAGGCACACCAGTGGTTGATATTAGGCGCAACATCCCTTTCCGTAGGGGTACGGTCGCAGGCAATCAACCAACTCACTGACCATCCAATGTTACTCATTGGATGACCTTTTATAAACCGGAAGTGCCAAGAAGGTATGAACAAACATATCAGGGTGTTCATAAACATAATTATCCAAGAAGGAGGTGATAAATGATATTAAGTCATGTGTCCAATCTATATATGATGACGCACAGGTACATGCAATTGAAAACAAGAATGACTTTAGTATATATTTATTTTAGATATAGTATGGGCTACATCATATATAGAAATAACTTTCTAACCAATACCATTCAATCATTGGACAATATCCCAATGATCATAAATTATGTTATAGACTCTAAAACCGATATAACTATTGCCTTAAAAACGTATCAAATGCTACACATTATTGAATAATGCCTTTTAAATATAAATATGCATGACCTTAACATGCATTTAAATATCAACCATTACATGGTTCATAAAATATATAATACATATATCATGTAAAATTACTATGTAGAATATAGAACGGATTACATACAATGTCTATATAGAATATAGAACGGATTACATCAGATTTGAGACTGTTATATGATGTCGGTCTGTAAATAATAGACACTGGACTAGTCCAGTGATTGACATCATGAGCATCGATCTACGGAATTGGATACGATGACATGCATGAACAAAGTCAGCGAGCCTGACCACCCGATCCCGTAAATCTGCTCTTACGACAATCATGGATTGCTGAAGATAACTCGGATGTATTTGAGACAGTTGTACCATCAGTAACTAAGAAACCTGTGCACAAAAGTGGCCTGTATTTGATACACATTTTCCTTAAATGCAATCAATAAATGATTCATTATAACAACAATATAAATAAGTAGAGATGATTTCACACTTAAATACAATACAATATATATATATGATGTTATTGGACGGATATATTTAAACTGCCGGAAGGACGATCGATATCAGACTTCCTGAGAGGACGAAAACAAGGCTACTTCCGGTCCATCCGCTGCCAGCTTTGGGGGCCGGGGGTATTATGACGCCTTGCAACTCTGCAAGCACACAGATAAGTGTGTTAGTTATGCAATACCCATTTCCTTTTTCCATGAAATAAGTTGAAGTGATAAACTTTATTTACAAGCAAAGTCCCGCAGCAATTGTTCCTCCCCTCTGCCCAGCCACCTTCAAGTTGCCAAGACCCCATCCAGGGGGCAATCAATTATAGGACATATCAGCGTCATTAGTTTCAATCTCATTAAAATCAGATCTTAGTTCTCACTACCGCTAAACAAAGATCTGAGGACACGCCATTACAGATCACGTCAAAACGAATATGTTTTTTTTGTTAAAACTTTACATGTATCTAATATGGGCCATATGGCCTTGAAAACAATAAACTAAACTAATTTTAACGGAATCAGCCGCACAGCCTGTAGCTGTTATTCGGAAAACCTTTTTGAATAACCTTTTTGAGTTAAATCACCAACCACATAAGACTGTCACTTTCCTTATCTGGTAAACGACGCTCCGATTGGTCGGGTGAAAGGTCGTTCTGACATGAACCGTAATAGAATGTTCTCAGATCTTTGTTTAATGGTAGCGTGAACTAAGATCTGATTTTTAATGACTGCATTTGTTTCATCGTGTGATATATATATAATATATATATATTACCCCTGATATTGAAAATGTTTTTAATGTCAACAAGTAACTTAGGTCTTCTGGTTATATCCCCCAAAATAATTTAACCAATACAAACACTCTTAGCACTGTTGTTTGAGTGTGTCGGGCTACAGTACTTTTGAATGTCTCCTTAAGTTCATCATGTGCTCTTATGCTTCCGGTCCAGAAAGATTGCGGTATCAAATACAGGCTCACTTGAGTACCACCGGGTTCCGTGTAGGATTACAGAGATTACTCACCGTGAGCCAGCACTAGCGGAAACCTAGGTCCCTCACCTCCCACACTCTCCATGCTCTGAAGGTCAACCATCACGTCAGTCACTGGCGGCAGCACGTCGTACCGGTGAGGGAAGATGCTTCCTGGAACACGATCATTGCACAGGTGTACGTACAACTGACGCAGAGTGAGTGCACAGTGTTTCTTTGGGCCGCTTTTAGCAATATTCTTGCAGTATCACGGCGTCATATAATTGCATCCATGTTGAGGTGAGATAAGATGAAATGGGGTTTAACGTCGCGTCCAAGGTTATTGCACTTATATATCGACGTGCATGCACGTGTGTGTGTGTTTGTGTGGATGCTTGTACTAGTCCGGACTGATGCCGATTTATAGTGCTAGCTCACTGAGATACCATGCCGCAGTTTAACATGAATACCCCACTCAGACTCCCTGACTCCGAGCCGACCAGTCTTTGTTTAAGCCCCTTAATGCCGAACGCCAGACAGGGTAACAACAAGTACCATCTTTTAACGTCTTTTGGGATGAGCCGGCAAGGGATCGAACCCCGGACTTTCCACTCTCCGAGAGGACGCTCTACCACAAGACCTTTGGCGATCTCCATGCTGATAATCGAACTAAGTGAATTTATACCACCAGGAAACCGCTCGGCCCCGAAAACGCCTTGACGAACAGAAAGTTTAAAAATGCAGTTTTCCATTTTCAGCATTTCATTCATATAATCGATTTGAAATTTAAAGAAAATCGAAACTATTATTATGAAAATAGAATTTGCACAAAATTATGCCAAGGAGCATTGCAACCATGTAGTGAGTGAGTGAGTGAGTTGGGTTTAACACCGTTTTAACATTACATGTATTCAATTTATATCACGGCGCGCCAGCTTGATGTGAGAGCAAAGCCCGAAGTGATGCAGGTCTCAGACGTTTACCACTTTGGTGAAACTCACGAGCATGCACGGTAATTGTGCTGAAAAAACCTAGAAACATAATCGGAACGAACCAGGATTCGAACCCATAATTATAGGTTTCTGGCTTCCCCCATAGATGACTGAGCCCCCCTGTGTCCCCTCTTTTCAAAGACAATGTACTCGTATGTCAGTATATCACTTATTTCGCTAATATATATAATACATTTACGTAATCCTACCACTGATGGCCTCCCCGTCGGCAAACATAAGGTAGTAGTCGTTGTTAAGGTCCTTCAAATGTGGGTAGAAGTCATCCCTCTTAACGCGGTCAAAGCTGCACTCGAGGACGCCGTTGACGTATGAGCCTGCAGCGTTACTCAGACCGGCAGTTTTCTGGAACGTCAATCACAAGTGTGAGTTATAAATGACATGAAGACCCTGAAACGTAAACTGAGTAAGGCAGCATCCTAAGCGGAATATGCTAATGGAAGAGTACGCGATAAGACTTTGAAAGGAGACTCGGATCCTCGCTTTGTACCCATGTGGGATTCGAATCCGGGCCTTCGGTGTGACGAGCGAGTACTCTAACCACTAGGCTATCCCTACGCCAAAAGGCACTTTGAAGAGTATTTCATATATATTGTGGCCTGCCCCCCTGTTCGGAATTCCAAAGTGACGTGGTAATATGTGATTAACATGTGAAGCCAAAGATTAGAGAATATTGTGAGGATCCTCCTCAAAATAGCGACCAGTAACATGGTACGCAATATTATCGCGGTAGTTTATTTATAATGGATCGTAATGACGAATGCTTACTAACACATTAACAATATCATACGCAAAATGTATCTTGTTCTTTATTCTACTTCTATGACACATCAATTAGGATTGATCGAAGCTGATGTTCTTCATCGAGTTCGGTAAACAAAGTACCTGTCACCAGCGGCTCAAGGGCAGGCAACTCTGTTATCGCGGTATCACTATTTTGTGTCTGATACGTTATGGATTATGCATAATCAGTATTCATTCGACATAGGTTAGGTCAAAGGACATCGTCCAATTATGTGGATTCTTTTCTAACCAATTTCGAATGGAGGTGGGGGTAATTCCACTTCAAAAACATTCCAGAAACTATCATAAAAAAGTTACTTACGAGTAGCCGTGACATAACGCAACGTGTCCTGTATTCGATCATGCGATGAAATACTGTGCTTATTTTTGTATAAGTAAACAGTCGATAGGGGATGTAGATTACGAGATTTACCGAGTCATACTATATACGATTGCTGGTTAATAGTTCATATACAGGAATAATAAACATTGTCCAGTACTCACGTCTTCCATGCGAATGTTGATCTTATCATCGTTGTAGGAGCTGTACACGCGGACAAAACCGGCGTCGATCACGCATTCAATGACAGCATCATCTCCCTGAATAAAAACAGGTACATAGTTCAATATTCAAATACATTACAAAGAACTTTTTCTTCGGAACGTATTGAAAAGACGACCATCGTGCAGTTGATCTACTCCTCCCAATGCCCTATGTTTATGTTGGTTTGTGTTTTTGTTGTTTAACGCCGCACTCAGCAATATTCCAGCTATATGACGGTGGTCCATAAATATTCGAGTCTGGACCAGACAATCCAGTGATTGACATCATGAGCATCGATCCACGCAATTAGAATCGATGACATGCATCAACCAAATCAGCGAGCCTGACCACCCGATCCTGTTAGTTGACTCTTACGACAAGCATAGTCGCCTTTACGACATGCATGGATTGCTGACGACCTATTCTACCCCGGATCTTTACGGGTCCCTATGTTTATGTCATGACCCAAATCTAGAGAAACGCTCACCATCATCCTGTCCTCTGAAAAAGCAATGGCCATCCACCTCTCGCTACTTGCTGGCTCGATCTTCTTCATATCAAATGTGATGACGTCCCCAGCGTCCACCCATGTGACGATATATGTGCACCTGCCTCTCTGGCAGTCGTGGAAGCAGCCCCGAGTCCGGCCACACCCAGGGTCAAGGGGGAGACCAAGAGGGGTAGTACCCTTGGAAGTATTCTTCATGGAAGAGAAAATAGCAAAGGGTTATTCGTTGAGCATATGTACCAATGCAGGTGCCCCTGCAACATCTTCAAGAATATTAGACAAAAAGTCTAATGGATGAAGATTAGTGAACTCGCTAATAGAAGTTGAACACGCCTTAACTTTACGACTCGACCAACACCAGAAATGATTAATATCAAAGAATATCAGAAAGGAAACAGACCTGGTCAGAGTGAGGCTCTCCCTCAAAGGCCCGACAGCTAGGAAACAGGTGATAGCCGCAAGACCATAGAGCACAGTATATTCAGAGATGAAACAAATCAGCAAAAACGAAAACTATCTCCTGTTTTCTGAGTAACTGTAGATGTGACTGTAATATGATAGATGTAATGTAGCATTTATTCTTAGCTTCAAAATGTCCAGCCTAGGCAGTTGAAGAATATTTCACTGACGAGTAAGTGAGAGAGTGAGTGGGTATGGTTTTACACCACATTTTAGCAATATTTCAGCAATATCACGGCGGGGACATCAGAAATGAGCTTTAAACATTTCCCCATGTGGGGAACCCGGGCCTTCGGCGTCACGAGCGAACGCTTTAACCACTGGGCTACCCCACCGCCCCTTTTACTGAAGAATACCGTCACCACAGTGTAGAGCTATCCTTGTCTATTGAAGTGGCAGATTTGGGTATATGTTATCTCGAGGCGTTAAAGCATCTTTGACTCATGATCAGTCTCACTCTCTTGTGGTTGCTGAGTCTCGGTATGTCTTTAGTTGGTCTACGTGACACGTAACATTTAGCCCGGAAGATACCGGAAGATACCGGAAGCTAAAGTACCATGCGTTACTTCCTGGAAGTGAATTATGTACAATATGTTACGAATCCATCACCCATCCATTTGAGACTTAAAAGAATAGAAAACATGCATAAGACAGAAGAAAATGACAAAGTTTATTTTAGTAGTAAGAAAGAAGAGACTCTTGACAGGCAGCAGAAAATCGGAGGGGATAAATGTAGGTAAACTGCAAATACCGAAGAACCAGCAATATGATATTCAGGGTGTGGGCCTGGGAATTTTAAACAAAAGAATGTGTCCCCCCTTCCCCCCAAAAAACAAAAACACAACAAAAAAAAACAACCGCGATGTTTGCCTCAGGCCGGACATGCGTTAGGTCCTGAATTTTTTTGAAAAAAAGATTCTTTGGCTCATCGTTCCAGAAATAAATTGTCTTGTAGAAGTAATCAGTTCCTTACCCCACCACCACTACCCCACCTAAATATTAAATAATCAATCCCAAACATACACGAACAATGTCACATGGTGCTGCGGTAGATTAAAGGGTTTCCTACGTCAATGTCCAAACGCTATGCATTTTACAAACGGCAGTTTCCTCCTAGATGATATGACAAATATTACCTTAAACTGAGGATGAATAAAAAGAAATTGATACTGAGGGAGATTAGGAACGTGAAGCTGACCAATTAACGTTAGGAAATATGAGATGAAGGAACCGTCGCCACGACCACTGAATCGCTGAACGAGTTATCTGTCCCACCCGTGTAATCTCCTTCTGAATTTGTTCAGCAGTTTGGGGCGATCCATCTATTCCAGTTATCTCCCTTGGTAGGTGCGGCTGCGCGTTTGTGTCACGTGACTGTGAGTTTCCGGCCTGACGTTCGTTCGAGATGCCAAAGGTGAATCCGCCGACGGGTGGGCGTGGTTTGGGTGTGGTTGGAGCTTGGGTGATCGGTCGTGACACTATAACCACGTTGGCGGAGTTCACGTAGTAGTAGAAACGTTTTTCCTCCACAATGACTGACCTGCATGCAGAAGACATGGATTAAGACAGTGGGCTTGTTCGTCTCGCCATGACGAGACGAAGGCAATGCGGCACATCTGACATTCAGACATATTTTGGACATCTATGGAGATTATGCTTTGGCTATGCTCATACAGTCCAGGTCGAGTTTAAAAACAACGACCGCAGTACTGTCGTACTCTCATACTCAAGAATGTTTTGGCTGTTACGACATGGGTAGCGTCAAGACCGTTTTCAGAAACGGAAGTCAGGCTTTGTTTCAAACGGAGCTCTGTTTTTAAAAGCGATCTTTTGGCTACAACTGTGCCACGTATCCCAATTGCGTGGATCGATGCTCATGATATTAATCACTTGTCTGGATTGTCTGGTCCAGACTCGATTATTTACAGACCGCCGTCATATAGCTGGAATATTGCTGAGTGCGGCGTTAAACAACAAACCAACCAACTGTGCCACGTCATTGTTAACGTGTGTGGTTTGAGATAGCAGTAACGCTAGGAGAACTTTTCACCAGACATTTGAGCATGGCACTCGTTTAAGAACAGAACAGCCCATAACAGCACGATATCCCTCTCATACCGAGTGAATCGGCATATGAGGTACAAGCAGTATTTTACATTGCGGTGGACTACGGTAGCCCATAAGGGACATGGAGTTTGTTTTTCAATATTTTGATATTTCACTTAATGTTATCGTAACCATTTGCAAATTAACACGATTTGTCATACAAATATGTGATAAATCATGTATAAAGAAGATACTGAATCGCTGAAAAGTGAAGCGAAAATGTCAAAAACTAAAATGAAAATGTCAAAAACAAAAACGAAAATGTCAAAAACCAAATCGAAAATGTCAAAAACTAAAATAAAAATACAGAAAACTATTTCCTCCGCGGTGGAAATTATGGAGAAAGGAAACTTGAAAAACTCAAGAAAACTATTTCCACTGCGGTGGAAATAATTTTCTGTATTTTCATTTTAGTTTTTTGACATTTTCGCTTTGGTTTTTGACATTTTCATTTTAGTTTTTGACATTTTCGCTTCACTTTTCAGCGATTCAATATCTTCTTTATACATGATTTATCACATATTTGTATGACAAATCGTGTTAATTTGCAATAGGTTACGATAACAGTATGTGAAATATCAAAATATTGAAAAATAGACTCCATGTCTCTTATGGGCCACCGTAGTGGACAGAGGTTTACCGGGAGATTTTACAATTTGCATTATAATGTTAACAAATTTACATAGTTTCTTTTGGACAGACATCTTATGACAGTTACATAATTGCTAGAGTTGTAACATTGTTGGTCTATTTGAACGGTGTTTGGGGATGTACACGTCCCTATGTTCATTGAAATATTTACATTTGAAGATATAGTGGAATTCATCTCCAATGTCAAAACTATCACACCACATGCATAAACGTTCATTCAACGGGGTTTAATTCCTTCTTCCGGGCGTACCTGAACTGTATAACCGTTCCAGCATTGGCGTTTGAAGGTGCGACCCAGTCGAATGTTCTCCTGTTCTTCGGTATTCGACCGTCCTTGTGTGTTACTCCGGATTTCTGTAATCGAAGGACTTGACATGATACATGCATTATTAATGAACGAGTGATCTGAGTTTAACGCCGCTTTCAATTTACAGTGTTTGTTTTATCACGGCGTGTCAGCTTAATGTAGGGGGAAAGTCAATAGTGAGAAAATCGTAGATGTTTACCTACCACTTTAATATGTTTTTAAGAATAAGGTAGTCTAAAGCAGAATGACCTCTGTGATATGTGAACTTTTAAAGCCAAAGTTTATGCCCGTGTCAACTAAATGTGTGACGAGGGAAGGTGAGGTGAGGTGAGGTGAGGTGAGGTGAGGTGAGGTGAGGTGAAATTGGGTTTAACGTCGCGTCCAAGATTATTGCACTTATATAGCGACGTGCATGCACGTGTATGTGTGTGTGTGGCTGCTTGTACTAGTCCGGACTGATGCCGATTTATAGTGCTAGCTCACTGAGATACCATGCCGCAGTTTAACATGGATACCCCACTCAGACACAGTATACTGACTCCGAGCCGACCAGTCCTTGTTTTAGCCCCTTAATGCCGAGCGCCAGACAGGGTAACAACAAGTACAATCTTTTAACGTCTTTTTGTATGACGCGGCCCGGGATCGAACCCTGGACCTTCCGCTCTCCGGGCGGACGCTCTACCACAAGACCACGGAGGCGGTCTGTGACGAGGGAAGGAATCTTGGGATATATTGTATGTGCTCTTCAAAAGATAAATCGTATAGGGAGGAACTATATATTCTGCATGACTCAGTTCTTTAAGTATAAGTACACGTGTGGGAAGCGGTCCGGGTGGGGTAGAAGCATGTTCTGCCATTTGGCTTTGGGCCTAGGTGATCAGTCGCCTCAGTGACACTGTGATTAGAGTGAGTGAGTGAGTAACGCGGTTTGAGTGTGTGAGTGAGTGAGTTTGGTTTTACGCCGCTTTTAACAGTATTACAGTTATATCACGGCGTGTCAGCTTAATGTGGGAGGAAAGCCCGAAGTGATGCAGGTCTCAGACGTTTACCACTTCGGTGAAACCCACGAGCACGGGTATGGTGCTGACAAACCTAGGTGCTGACAAACCGGGGCGAACCGGGATTCGAACCCACAATCATAGGTTTCTGGCGTGCCCAAGGGACGCAACTCTGCACAGCGAATCGCAGCGCCTTACACGACTGGGCCACCCGTGCCCCCTAACGCGGTTTGAACATTGAATCAGTTACATAGCGGATATCCCTTTATATGTGGGAGCAAATATAGAGCAATAATCAGGTCTTTCATCACAAGTTACTGGAACGGCTAAGGGACCGACCGTTTGGTCCTTTGGGATTTGGGATCGGGGATTTTGTATGAACTGGCTATTTCTTCAGCTACAGCTGAAAAACCAGATATTTATTATTAATTTAAACTTGGAGCCTAATTGAAAAAAACCCCGTAAAAACATCATGCAACAATATATTTTTGTGGCAGACATTTTACGTTTTTTTCAACAGACTGAAGCTTAATATTAGTTCTCGAAAAAACACACCGGCCACCCCCCACCACCCACCACCCACCACCTACAACCCCCGAATATCAAATAGTCGTTCCCTAAGGGTGCAACTCTGCACAGCAATTTAGGGTGCTATGGCTGAAATTGGAGTTGGCAGGAGAGACAACAGAGCTGAGTTCCCTGTCCTATGGGGATATCACTGCCCGATTACGATACCAACACCCCGACCAATACTTACGCCACACCTGTCGCCCATGTTGCTCCCGGGGATGCTGTAGCCGATGGTGTTACCAGTCTGAGTATTGACTGTCTTAACTAAGAAGCCTTTGAATGATTTCGTTCCCTCGATGGTGACTGGGTAACAGCAGAAATTCATATTAAGACAAAAATACAATACATTCATTTTGTAAACTACACAGGAATAAGTTTAACCGACTTACGCCATATAGAAATAGAGCCTGAGTGTCCAAAATGGCGTCGGGGTGAACATAATGGTTTCGTGGTGTACAAAATTGCTTCGGGTGGTACAAAATGACTTCGTAACATACATGGCAATTGCATGTGTACTTGAAATATATTTTCTCTGATGTGAACTGGTTGGTTGTGTATCCACATAAGCACTTTCGTCCAGGGTTGATCTGTGCAAAGTGACATTAGTTTTACAGACGCTCGCATACATACCCATGATCCATAATGTTATTGTTCACATGACCCTACCCCCAACCCTTTGCTTTTTCTGGAGTCAAACACCTTCAGGTATTACAAAGCTCTGTCAACGGGATCTGGAGGTCAGGCTCGCCGACCTTGTTGATGCATGTCATCGTATCCCAATTGCGTAGATCGATGCTCATGATATCGATCGCTGGATTTTCTGGTCTGGACTCGATTATTTACAGACCGCCGTCATATAGCTGGAATATTGCTGAGTGTGGCGCTCTGACATACTTTCCAACCACTGCCCCAGATAATTTTGTGAGTGAGTGGGTGAGTGAGTGAGTGAGTATGGTTTCACGCAATATCACGCCGGGGGACACTAGAAATGGGCTTCACACATTGTACCCATTAAACCCGGGTAATCGGCGCGTCGAGCGAACTCTTAAACCACTAGGCTTCCCCATCGCCCCAGATGATGGAAGGGTGGGTGTGGCTTATAGTAACTTTAAACATTATTTCATATGTATCTGACTTAGTGCTGAAAAATCAAGTGCCCTTATTGAAACTAAACTTAGACTCGACCCCTCAATCAGTGGATGGTGATAGCTGCTTAAGGCCGCAACGCTGTATTGCAGGTGGGAGACACTCAGAGGGCCCCTCGAACCTGTGTATTGTGGTATGATACACTCGATACACGCACGATACGATACACGTTCGTATCACGATACAGATGCATTTTTGCGTAGATACTGAATCTTAAAGGCTTCATTTGTCCATTACCATACGCTAGTTGTGATAATTAAAGAGTAACGTAACTGGATCCGTTGAGTTTAATTTGGTAATCAGGTTATGATTCACACTGGTTTTTTATCGTTGCAGTGAGCTCATGTTTAAGCCTCGCGTACTTAACACATATATTCGCACGTAACATATGACATTTCTGAGGTCAGGTGCCTTATTGCGTAGATAGCAAACCTTAATGGCCTCACTTGTCAATTATCTCACGTTAGTTATGATAATTAAATAATAACGTAACTGGATCCGTTGAGTTTAATTTGGTTATCAAGTTATAATTCACACTGTGACAGTTTTTTTTATCGTTGCAGTGAGCTCATTTTAAAGCCTGACGTACTTAACACGCATACTCGCACGTAAATTTTGACATTTATAAGGGTTGGTTTTAGCCCGATTTTGTGACACTACAAAAACTTCATTCCGATAAAATGAATATTTATCATCTTTTAAATTGGTTAACCTGTTTCCTTGTTATGCGGAACGTGGTACTTTGTTTAAATGCGACAAAGAACTTGACATGTGCATGCCTTCTTTGTATTGTGACACTCTTGTCAGAGCAAGCAATGGTGGCATTTTTATTGTCCAGACTTATTATCTGTTAGGTGTTTTAATTTATTTTAAATAAAATAGTAACTGTACACACACGTATTGATACTTAAAAATGTAAACAGAGTTGCAGTTATTACTGGTTCTCTGAACAGGAGATCCAGTGCTGCAACGTTACTGAGTAGATGTATTCAGTGCAATGCTTTCTACGTACAATGGAATCTGTTTCGGTGGATAACTGAGACTTTTTTCTGGCGTTTACATTTTATATTTTTTTGTTCGGTGTTTTTTTTAAATAGAAAAATAAACATCTGTGGCCGCCCCACCAACAATAATTAATGTGACCCTCTAACATGTCAATACACTTCCCATAAATGTGCCCCAATCCAGTGTGAATACGCTTCCCTTTTAAATGTTCCCAAACCCAATGTCAATACTTTCCTTTAAATGTGCCCCCTGACACATGTCAATACACTTCCTTTAAATGTGCCCCCTCTCAAATGCCAATACACTTCTCTTGAATGTGCCCCTAACCCAGTGTCAATGAACTTCCTTTCAATGTGCCCCTGTCACATGTCAATACACTTCCCTTTAATGTGACCCTCTAACATGTCAATACACTTCCCTTTAATGTGACCCTCTAACATGTCAATACACTTCCCTTTAATGTGACCCTCTAACATGTCAATACACTTCCCTTTAATGTGACCCTCTAACATGTCAATACACTTCCCTTTAATGTGACCCTCTAACATGTCAATACACTTCCCTTTAATGTGACCCTGTCACATGTCAATACACTTCCCTTTAATGTGCCCCTCTAACATGTCAATACACTTCCCTTTAATGTGACCCTCTAACATGTCAATACAGTTCCCATAAATGTGCTCAAATCCAGTGTGAATACGCTTCCCTTTAAATGTTCCCAAACCCAATGTCAATACTTTTCTTTAAATGTGCCCCCTGACACATGCTAATACACTTCTCTTGAATGTGTCCCCCTAACATGTCAATACACTTCCCTTGAATGTGTCCCCATCCAATGTCAATACCGCACCTTTGATTGTGTCCCCTGGGTACACTGTCAACCTGTTGACGAGTAGGCTGTAGGGTTTAGTGTGTGTCACCTCCTTCCCGTGACCCGGCAATAGTTGTGCACAGGACATCTCGTTGGCCCCCTGGGGGTAGGCAGCATCCTTCCCTAGCATCCCTAGCAACACCAGGAGGGAACATACACAGGAAGTGAAGGCCATGGTCAGTCTCGAACGGTTGGGAACACTCCTTGGGACTGAAAAACAATTCAACCGGGTTAGAATTGGCCTTGAGCAACTCATGCTTGTCGTAAGAGGTGACGAACGGGATCGGGTGGTCAGACTGGCTGACTCGGTTGATTCATATCATCGTATCCCAATTGCGTAGGTCCAGTATGTCTGGTTTAAACTCGATTATTTGCTGACCGCCGTCGTATCGCTGAAACATTCCTCAGTACGGCGTTAAACAACAAACAAACCAGCCAACAACAGGAAACTGAGAAATCACAAATTTCTTGCAATATGATTCCGTGTGTGAGTGAGTTCGTATAGTTTTACGCCGCTTTCAGCAATATCACGGCGGGGACCACCAGAAATGGGCTTCACACATTGTACCCATGTCGGGTCTTCGGCGTGACGAGCGAACGCTTTCACAACTAGGCTACCCGACCGCCCCTATGATGCCGTCATCCGTTTATGTGATGATCTTTGACATGAACAGTGTGGGGGGTTTTATGTTCTGGAGTAATAAAAATATGACCATGATGAATTATAGTTGTGTCTAAAGCCATGAGTGTGCAACGTTTTGATAACATTTGTACACACATTTGAACACACACATTTGAACACACACATTTGAACACACACACACACACACACACACACACACACACACACACACACACACACACACACACACACACACACACACACACACACTAGCACACAAACACTCACACACACACACACTAGCACACTCACACACACACTAGCACACACAAACACTCACAAACACACACACTAGCACACAAACACTCACACACACACACTAGCACACAAACACTCTCACACACATACAAACACTAACACACATACACTAACACTAACACACACACTAGCACACACACTCACACACACACACACTAGCACACAAACACTCACACACACACACTAGCACACAAACACTCTCACACACATACAAACACTAACACACTAACACACACACACATACACATACACTAACACTAACACACACAAACATACATGTTGGACCTTTCTGACATCGCCATCGAGTGTCATGACATCAAATACGAGGGTAGTAATTACCATGTTTAAGTGTATACATATTTACATTAGGGATACATGTCTTTGGTAAATATCTAATCCTAGTCGCATCCAAAGTAGTACTTACATGTAAAGATGGTATTAATCTTCTATACCTCGAGGCCAGATACTTTTCTGGTTCTAACAAACTTATATTTTCTCAATGAAGGTTCTACCTTGAACTGTTGTTAATTGGAGATATCCAATTTTGATAAAACATATCAATAGCACAATCCTTCAACGTACGTATTAAAACATTTCCTGAATTCTAATCTCCAGCTGTTTGTGACATCCAAACAAAACAAATCCATGAGAAATTATTTGAAGCTCAAATTGTATACCCTACAATATCTAAATACGTACATTGAAATCGACCACATTAGCTATTGCATAAGGAGTTTGTAATCTAATTTGAAAGAAGTTTTGACTGGCCAGTTGGTGGATGTACTCTAAACTCCCAAATCTACTGATCCCCCAAATTTCATATGCTTACAAGACAATCAGACTATTCTGACAATCAAATTACTTTTAAGAAACAACTCAGGGGCAGTCACACATATTATTTTAGTTGTAGTAACTTAACTTAAATAAAGCCTTAATGGCACGTAGAGCTAAATCAGCAACATGTTTACTTAGACTAAACTTACATGTGAAGACTAATCCTAGATATCTATCAGTATTAACGACATCTAAACCTTGTCCTCTGTAATACCATATTTCTTGAACTGACGTGTTTCCTCCTCTTCTAAAAACAACATTAAGTTTTTCCAAGTTAACAGTCATTCCTCTCTTATCTGCATATGAATCTAGAATATTAATCTGACTCTGTAAAAAACATATAGTAACAGAAATCATAATTACATCTTTAGCAAATTACAACATTTATACTTCTACTCTATCTGGAAAGAGTTGTATACCATGCGTGTGATGTGCCATAACATATGTAGCTAACTCAGTTATGAACAATGTTTGTTGCTTTTTACATAGACATTTTTTTCAATACTTGCGCAAACGGTAAAAATATGTTCGAATAAACCTGACGAAAACCTGCTTGTTTTTCAGAAACTTTACTCATAACACCTGCCCATTTGGTAAATCTGTCATTTGATACACATATATTGCTCAGTACACGTATGTTGAAAAACTTACTTCAATTTTCATATTAGTCCTGCACCATGACCGTGGAATATATTTATATTATGAAAAAAAAGTAAATCTAGAAATGCATACAAAAGCAAGTCTAGCCAGCTCAAGCTGGCTCTATTCATCTCTGAAATCAGCCTAAGGAATTATTTTTTTTTTAGAGTCAAGAAGGATGTTGTGTAATATAAAATTTCAGAGACTAAATGTTAGTCTATTTTCATATAAGTAGTTAAATATCCTTTTCCCTCCAAATGTTGCAGATTATAAGTGAATTATACACGCAAAGATTAACAATGATAAAACTTGACGCAACGTTTATGAAATATTTTAAAACTTAATGTGCTAGTCTCCCAGACCATAGAGAATATATGAAGAAATTAATCCAACTGAATTCTAAAATGAAATAAGCATTGTTCTTCGCGCCATCTGGATTTCATTTTGCATCTTGTAGATGTATATTTTTAAAAAAAGATAACTTTATGTTTTGGACAAAATGTTAATCTACCCATGTGCTTTTTGGATTAATTACATTTGTTTGTTAATTCAGCTGGGATGATCGCAATTGCTTACTGCGTGAATTGCGTGCAAATGTGTAGCTAAAGGCTTTAATGCAAGGGGCATGTTTCCTACAGCGCTGAGGTCTCGCCCTACTTTTACGTGCAGTCAGGCGGTATGACACCAGTTACCGCTCCCTCTGACGTAGTACGGATAATGAGTCTCGCGGATAAACAAACACGACATACATTTTATTTGCAATTAAAATCGGACCGTTTACGTATTCTGTGTCTGTAAAGTCAGCGTAATCTGTATTGATATGCGTCGTTATGCATGACACTTGCACTGGTTCGGTAGAGGTTAATGGTATGTCATTAATATCGCGACCTCTAATAGACTCCCTTAAGTGATTAGTGGCTGAGATTCTAGTGCCCGAACGCGTGAATCACAACCGGCCTCGGGCTAAACAATCAGAAATCAAAGCGAAGTTTTAATTTAAAAAATATAATTAGGACTTTCTATCTTCGATTAAACTTATAATATTTATTTTTCGTCTCCGGGGCGTCTAAAATTCCTTATGGGACACTGGTTATATAATGAATTAGCTCAAAGGCAAAATTATGTTCTACCTATCCACTGGGTGCGTAGGCACTTCCTGCTCTGATTGGTTTTGTGTAACCCTGTCACATACGACTTCGATTAATTATGACGAATGATATCCTCTGGATCTGAGGTGGATTTGACAGCAATGCTATGCAATGAAATTGTGTTTGTGAACAAATATTTGGAGATTATCTTTGATTCTCGGCGTCTTAGGTTTGGTACCTCCCAATCTGATGAAAGACATTTGGAGAGTACCCGTGTTTGCTGCCAAACACATCTCTTCTGACATTATGGGTAATGCGGAAGGATGCAGTCTTGGAAAGTTTTGACATTCTCCGAATAGTTCTGATTGGGTTCGGCCAGGCAGAGCTTCCTAGGAGAAGTCTCAATCGCTGTCTGGACTGCGTGTAGAGGGGGCAAGGGCCCTGAGCTGATGATGAGCCTAACCAGCCTGACTGTGCCAGGATCACCCAAACCCCCTTTGCTGCATATTTCATATTTATCTGTATAATAATTATAATAATAACGAGTTTCAAGAACACTTGTTACATGTTAGTCGAAACTTTGCTTTATATAGCCCACAAATGGTAATGCTCATTAAACAAGTTCAAGTCAAGTAAGTATTCGTTTGAACGAACACTCTTATATAAAGATATGTATTTATATTGTGCAACAAAATCTAAATAATTCAATTTCAGAAGTGGATAGATTGATGAATACCTCAACTTAAAATGAATAACTGCTATCTATCTCCTACCTGGTGTGGGGGTCTTCCTGGTTGTGGGCGTATAATCCGCAGTCAGCGTCTGTATGTCGGGTCCCTCCCTCCTCTGGTGTAAAGCGCGTATGGTAATGTGAGAACGACGCAAGTCCGCCGTCATAAGAATTACTTACCTGCCTACCTGTCACGTGCCCCCAAGCAGTGTTCAACCAGGCGTGGCTACGGTTAAAGCCCTCGGGCGACCACGGACAAGTGTTTTATAAATAGTGATAATTAAACTCGCCCACTGTACTTAGTATTTTTTTCTTAATTAAGAATTAACAATGATTAAAATGTGTTTTATCAGTATGAACGCTCCACCACCACCATCAATACTCAATATTACCAGTTGTGGACAATGTTGCTTTAGATGCTGTCATTCCTCCAACTGTATACGTATACACAACAAACAATAATCGCAGAAAGTTTACGGCGCAATAGAATATTTTTAAAATTTTATAATGATTGTATTACATATTTTAGCACTAAGGTGCTTTTATTATGAATATATTTGTATTCTGGTGTCTCGTAGGCCATTTTTGGCCGGACAATGTATATTGATGAATGTTTTGTATTATCTTATTCGTATGTACATTGTGTGAAACCGTAATAAAATAATCTTCTTCTTTATCCAGAGTCATGGGCCCATTCAAGGGGTTCACCCCACTGTGCCAACTTTAGGTTATGGATATTGTACCATCAAGGGATTAGGGAATTAGGCCGTATCATCATTTGACCAAAACATTCAAGCGATACACAGTATTGCATCTCATAATATAATTTTGCCAGAATAATAAAAATACAAATATACGATTTGATTTAAGAACATTTATACGGTTAAAATATGTGAACAGGAAGTACATGTAAGTGTACATCTAATACATTATATGGTGTAAACATTTCACTTGGATATACATACAATGATACGTAAACTTTGTCTCTTAGCAAAACACATGATATGGACAGTACTACAGTAATTCATCTTTACGCCGCTTTTAGCAATATTTCAGCAATTCCAGAAATGGGCTTCACACATTGTACCCATGTAGGGAAGCGAACCCGGGTATTCGTCGTGAAGAGCGAACGCTTTAACCACAAGGCTACCCCATCATCCCAGTAATTTATTTATAGTCCAGTAAGATGTGACACAGAATAAGCGAACTGCTGAAAAGTCTTGGTGCCATTCTGCAGACGTTGTTTCCCTCCCTGCAATCTTTCTTCAAGCTGTCTGTACTGTCGCTTTAATGGCCGGATTCAAACTCATTTTAATCGAAATCAACCTGACAATGAAACATTACGTGCGTACAGAACACCAAGAGTATACGCAGTATGTAAATTAATAACACTTATTTGAATTGAATTGCAGATCTTGTAGAACAGAAAATGCTTACAGTTCGCAAAAGCTCACTTCGGTATAAACCACTATGTGCAATGTAAGAAGATTTGAGATACTGTAATATATATAATGAACTAACGTATCACAATACTTTACATAAAATGCCAGGCAAAAGAAAGTATACCGCCATGTTTGGTTGTGCAACAAACAAGAAATGGTTATTCGGTGGTGGTGTATTTGATACGGGTATCGGAGTCATGTTTTGGACCTTACGTGTGTAATGTTTTGGCGACCGTTTTCAACCTAGTAACGTTTCGATAACTTTTGTATTGTTTTGGTCAAATTCGATCTTCAAGTATTCTTTCTTTAGCTTAGTTTCTTTACCCTTTAAAAATAATTAGGGTTTCAAGCGGAATGGTGGGGCAGGAATGAGTCAGAAAGACATGAACGGGGCTAATTCGGGGCTGGTTGGATTGGAATCGGATTGGCTTGGGTGTTAGATGTCGAGTGCATGTGTAATTTCGAAAAAAGTCGATTGTATTGACAAATTATGACCTAAAGCTCCGCACTGAGTTGCATTCGACAGTAGGGAAGGCCCGAGGGTATACTTCAGGGTGGTATGGTTATCAGTGCTCCACAGCACGGCGTGCATCAGCTTCCTAGTTATACAACCCGGAAGTGATGACGTCACACAGCTGGTGCGCACTTCTAGCCCCTAGCAAGGTCACAACAAATTGATGCTCATTGGAATCGATGTTACCTTTATTAGCAGTAAGACATATGACCACTCAGTACAACTTACACCCGTCAGTAGTGAGTGAGTATGGTTTAAACCCTGCTTTGGATAATAGGACAGTACGCGGGGACAACAAGAATGAAGCACACTGCGTTAATAGGCCCCCTACATAGCTGTGAATAATGACAATATCTCCTAAATATATGCATTTTTAACATTGTTGGACAATACTACAAGATGCATATATGAACAAAGCGAGGTAGTGACGTTTTTATCTTGTCTCAATCCAGGGACTGAAAAATTAGAAAGCCACACAATTCCGTTTATCAGGAGGGTCATTTCATATTTCTACGGCATTAAATATATGTTAATTCACGACATATATAGTCGGCTAAACTACTCGTAAATTGCCAATAGAAACGTTAGAGTGATGGTGCTGTAACATCGCGCATCATAGATCAATACAATCATTGACATCCAAAGTAACCGCTGGCTACATATTGAATAAATACTGAATGTGATGTGACGCATTTAACTATTTAACAAATCGCTCTCTCTCTCTCTCTCTCTCTCTCTCTCTCTCTCTCTCTCTCTCTCTCTCTCTCTCTCTCTCTCTCTCTCCACATCATGGACAGGATGAACACCCAGTATTCTATCCATCGTATGTCACACACACTGCAATGTTATTAAATTATGTTCCTTTGACAACCTACACTTGTCCTGTGTTGATGAAGTCGTGAGGGGCGGACATTCTGTCTGCCCTGCCAAACAATATCTCTCGGCGTCACGTGACATCAGGTCGGAATAATGTGGTGTGAAATTGGATTGACTTCCTGTTTTCTTGACGCTCAGAACATTAACAACTTATTTTTTATAGCCGATGAGATGTCGTATACATAAGAACGGACTTTCATACATGTCATCCTTCTTACTGTGGACACGCCATATCTCGTAATATGTTTACTTCAGCTGTGACTCAGTTTATGAATAACAACTTCTTTATTATACTGTTGTTATCCATAAACTTTTGTTTACTTTGTCATCGGTCGACTTTTAACAAATGACTATCAAACAATTCAGCAGTGACTGACTTGGCGAACGGACTTTAATACTTGGCATTATCAAACATTTATTAACAACGTGCCTTAAACATTTTTTCTCAACTTACAAGCAGCAGAATCCCTGCACTTGTACACAGCAGACGTTCTTCAATATTATCTTATCTAGTTTCTACAGAATCAGTAAATGCACCATCGTGTCACTGGAGTTTTTGGTCCATCGCTTGATTGTCTGGTTCGTTGACTGGCCGTCGTCGCATGGTAGGACTACTGCTGTGCGGCGTCAGACAACAAAAAACTTACCTTTTTATGCAAACTGTGTCAGCGGCGGGTGCTACCGGGAGGGCAGGTCATGTTACTTTTTTCGCGAACACCTGGTGTCATCACTGATTTCCATTCATATTATTTTAATCGCTATTTTCTCTTTTACAACTGATTCATAAATATTGTTATATTAACATGACATGTGAAAAATAGACATGTATGATATATAAACTTACATAATTTTAATTAATATGTATCGAGGGATGACATACTTTATTTATCTAAGAATTTAAAATATAAATAACAATTTCATTATGTGAACTAATTAAGTTGATATTCCAGTCACGACGGCGCCACTCATGAAATATCAAATCTGTCAGGTCACTCAGTGAGGTCAACATATTATTTGACAAGATTAGATAAATATAATTATTTATTGCCGCGGGACACATCAAAGCAATTTGAATAAACGTGAATTTAAAAAATGTGTTATTGGAGACAGGAACATATGACCATGGATAATATTGCCGTATTTGAACGAGAGGTAGGCGTGTGTTGAGACTGCCATGACCTATATCTTGTTCAACGATGTTCGTGTGAATATCTGTTACAAAATGTTGATTAATCATATCATTTTTTTCTCTCTGATTTATATATGATGAGGAAATCAATTAATACATGTGTAGATGTATCGGGATGTATTGGCGGGTCCTGCCATCCGTCAACCGTCAACCATGTGCATTCCTCGTGAACATTTGGCGTACCATCTCTCTCGCTATATGGCTGAAATAATGTCGATGCGACGTTAACGTTTAACTCACTCACTCAAAGGATCGCGTTCTTTGATAGACAGCGGTAACAGTGCGGGTTACTGTACATGTATATCCCAACTTTCTCGGGGCAAGGGGGAGAGTGAGTGAGGGAGTATGGTTTTACGCCGCTTTTAGCAATATTCCAGCAATATCACGACGGGGGACACCAGACATGGGCTTCACACATTGTGCCCATGTCGGGAATCGAACCCGGGTCTTCGGCGTGACGAGCGAATGCTTTAACCACTAGGCTACCCGACCGCCCCTGCAAGGGGGACAGGAAGGTAAACAAGGACAGAAAGATTAAATATTGAGGACTACTTAAACACGTTCACTGACTTACTCACTTAAACTCGGAATATGTTTCTGGAAATGTTAAGGTATAATTACTCTGAATCAATTAATAATTAATTCTTGATTTAACTTGTCAAGTGAATTAAACACCCTCTTCAGTTAGGCTAGATAATCCATCATGGCAGCTAATAATGGCTGTCAAATGTATTTGAAAAAAATCTTATTCTTCATATTTTAACATTAAAAAGTATTTATAGGAGAAGAAATATGAAATTTAATCCTGAAGGAGCTATATCATTTTGTACAGTTACTCATCACATTCCCCCCATCTCTAGTCTCCTATATACACCGTCACGTGTGGAACCGCAACTTTGATATTTGACGGTAAGGCTCTAAAAAATAACACCGTTTCAGTTTTCAAGACATTAGGGTCGTTATGGCGGAAATGCATTGATTTATGTTTTAATGAATGATTACATTACGTATATAATTTCCTCCAACTATGTATGTAACGTTACTTCCGCGATCTCCGGACAGCTGTTGCGTGCATGACAAGGTTCAGGTGTCTACATCTACCCTATGGGTAAATTTACGACAGCATTCCGAGTCGGTTGATCAGTATCTTAAACCATCAACGCTTAGCGAGGAGACCGACACCGCCTTGACCTGTTATATTGACACATTGCGCTTTTATTCCAGTTATATCGCGGCGTGTCAGCTTAAAGTGGGAGGAAAGCCCGAAGTGATGCAGGTCTTTACCACTTCGGTGAAACCCACGAGCACGGGTATGGTGCTGACAAACCTAGAAACATAATCGGGGTAAACCGGGATTCGAACCCAGAATCATAGGTTTCTGGCGTGTCCAGGGGACGCAACTCTGCACAGCGAATCGCAGCGCCTTAGACGACTGGGCCACCCGTGCCCCTGTACACCTACATGTACCTTGTTTGTGTGTTGCTTCACAACGCACTCAGCAATATATCAGTACTACTTCTCGCCGTGTACGAACTGACATGCAGTTGTAGCAAACTTTATGTAAGGACCGGTAATTTTAGTTCGTTATACCCGTAGTTCGTTATAAGCCTATATACGGCAAATGAACGGGATAAAAAAAACCATTTCGTTATATTCGTCAGTTCGTTATAAGCGTATTCGTTATAAACGTAGTTTAACTGTCGTTATTTACACACACACACACACACACACAGACACACACACACACACACACACACACCTCCGTCCCCCGTATCTTTTGGAAATATTTACATGTGATGTTGATTTTATATTGATAAATATCTAAAGTACCACCAAGACATGATGGAACGTGGGTAAAAGAACATTGTATGTTCCCCCAGGTAGTCACTGACTCGTGAAGATCTGGGCTTCACACACTGTAACCATGTCGGGAATTGAACCCGGGTCTTCGGCGTGACGAGCGAACGCTTTAACCACTAGGCTACCCGACCGCCCCTCTGGGTTACAAAAGGTCTTCAGCAACCCATCTAACTATGCTTGTCGTAAGAGGCTCGCTGACTTGGTCGATGCATGTTATCGTATCCGAATTGTGTAGATGGATGCGCATGATGTCAATCACTGAATTGTTTGGTCCAGACTCGATTATTCACAGACCGCCTCATAAAACTGAATATCGGTGAGTGCGGCGTTCAACAACAAACAAACAAATCACAAGGACTGGGTGGTATGATTCATAGATGTGAGTTTAACGTCGCGTTCAAGATTATTGTACTTGTATATCGACGTACGAGCCCTGACTGATTCCGATTTCATAGTGCAAGCCCAGAGATACCAAGCCGTAGTTTAACATGGATACCCCACTCAGACACAGTTTATTGACTCCGAGCCGACCAGTTCTTGTTGTAGCCCCTGAATGCCGAGCACCAAGTACCATCTTTGACGTCTATTGTATGACCCGGTCTGGGATCGAATCACCGACCTTCTGCTCTCCGGACAGATGCTCTATCCACTATATTGTGGAATCTATTACTCTATTACTTAGAGTGAGTGAGTATGGTTTTAAGCCGTGTTTAGCAATATTTCAGCAATATCATGGCGAGAGACACCAGAAATGGGCTGAACACATTGTACCCATGTGGAGACGCAAGCCAGGCTTTCTGCGTTGGGAGCACCCGCTTTACCCACTGGGCTACCCCATCGCCACATAATGCAAAGCGGAGGAAGCAAATGAGAGTATTTTCTCGAAAACTATTGACATTGAATAGTTTCGACACATATGTATGCTATGACATAATCAAATACTCATATTTCCTGGCATTTTATATACAAAAAAAATCCTCGAAAACGCTTGAAAAAAACAATTATGCTTCTGACTGTTAAAAAGAAAAGAAAATGTATGCCATATAAATACATTGTTGCACGATGTTTACAGGAAAATAGTTCGGACTATTGTTTTAATAAAAATATACATATCTGGATTTCAGCTGTAGCTAGAACAAAATCCAGTATCCAAACAACCCCCCCCCCCCCCCAAACATCAAGTGATTGGTCCCTTAAAGGGGAAGTGTACACGCAAAAATCACTTTCTTTCTTTTTCTAAACAAAACGCAATTTTAGAATTAGTTAGTATCTGTGTTTGAAAATATAAACACATTTTTTTCACAGTGAAAGTAGGAAGCTCAAAATAGTGTGAAAATGCTATGCCGTTATGAGGCCTTCGTTTTTCGAGCTAAACAGGCCAGAGTTATCCCCCTTAGATTATGACGTAATTGGTGCCAATTCAACTGGGTCCCTGTCTATTCTCAACGCAAAAGATATCAACTACCAGTTTGCGGTAAAACAACATGGCCTACGACACATTCCGGCGCAGTGGTGACTCAGCATAACACTAGACTGGCTGGCATCTGAGACGCTAGAATCACACACCTGTACCTACACCACGTGAAGCAGCTCTAACAAAGCATGATGACGTCACAATGTTTATCAATTGGCACCAATGACGTCATATTGCAAGGGGCATAAGCCATGGTGTTTTTGTTCTGGAAATAGAACACTTGGTAAATGTGAAAAATATAAATCGTTTTAATGCAAAAAATATGTTAATTAAATGTGATATTTTTATATTTTTGTCTATGACACTACTAGGTTAACACTTTTAATGTGGTTCATGTGGTAAATAGGTTCATTTCCTTGTGAACTTGCCCTTTAAGGAGTACGAAATTGTTCTATTCTGCCGTAGAGATGTGACTATATTACATGTTTCAGACATACATGTATTTAGCCAGTCAAATAACGCCAAATCCTATCATATGGTGCATATGGTTTTATTCATACTTGCATCTATATACAAACACCACAATATTTCATATATGTGGCATATATTTCAATTTATCACAATTGAATACAATCACATTAGGTCAAAACAAACTCTAGTTATTAGTTCTTGAAAAAAACATATCCCGGTATAAGCATACGGTAAATATCGGGCGGGGGTCGGGAGACCAACAAATGAGTTTTAAACAGCCGGGGGCTCGTGGTAAAAAAGCCAACGAGGGACGCATAAAATCCCATGTACCCCGAGTAATCCTGGTACAACGAATTTATCTTACCGACATGTTTAAATGTGACATTGTAAAAGAAATAACACAAATTCAAAATTGATAGAGTAAACAGCTGTTCGATTGAGCTTGTGTTAACTTGTATGTCACGTGACTTCCATTTACTCGGAAAAAGCGTTTGGGCTTTTTGCTTTGAAGCGGGTAAAAGAGATTTATTCTGCCGCTGAGAAATCCATATGCAGCCTGTATTGCTCGTGGCGGGGTATAAGAGATGTATTCCCACGCTGGGAAATGTATTAATCCAAGGCGGGTTACACAGTATTTCATCAAGATCACGTGGAGCTATCAAATCTCATCATTCTGACATGGAGGTATGATGTTGACTGGGCTTCCCTTACACCCCTAACATGAACCTCGCTATTAAGACAGCAATTTTATAAAAAAAATAGCAGTGAACCATAATCAACATCACTCGTCACACTAACAGATTTATGCATTTGTGCCTTGTAAACAAAATATTTGAAACTGCTGAAACTAATATGAAAGTCAGTCATGTTTCTACTGAATACCAACATCACAAAAACTCAGAACCGGTATATATAGCACAGCTTGGAAATACATGAACACCTTTTGTCCAGATTAAATCAAATATCATTCGGTGTATATAAAACAGAAGGCCCTCTTACTAATATTTACAAATATATCAATATATACAGTGCTATTGTGTTTCATACACATCCAACAGTATTAAGAGTAACGTAAAGTAAGACAAGTTCTATGGATGAACAACTTATTTTTTACAATTAGTGCAATTGTGCACTAATTGTAAAAAAGAAGTTGTTCATCCATAGAACTTGTCTTACTTCATCACACCAACTTCTAAATGCCACTTAAAGAAGAGTAACGTGGTCGTGCTTGACATCGTGTTAAGTGCATCCTGAATATACTTAGTTTCTGGTATGATTCGGTTGTCACTTAGCAGGAAGGACCAGTCGATATGACATGACATTGCTCTTCTGGACAACAGACAATTATTGTTCCTATTGTAGTTAACTCCGTGTATGCCGTGGCGCCCGGCACGCACAGAGCACCTGCGTTTGATGTTCATGTGTGTTTCGTGCCGATACATATGTCATATCGCTTTGATAGCGTGTCACGTGCTGGCAGCTCGCACGAGGTCCACGTGCTATTACGATGTGACGTCATTAAATTATTCAGATTCATTATAATTGCACGTTTCATATTTGTGCTGAATCGGGTGATTCTTAAACCTTTTTTTTTAATTCTTTAGGATATACAATGTGTATAACATATAGTTGATTATCGAACAAAATCGTCCTGCGTTGATCTTGTTCTTACATGTTACAGGAAATCTTGCAAGTTGTGAGACAGTATATATGTAACGGAGGTTTAAACAAAGGTAAAAATTAACAGGTCACTAAATCAAGTTTCAGTACTTGCAATGAAAAATAATCATCAAGGGAAATATATCATTTTCAATCCCGAAATTTGTGTCTGTTGAAAACTGTACACAGTTCTTCCGAATGGTCTCATTATGCCAAGTTGCGCTGCAGATCGCCTCAGCTGATGGCGATGATGGCGATGACGCCGCCTGTGAACGCTGTGATGACCAGGACATGGATCCTCAGTATAACGCGGCGAGTGAAACCTCCCTGAAAATTACGAGAATTTACATCATTAGAATTGTTCTTGAGCAACACATACATGCCGTGAGGGGCGACTATGCTTGTCGAAAAAGGCGACCAAAGTGATCAGGCTCAATGGCTGCGTAGATTGATGACAATGATGTCAATCACTTGATTGTCTGGTCCAAACTCGATTAATTACAGAGCGCCGTCATATAGCTGGAATATTGCTGGGTGCGGCGGTAAACAAAAAACAAACAAGCATTCATATGATTTTCACCGCTATTTTGCCTTTAGCGTCTTGATAACATGTTTCCAATATCCTGTCAATTGCCTTTCAAATCTCTATCAAAGAACCGCAAAAACACACAGTTCACATTTTTTCAACGCCCTGTCAATCCATAGCAAAAAGCTATGTCGACTTCACACTAAACTCTGTCAAGGCTATGTCCCTACTGGCGTTTAAGCAATACGGCAACCGTCCACAAGGCTCAGTGTTTCTGATTCTTCCTCGTATTAACTGTCGCTATATAGCTGAAATAATGCCGATGCGACGTTATATTTTAACTCACTAGCTCGTATTAACTATTGTTATAGTTTGACTCCATTGACTTTTTCTTAACCAAGATGGAACACATCTTTGAAGCTCCATCCATATTGAACTTACCGGTGGCTCTGTGTCATCCCTGTCTATATCCTTTGTACTGGAATACCTTGTGTTCCTGTTGGCGTAGATAGAGTAGCTCTGTTGCTTGCGCTCTGGAATAGAATGGACACGGACCTTGTACAGAGTGAAACTGATACATTCAGGATAGGTAGCATTATCGCTATCTTGATAAAAGAGTTACATGAAAAGTGGCCTTTCTTCTTTGAGTTTCCGGTGACTCCTTTTTTACCTTGATGTTACAGAAGGTAGATCATTCACTTTTGACTTTGGGTTTACAGAAGGCAAGGTCATTCACCTTTGACCCTAGAAGTTACATGAGACAAACTTCTCATATTTGATCCTGGAGTGACAGATGGCAAGGTCACTACCTTTTACATTTGACCCTAGCGATGGGGTCATTAACCCTTGACCCTCGAGTTTCAGAAGCTAGGATCAGTCACCTAAAGGCTAACAAGGTCACTTACTTTTGACCCAAGAGTAACAGAGGACAAGGGCATCAACTTTTGACCCTAGTGGTACGGGAGACAAGGTCATCAACGTTTGAAGGTCATCAACTTTTGACCCTAGAGGTACTGAAGAGAACTTAATTCACCTTTGACCCAACGGGTACGGGAGACAGGTCACATACCTTTGATTCTGGAGTTACAGGAGACCACCTCCAGGATGAGGACAATGAACACCTGGTATACGGCGAAACAGTAGAGGATGTAGGAGACGTACTCGTGCACGCCGGCCTTCTTCAAACCCACGCCAAGGATGATGTTCATTACTACAACGACATGAAGCAAAGGTCAGATTCACTTGGCTTTCTCAGAGAACGTGTATTTTGAAGCAGCGCTACTCCCTCAAAATCTTTATCATCAAAATGTTGTTTTCCGGGTGATGAGTGAGTGAGTGAGTATGGTTTTACGCCGCTTTTAGCAATATTCCAGCAATATCACGGCGGGGGACACCAGAAATAGGCTTCAAACATTGCACCCATGTCGGGAATCGAACCCGGGTCTTCGGCGTGGCGAGCGAACGCTTTAACCACTAGGCTACCCGACCGCCCCTTTTCGGGTGATGACATGGAAACGATCATATCATTGTTCACGTGAGATCGGTTTGAAGTAGGTAGATATATATTTGACACAATGAATACGTTTGCAGTGACCAGTGTCTTATCCGTCTGTGACGCACCTGCTAGGATGTGGTCGATGATTCCGACACACCAGTGGGCCCAGTTGAACACTGGCCTATTGCTGGAGGTAGACTTGGGACGGAAAATTCCCATCGCCGCCTGGGGAATTATACAGAGGCATATATATATTAAAAAGATTGATGTTTACATATTGTTGTCATATTTCTTGGTTCGCCAGTTTCGATTTCTTCGTGTTTTCCCCCCAATTTATAGTGTCACGTTACGTTAAAGGAACATATAACTGAACGTCAAAAAGCATATAAAGGAACAAGTGTTTGTTTGCGTTAAATCTACACATCTGCCAATAATGGTCTTTTGGCAATTTTATGAAATAAATATTAAACGTCAACGACAGAGAATAACCAGTCTCGATTATCCGACGAAACAGATTCCCATTGTAAGTGAAACGAAAATAGCGATGGAAATTATATGAATGGATCAGTGAAATTCAGTGATGACAACAGATGTTCGCTAAAATGGAAAGCATGTCATCCCCTGCCACTAGCTTTCTTTAAAGTTCTCATTTTTAGGCAGACATCCAATAAACGGCTATTTCAATGAAGACAAGGCTGAGTTATCGATGTCGGCCAAGCAGGTAATATTTGCTAAGATAAATGTACTAGCGCCTGTACCGACACGTGCATTGACAGAATAAAGGTGATGCAATCCCTAAGTTTTCACTGACCCTAAAGTTCCTTACAGCTACTTATAAAATGTTAATTGCTTACGCTTGTTTCTTTGTTTGTTGTTTACCGCCGCACTCCAGCTATATGACGGCAGTCTGTAAATAATCGAGTCTGGACCAGACAATCCAGTGATTGACATCATGAGCATCGATCCACGCAATCGGGTACGATGACATAGATCAACCAAGTCAGCGAGCCTGACCATCCGATCCCGTTTGTCGCCTCTTACGACAAGCAAAGTCGCCTTTTACGGCAAGCATGGGTTGCTAAAGACCTATTCTACCCCCGGATATTCACGGGTCAATTGCTTACGTAAATATACTGTAACAAATGTTATATGTGGCATAACACTTTCTTTGTAAAGTACAGATTCTCGTACTTTTGGGGGTTGAATCCTGTCCGGGATTCGAAACCACACTGCCAAAGTAAGAGAATCTGTACTTTACAAAGAAAGTGTTATCCCAAATATAACATTTGATACATTTGACCACTTTCTAAATGGCATTGTGTGTTTGTAAATATACTCACTGACAAAAGAAACGCGAATACCATACATGTTGGTTAATATATGAATATCATATATCCATGACTCGAGATGCACCATTTGTCTCGGATTAGCGTGTAAAGTTTGGAAATCACGTGCGGCATATCGTGATAAGAATAAAGACACTATTCTGTAATGCTTGGCTGATTGTTAGTGTTGTCATTAAGCGGTACACATTGGAAACATCTCTTCTTAACCTATATACTTGTCTATATGTTTCTGTGGTTTGCGTTTCTTTTGGCGATGAGTATATATACTAGTTCAGAAAGCACATGCACATAAGGTATAATTATTTCACTTTGACTTAAAAGTACATACACCTATATCATGACTTACATACCTGTATTATTGTGAGGCCTGTGACGATCATGCCGAGTATTGGGTGGATCTTTCTAAAATCTAGGAAACTGATCTGAAAAAGACAAGTACTGAATTCTTAACACTGAATAATGCATTTCTAAATGACATTATAACCGAATACATTGGAAAGAAAGATGATGTATGTTATTAGAGATGGTTTTATCTGATCTGGCACGTATTATGTAGCTTGTGATGTATGTTACTTACGTCACTGAGACCTTTGACCTCCAGAAAGATGACAACAAAAGCCCCGACCACCAACAACGCCAGCAACATCGTGCACATCCGGTGTATCTGTGGAGAAGAGGAGATGTAAGAGGTTAGAGGGGTTTAACGCCACTTCAGCAGAATTGGAGATATATCCTAGACGTTAACCACACGGATGTGGTTGTGACAAAGGCAAATTTGGGATTCAAACCCAACGCAGATCCTGGCACGGCAAAGGGACGCAATTCTACACAGCGAATGGTGGCGTCTCACACGTCTGTTGCCACTTGTACCCCAAGTGTGAGTGATAAGGGCCGTTTTACACAGCTTTAAGCAATATTCCACCAATATCGCGCCGGGGACACCAGAAATAGGCTTCAAACATTGAACTCATGAGGCGATTTTTCAAAGCAGCATTGTGTGAAATAATGCTGAATGTGATCTTGTGTAAAACGATTTAACAGTGCAAGGTCCCTGGTCAAACCAACATTGAATCAGAGATGAGCAGTTTATATAATATAGTATGATATGGTGTATACTGTTAATCCTCACTAAATGATTTACAGGGCACGTATGGACCGCCTACCTTCTAACCCTGATCCTGTGTAGTCTATTCACGTTCTACCAGTTCTCATTGTCAGTCGGAGGTACTCACCGTGAACCACAGCTTGCGGCCGCACACCCGGGCCTGGGGCCACATCGGTTTGTAGAAGCGGGCGACGACAATAGCAATGCTGGCCAAGAACATCCAGGCAAAGGTCATCGCACAGGCTAGAAAACACATAGACAGTGTCATCGCACAGGCTAGTAAACACATAGACAGTGTCATCGAATAGGCTAGAGAACACATAGACAGTGTCATCGAATAAGCTAGAAAACACATAGACAGTGTCATCGAATAGGTTAGAAAACACATGGACAGTGTCATCGAATAGGCTAGAAAACACATAGACAGTGTCATCGAATAGGCTAGAAAACACATAGACAGTGTCATCGAATAGGCTAGAAAACACAAAGACAGTGTCATCGAATAGGCTAGAAAACACATAGACAGTGTCGTCGAAAAGGCTAGAAAACACATAGACAGTGTCGTCGAAAAGGCTAGAAAACACATAGACAGTGTCGTCGCACAGACTAGAAAACACATAGACAACGTCGTCGAAAAGGCTAGAAAACACATAAATCGTAAATATTTTTTTCTTAGCCCCAACATTACCATTACCATAAATCATTCCCTTCCCTTCCCACATTCTGACCCAGTTGATACTCATTCAACAAATGTACACTTGACATGCATCCTTCTACAAACAAGATGGTGTTTTATCCTAACGCATTAACAGTGATGTGTACAGCTGCGTTTATCGTTCCTACGCTTACCATGAACCTTGATAAAGATTCTGTCTCCGTAAGCCACCTGCATCTGCGCAGTAGTCTTCAGGTCGACCCGATACCTCGACACCCACGGCAGGTTGGTGTGACGCTCCATGCGGCCTAGGGAGAGAGTGTACATTGAAGAAAGGTGAAATTGTAGAAGCAACAAGTATAATCCACGTCATAAAACTTAAGCGCCAGAGAATAACCAGTCTCGATTATCCGCCGAAACAGATTCCATGGGGCGAAAAAAGGCAAAATAGTGGTGAAAATGATATGAATAGATCACTGAAAATTAGTGATGACACCATGTCTTCGCGAAAAGGTAAGCATGTCCTGCCCTACCGGAAGTAACCTGACTCACATAATTTGAATTAAAAAGCAAGTGTTGTACTCCCGCCATTGGGCGACGGCCTTTAAACAAACCAGACAATCAAGTGATGGACGAGAAAATCCAGTGACACGATAGCGCATTTACTGATTTTGATGAAACTAAAGAATCCCTCAAACTGATTTAAAAATAACCGGCATACAACCTCACTCACTCACCAGCAACAATGGGGCCTTGAGCGAGCAGCATAAACCAGGCCTTGTCCAAGTTATATATCTTATCGTTTCCGGGCACCATCTTGGTCCGTACGAACTCGCACGTGAGAACACCGTCCGCCAAGGTGTCGGAGATGGGGAAGATGATGGGGTTCATCTAAACAGAGAGTCACAGGTTAGCCATCAGTGTTCACACTTGAGCTTGTGAACATGAGAAGTCACCCTCAGTCACCCTCAATCATACAATGTACCATATCTCCATTCTGTTAAGATATGTGCCATAAACCCATTCGCTTCTTTACAGTTATCGTCCCAAACAGGCTTCCACAGAAGATTTTGCTTGGGTGGGATCAATAATGAAATTGAATCATAATGCTATGACATCATCGGTTAATATGACGTCGCAATCGAACGACATCACTAATCTCTCTGTCACTGTAGCTTAGCTGTATCCTTCGCACCCAAGACTGTTTTCAAACTATACCGGTTGGAAGAATGATTTTTGATGATAAATATATCTAACTCTCGTGTCTTTTATTATCATGATGTACAATGCTATATCTGCTATCCAGCCTCGGAATGTTAAACTTTCATCGACTCGTGTTGACATAGTTGATATCAAAAGACACGAGGGTGAGATTCACCTTATATTTCCGCTTTGAGCCCGATTTGAATGGCATAGTCCTAAAATAGTTAGCCAGTCAAAAGGCGAGAGAACGAGAGAAATTCTGTGTCAAGTTACAAATAGGAGAGATTGAGATGATGACGTCATTTCCGGAAGGAGGCTATGATGGCGGATTGGTCCAGGGTATTGGTCATGATAGAATGGAGACATACTGCATTAGGTAATCGAGGAGGGTCCTTGATGAGTTTGCACTTTCATTTTACTTCAAATCTGTTTGAAGTGATAACGTCAATGGGAAGCCGACGTGGTGAGCCTTCTACTGTTATACACATCCTTGACGTCGATCTCGATTGCCCTATACATTTATGCATATCCATACAATATAGGTTTGAATCATTCGAAGAAGTATATCCTGTCTAACTTATGAAATCCTAGAAGGGACATTGTCGCGTTGTCGGCATTACAAAACACAAGCAAAAAGTGTTAAAATTAAACAAAGCGCGACAATGCTACAATGTGACCTTTTGACCATTTTGTGGCACTGTCACGCTTTAAATGATATTTTTTTAACTTTTACCAAAGAGACATTTTTCAAGTTCTAAATATGTAGCTTTGTCGCTTTGTCTAAAATGTGGAAATGTCCCTTCTAGGATTCCATACTAGCTTTACGCTGTCAGTGCTCACCGGGTTCATCCTCTTGTTAGACCTGTGGTAGTTGTAGGAGACGCTCATGCTGCGTCTGCCGCCCTGACTCAGACATTCAACAACGCTGTCGTCGCCCTGGTAACATGAAACATCAAGGTCATACATCAGAGCGTTCAGCACCTATCATATTCATGATAATGCCACTTAGAAAGTGTGGTTTTATATTTGTTATAACCGCATTCCTGTAAAAATACCCTGGTGGCAAGACATGGTCTCCAGTACATAATGTCCGTTATTGCACTACGAAATGAAATGTGGAAGTTTCAGTGACTCACTTTCGTGAACATAAAACGTCAAACACAGAGAATAACCAGTCTCGATTATCTGCCTCTACAAATTCCATTGGGCGTTAGAGGCACACTAGTTATGCAAATTATATGAATGTATTACTGAAAATCGTTACTAAGGTTCGGAAGTATTCAAGTGTGGGCCAGGACATTCTGTGAATTGTAGAATACGATGCCATGTATTCATGTAACACAGATTCAGTAATGGTTCTAGGGGGGAGGGGGGCACGGGTGATCCGGTCGTCTAAAGCGCCGCGATTCGCTGTGCAGACTTGCGTCCCTTTGGTACGCCAGAAACCTATGATTATGGGTTCGAATCCCGGTTCCCCCCGATTATGTTTCTATGTTTGTCAGCACCATACCCGTTCTCGTGGGCTTCACCGAAGTGGTAAACGTCTGAGACCTGCATCACTTCGGGCTTTCCTTCCACATTTAGCTGACACGCCGCGATATAACTGTAATACTGTTAAAAGCGGCGTTAAACCCAATTCACTCACTCACTCTGGTGATGCCATGGAGATAGTTTATTGACCAGTATATGGACCTTCTGGAGCAGGCTGGTTTTCTGGGTAAGCTGCGCTGACGCTACACTAGCACAGAATACCCAGTGAACCACACTGCTTGTTGAGGTGCATTGGCTACAGCGCACCTCTACGGAAGTAATATGTCAACATAATAAACCCAGTTTAAACACCATCATTAAACGTATTGAGTCTTATGTGGCGCATTTTCTCAAGACATGCGTGCCTACTCGCCTATATCAAAGTCTAGACTTAACTTTGATGTAGTGAAGACATATGATGAATACACCGGATATGTGGGTAAAACTACAGAATACATCTGAAGAAAATTCATTCCGAGCTTACCATCTTCGTATCATGCGACATTCCAAGTGCTACCCACTGGTCGGGCGTGTCCGGCAGCACCTTGACCGACATGCTGAACCAGACTCGGTCCCCCATGTCTCGCCACTGCACGTTGAATGTACAGTCCTTGTCAACACACTGGTTGAAGCACCCTCGCGTGGTCCCGCACTTGCCTCCCTTGTCGTCCTTGGGAAGGGAAAAAGAGGTTTAGGGTCAGTATTATATCTATGTTTTATACATGCGTACATAACAATTTTTATGTTGTTCTCTCATGCGGTGAATGCGAATCATAATCATTTCCTGAGATCATTGATTGTCTGTTCCGTTTATTCTTCGGTCATACACGAATAATGGATTCTTTGCCTGGGGGTTACCCCAAGACCTCGCACAAACGAAAGGAGCAATTTATATGTTTGTTTTAATGTTTTGGGGGCTGCATGAGTGAATCAATGCCGTATCACAGTCAGCTGAAATAAATTATACAGCTGCCTTGGTTTTCGGAAGCTTAAGAAACATTAGTAGCGTTCTCGTTAAAACGTTAAAACGTTAAATGCTAGAGACTAACCAGTCACTATTTCCCAACGAAACGGGTACATTGGGCGTAAAGGGCAAAAAAGCGGTGAAAATTATATGAATGGATCACTGAAAATCACTGGTGATACCATGTGTTCGCGAAATAAATTATTAACATCAAATAAACCAGTTATCGACAGTATGAACAAGATCCCCCTGGTACGCGATGAGACCATCAACCACGTCACAGTTAAATCGATGGCGGACACCAACGTCAGAAGCCCTTGTGACGGCCCGATCCCTATTTTGGTCCAGTAGTACCACATTTTTAGGAATATGAGGACTTATTCCGTGGGTTCTAATGTTTACATATTATATACGTGGTGATGGGTGATTTAGTATACTTTAGAAACAGGAGAATATGAAGACCTCAGGTCACATGGTACAAGGAATGTGTGACTCACCAATCCAACGGCAGTGCGGGTAGGTGTCGGTGGTGGAGTCGCTATTCGTACTGATGAGGGTGTGGTCGGGGCTGGGGCTGGTAGAACCCGTCTAGGTGTGGTCACCCATGGGGTGGTTACACGGACTTGTGGTCTGGTAGTTGTCGTCGTCGTCGTCGTCGTTGTGGTAGTCGTCGTACGAGGTGTAGTTGTAGTTGTAGTCGTGGTGGTGGTTGTCGTAGTGCTGGACGTTGTGCTGGTCTGGGGGAGATCCTCGGGACAGGGCGTGATGTAAGGGGTTACCAGCTGGCTTGGGTTGATGTTGAGAGGGATGCCAGCCATGTTGTCGGTGACGACGGCGGAGTTGACGCCAACCCAGAAGGTGCTGAATCGCTGTACGAACGTCGCGCTGTGAACGAAGTTGCACATACATGTCAATGTTTTTTATGTCAAAATGCCGCTGTTAAACCGCTGTGTCTGTTAGTATTATTTAAGGGTGGTATTAAATTTGTTAAAGCGAGTGTACGTAAGTGAGTATAGGCGTTTGCAACCTTTCAGCAATTCTGAAGGTGTACGGCGAGAGTATATACGACAATGGGGTTTACAAGATGGCGCCATAATGGTAACCCAACCAAGAACTCTAAGACACCAAATTACTACCCATGTGACTTCGTTTTATCTGTTGTTTAACATGGCACTCAGCAATAGTCCAGGGTCCCTGGCTCTTAGCTCTACGACTATCTACGACTTGATGATCAGTAAATACGTTGAGGGTATTTCTTCAATAAAATAATATAGATACCCTTCACTTTGTATCCGAAACATTTCATACATTCTTTGAGGAACTATTTGGAATGTTTAGTAATACATGAAGTGCGTTTGATGCGCTGCGTGTAATGCGGTGGGGATCCTGCTTACGTGATGACTATGTGTCCAATGGGCTGGGCCGGTGATGTCCAGTTGAAGAGGAGGGAGGACTTGTCGTCGTTGGTGATGTGGGTCAGACCCGCTTCCTGCAAGAGATGACAAACATTGGTGAACCAGCCGGAGATCAAGACAGCATTAAAAGAAAGAAATTTGACACAATTCTCAACTGACTTTGAGTATCCTTCTTTGTCACGCTCACACCTTCCCTCCCATACTGCCCCTATCACACCTACCCTCCCCTCCTGCCCTACTACACCCACCCTCCCATACTGCGTCTGTAACGCCCACATCTTCCCCACCATACTGCTTCTGTAGCGCCCACGCTGCCCCTATCACACCTACCCTTCCCTCCTACCCTACCGCACCTACCCTCATACACTCACTGCCCCTACCGCACCTACCCTCATACACACACGGTCCCTGCCACACCTATCCTCATACACACACTGCCCCTACCACACCTATCCTCATACACACACTGCCCCTACCACACCTACCCTCATACACACACTGCCCCTACCACACCTACCCTCATACACACACTGCCCCTACCACACCTACCCTCATACACTCACTGCCCCTACCACACCTACCCTCATACACACACTGCCCCAACCACACCTACCCTCATACACACACTGCCCCTACCACGCCTACCTTCATACACACACTGCCCCTACCACACCTACCCTCATACACACACTGCCCCTACCACACCTACCCTTCCCTCCTACCGTACCAAGCCTACCCTCATACATACACTGCCCCTACCACACCTACCCTCATACACACACTGCCCCTATCACACCTCCCTCATACACACACTGCCCCTACCACGCCTACCCTCATACACACACTGCCCCTACCACGCCTACCCTCATACACACACTGCCCCTACCACACCTACCCTCATACACACACTGCCCCTACCACGCCTACCCTCATACACACACTGCCCCTACCACGCCTACACTCAAACACACACTGCCCCTACCACGCCTACCCTCATACACACACTGCCCCTACCACACCTACCCTCATACACACACTGCCCCTACCACGCCTACCCTCATACACACACTGCCCCTACCACGCCTACACTCATACACACACTGCCCCTACCAAGCCTACCCGCATACACACACTGCCCCTACCACACCTACCCTCATACATACACTGCCCCTACCACACCTACCCTCATACACACACTGCCCCTACCGCACCTACACTCATACACACACTGCCCCTACCGCACCTACCCTCATACACACACTGCCCCTACCGCACCTACCCTCATACACACACTGCCCCTACCACACCTACACTCATACACACACTGCCCCTACCGCACGTACACTCATACACACACTGCCCCTACCGCACCTACACTCATACACACACTGCCCCTACCGCACCTACCCTCATACACACACTGCCCCTACCGCACCTACACTCATACACACACTGCCCCTACCGCACCTACCCTCATACACACACTGCCCCTACCGCACCTACCCTCATACACACACTGCCCCTACCGCACCTACCCTCATACACACACTGCCCCTACCGCACCTACCCTCATACACACACTGCCCCTACCACACCTACCCTCATACACACACTGCCCCTACCACGCCTACCCTCATACACACACTGACCCTTCTACACCTACCCTCATACACACACTGCCCCTACCACGCCTACCTTCATACACACACTGCACCTACCACACCTACCCTCATACACACACTGCCCCTACCACACCTACCCTTCCCTCCTACCGTACCAAGCCTACCCTCATACATACACTGCCCCTACCACACCTACCCTCATACACACACTGCCCCTATCACACCTCCCTCATACACACACTGCCCCTACCACACCTACCCTCATACACACACTGCCCCTACCACACCTACCCTCATACACACACTGCCCCTACCACGCCTACCCTCATACACACACTGCCCCTACCACGCCTACACTCAAACACACACTGCCCCTACCACGCCTACCCTCATACACACACTGCCCCTACCACACCTACCCTCATACACACACTGCCCCTACCACGCCTACCCTCATACACACACTGCCCCTACCACGCCTACACTCATACACACACTGCCCCTACCAAGCCTACCCGAATACACACACTGCCCCTACCACACCTACCCTCGTACATACACTGCCCCTACCACACCTACCCTCATACACACACTGCCCCTACCGCACCTACACTCATACACACACTGCCCCTACCGCACCTACCCTCATACACACACTGCCCCTACCGCACCTACCCTCATACACACACTGCCCCTACCGCACCTACACTCATACACACACTGCCCCTACCGCACCTACCCTCATACACACACTGCCCCTACCGCACCTACACTCATACACACACTGCCCCTACCGCACGTACACTCATACACACACTGCCCCTACCGCACCTACACTCATACACACACTGCCCCTACCGCACCTACCCTCATACACACACTGCCCCTACCGCACCTACACTCATACACACACTGCCCCTACCGCACCTACCCTCATACACACACTGCCCCTACCGCACCTACCCTCATACACACACTGCCCCTATCACACCTACCCTCATACACATACTGCCCCTACCGCACCTACACTCATACACACACACTGCCCCTACCGCTCCTACCCTCATACACACACTGCCCCTACCACACCTACCCTCATACACACACTGCCCCTACCACACCTATCCTCATACACACACTGCCCCTACCACCCCTACCCTCATACACACACTGCCCCTATCACACCTACCCTCATACACACACTGCCCCTACCGCACCTACACTCATACACACACTGCCCCTACCGCTCCTACCCCCATACACACACTGCCCCTACCACACCTACCCTCATACACACACTGCCCCTACCACACCTATCCTCATACACACACTGCCCCTACCACACCTACCCTCATACACACACTGCCCCTACCACACCTATCCTCATACACACACTGACCCTTCTACACCTACCCTCATACACACACTGCCCCTACCACACCTACCCTCATACACACACTGCCCCTACCACGCCTACCCTCATACACACACTGACCCTTCTACACCTACCCTCATACACACACTGCCCCTACCACGCCTACCCTCATACACATACTGCCCCTATCACACCTACCTTCATACACACACTGCCCCTACCACGCCTACCCTCATACACACACTGCCCCTACCACACCTTCCCTCATACACACACTGCCCCTACCACGCCTACACTCATACACACACTGCCCCTACCACACCTACCCTCATACATACATTGCCCCTACCACACCTACGGTCACACACACACTGCCCCTACCACACCTACCCTCATACACACACTGCCCCTACCACACCTACCCTCATACACTCACTGCCCCTACCACAACAACCCTCATACACACACTGCCCCTACCACACCTACCCTCATACATACACTGCCCCTACCACACCTACGCTCACACACACACACTGCCCCTACCACACCTACCCTCATACACACACTGCCCCTACCACACCTACCCTCATACACTCACTGCCCCTACCACAACAACCCTCATACACACACTGCCCCTACCACACCTACCCTCATACACACACTGCACCTACCACACCTACCCTCATACACACACTGCCCCTACCACACCTACCCTCACACACACTGAGCCTTCTACACCTACCCTCCCACACTCGTATCTGGATCCTTGCACAGCTGTAAAGGTGCCGACAAGCTCCGTCTGGTTGAAGCGTGGGTCAGCCCGCCTGGCTTCTACCAGGAACCCGCGGAATGTGTTCTTACAGAGTCCTCGCAGCATCACTGAAATACACCAGAACCATTCACGTCGACATTGGCATCATGCATCATGGAATAGACGTCATTGACTCAAGTTAGTGAGCGGAATATATTTGTTGACAAGTGTAATTAGCTCAGGTGACATTTATGAAGCCTGTATGCTGCTCCAGCAACTTGATGATAGATAATGAGAGGAAATGATTTCTGATAGACACAAGGCACCTAAAACCACAAGTATTCCACGACTGTACCGTCACCTGCATGTTCAAAAACTTACAGTTTTAACGCCAAACAGTATTACGGTTATATCACGACTCGTTAGCTTGTTATTGAAAGAAAAGTGGTGCAGGTCTTAGATATTTACAATTTTGTCAAAACAAGTTTAAGCAAAGCAAATGACAGGGTCGTGGCACGCCAAGGGGAGGTAACTCTGCATGGCCGATTCCATAGATGGCTTGGCCATCCGTTCCCCTTCTGGTTAGGCGTCATTTCATACCGAGAATGGCTACTTTATAACTTACCCATGATGCTTTCATTCGGGCCGAAATTGTCCTTTGAGACAAGTATTACGAAAGGCGACCTCTCTGAACTTCTCTGACTGAGTCCATGACGCGGAGTCATACCAGTACATGCGTCAATCGGTGCTCCTCCACTGTATCCTTCCGCAGTGTTCAGGTGGAACACCACACCCAGTAGACAAACAAGACATGCTAGTCGGATCTGATTGAACATAAAATGATTTTGGTTGTACAAAGGGTTAAGGCTTGTAACCTACCATTCATGTAACGAAATTGCACAAATGCTAGTTTGTAGCCTGAAAAGTGACATTTCTTTAAGAATTTTCATTCGGAAGGGAGATAGTAGGATTTTAATATTATTATTATTTTCATTTTGAAAAGTTTTTGAACATATGTAGCGATGATTCTCATGTTAAGAATAATTATCATTTACGCGAACGCCTGGTGTTATCACTTATTTCCAATGATCAGCTCATACAATTTCTTAAATGAGTACAATGTGTGAAGCCCATTTCGTGATATTGCTGGAATATTGCTAAAAGCGGAGTAAAACCCAACTCATATAATTTTCACCATTATTTAGCATTTTATGCCCATTGGAATCGTTTTCGGTGGAAAAGCGTGTACAGTAAAAATTAAGAGCAGAATTAATATCAGGATAATTTTTGTCATGTCATGGCATACTATAAAAATTATTACAATGAATTCCCAAAAGCCAATATGTGAAATTTAACAAATGTTATATTTGGTATAACTCTTTCTCAGTAAATTAAAAAATTCTAGTACTTATTGGGGTTGAGTACCATCAAAGGATTCGTACCCACACTCTCAGAATGAGGCATCCAATCGCCAACACACAAACTCAGCGATCTGACCCACTCAGCCACCGAGGCTTCCACAACAATGAAAGTTCAACAACTGGCAGTCTAAATCACGTACTTTGTGTACCCCGGCCACAAGTGTAAATTGGCAGGTTCCCATGGCCGAAAGCTATTAATACACAAAGAGGGATTCGAACCCACACTCTCAGAGTGATGCACCCGATCGTGGAAACCTCGGTGGCTGAGTGGGTTAGATCGCTGACTTTGTGTTCTGGCGATTAGGCTGAGAGCGTGGGTTCGAACCCCTGATGGGACTCAATCCCAAAACGTACTAGAATGTGTACTTGACAAAGAAAGTGTTATCCCAAATATAACATTTGTTACATTTGACCACTTTCTAAATGGCATTGTGTATTCATGTGAGATTTTGTTAAATATAAATACCATTGCCCCACACTAACTTATGAAATTACTGATTATGCATTTTTGTAAATGATGTCAAAATAGCAATATAAATTAGTAGAGAGTATTTATAGAAATCCGTAAGTAATATTCTGCTAAATTCCAATATAGCGCACTTTCCCTGAACAGCTGGACATGGATATGCCAACTGATCACAAACAGCTTCTGCTGTCGTCTGCCTGGCTGGGCTGACATGACGGATCACATCCGCCTTGCCTCGGGTGACGTCCGGGAAAGCAAGGAGAGGTAGCAGATACCTTGTGTTAAGGCTATACAGGGAAGTTTTGTGACGACTAGTTTCTTTTAATTGAACTTCACGGTTTTCCTGTGCTCAAACAACGATTAAATGGTATGCTATTAAAATACACCCCTTGCTGTTACGAATTGTGTTTCTCCTTGCTGAATGATCTAAACCCGTGTCCCCAGCAACCTATGCTTGTCTTATGTGGCGAATGAGTGGATTGGGTGGCTGGACTCGGTGACTTGGTTGATTGCATGTCATCGTATCCCAATCGTTTGGATCGATGTTCCTGGTGTCAATCACTGGGTTGTCTGGTCTAGATTCGATTATTTTCTGACCGCCGCCATACGGCTGGAATATTGCTGAGTGCGGCGCCATAGAAACAAACTAACCGAAAAATATACTTCATGGCGTTAAAAGATATTAGGTGTTTATTAATGATGGTTTTAGCATATTGAGTGATTGGGGCTTAACGCCGGTTTGAACCCTATTTAAGTTCTATCAAGGTGTATCAGCTGATGTATGGCCTTTATTGTGTCTCAGCCAATATGTGTCGATAAATTTATGTGTCAACTAATGTGCCCAAGTGATGTAATAAACGTTTGCCAACTTTGGCGAAATACACGAGCAGAGAAACGGTTCTCATAGACAAAGGAATATAATCGGGGAGATTCTGGGATTTGAACCTGCGATCATATCTAAAGGAGGCAAGTCTGCACATGTAGTTGTTCCACCTTAAACCACTGAGTTAGTCCTGTTCTATGCTATCTCTGGTGTATGTTCATTGACGGTGCCTTATACATGTGTTCAAACATAGAAAATGTCCCTTAATTACTCGTGTCTGGAAAACAATGTAGTCATTTCCGCCAATTCCAGTAGTTCATTGGGAGCAGTCTTAACTAATTCTAAATTCATCCTCCTTCGTCATAATCTAATGGGTTATGTAAAAATGACAGAAACTTCGATCACAAATTGTAATATAATAATCATAAACTAGTGAGACATGCCGTCATATTTATGTGAGTACTGCATCACCCAGTTATTTTAATGACCGACGGTTTATATACACGATATCAAATGACGCATTAAACATCAAACTACACAGTGAATTACTACAGGTTTAGTATGAATACAATAACATAGTATGGATATTTTTACAAAATACGTATATTTTTTTAATTCAAAATGGCGGACATTGCAGTTTACCAAAGTCGGACATAAAGGACTTACTTCTACGGCCCATGTTTTTATATATCGAGAGTTGCCTGAATTGCAACGATCACACAACACAACACACTATACGTGGATATGTTTCAGTAGACTTTCAAAGTAGGTTTCAAAGCACGCCTTGGTCACGTTCTGTGCCAGATTCTTGAGAAACGTTCCGTATGGTCAGGATGAATCGCAAGAAATTACTGTCCGTTTGTACATGGAGACAGTCAGTCATCAGAAATACTTTTATAAATTATAAAGAAGTGATATCACGAAACTAGATGCTAAAGTATTCACGAAGCTAAAAATTATTCAGACAAATATAAAGATTGGGATATTATGAAATACAAAAAGCAACTGAATTCGAACTGAAGTGAAAAAGTATCACATTATCCTAAGCGGTAATTCTAAATGTATTATTTCTGCCCCTTTCAGAAGCAACTAGCCCGCGCTCATGAAATTTCGTTGACAAAGATACGTATCTGTTGACTGACAGAAAAAACGACTTAGGGATCCCACTATCAATATTGAGAAAATAGGAAAATAAGCACAGCATAAGCTTACCTTTTCCCTGCTGACCATCGTGGTAATTGTCCAGTCGTAAACACAATGAAATTATAATCGGATGGACATATTGCAAAACTTCACCCTGTGTGGTCACGTGGTATGGGGTATGTAATACAGATCACGTGACGTATCGATACTGTGATTGATGATGTTCCGGGTTTACCAGACCCATCTACATTCACAAGAAATGACGTCATACAGGTAAAGTGCCCGGATTATCTACCTGGGCGTGACTACGACCCGTGTTAATGATAAGTACTTAACGATTTACTTGTAATCACAGGTAATGCTGTCCCAAGGTGTTAATTTGATTACACATAAAACCGACTTCCTACCTGTCTTCTCTGTAGGTAATTGTTTTACCTGTGATAGATAACGCCGTAGGGAGTGCATCAATCTACCTGAGCAGCAGATCTACTGCCACCAACCTGTGAAAAATAGCTATCATTAGGATTTGAGACTAAGCCTTTGAGAAGGCCGCCACATTTCCCCACCCGTTATGTTTTGCTTTTTCTTTCCCTCGTGAATATGCACGCAGAATGTATGGTGTCGTAATATTGTTTTAGTTGGATATCCTCATGCTCAGTTTCAATCATCATTACATTTGTACAAAGTACATTTAAATTTTTGTTTGTTTGTTTGGTTTGTATTTTGTATTATACCAACCCGTTTGTTCGTAAAAGAATACTAAGGTACAAGTCATTGAGTGAGTGTGTGGGGTTTTCCGCCGCTTTTTGCAGCATCCCAGCAATATCACGGAGAGGTGACACCAGACTAAGGCGAGTCAGTCAGTCAGTCAGTGAGTATGGTTTTAGCAATCAATTATACCCCAGCAATATCCAAGCTGGGAGACACCAGACTGAAGCACAGCTTTTATTGTAAACGTTTGGGTGACATTTCCAAATTCGACGCATCAGTGACAAGCAAAAAGATGTCCGATGCAATTCTCTAATTTTACTTGTACCACACGAGCCCGTGTTTTTCAGGTGAATAATTGACTTGCCTTTGCCCGTGTTTGTGACGGGTGCTTCGGGTGGGGAATATGCTCACCTAAACGCGAACACCTGATATCATCACTGTTTGATAGTGTTTTATAAACACATGCTGATAATATAGTCGGAACCATACGCCGGACTCTCCTTTAGGAGAGATTTCTTATGATTATGAAATAATTTTGTGCCTTTTTATTCATAGAACATTTGGCTAGGATGTGGTAATTTGTCTATTAATTAAATCAATTTAAATAAATGTAATTAAATAAACGTAAACGTAAATATGGTAATACAATACATTCAGCTTAGTGGCTTTATGTTTGTTTTTGCTATTCCCAGAATACAAATGTGGCTTCTGAATAGTCATCACACGCATTTCATCAAAACATATTGTCACGTGGAATGTGTATGACAAGAGATGCAGATATAACTTTTCCACATGCTGCAGTTGTGTAGTGATTCCTGACTTTGACTAATGTAATAGTAAGGGCCTGGGGCCATGAACTGATCTCAGGGTGTGGGGATATCGGTTAGTGTAACACAGCATAACGTGCCCCTGGGATAAGGCGGCAGGTAATTACCCAAAGGAAAAGTCAATTAGTTATTCATACGTTTGATATTGAAAGCAGTCGTACATTTCCGAAAGGTAATATACCATCTCCCATTTGTCACACCTTAAAACTTCATAGGACGGGGTTGATTGTACGGCAAATTCCAAACCTCTCACCTGACTGTTTGAATAGAGTGTTTCAGCATATATATATATATATATATATATATATATATATATATATATATATATCTCTCGTAGTATTTTATGTAACTTGTAGTATTTCATATAATTTATTTGCTTGTTTGTTTGTTTGTTGTTTAACGCCGCACTCATCAATATTACAGCCATATGACAGCGGTCTGTAAGTAATCAAATCTGGATCAGACAATCCAGTGATTGACATCATGGGCATTCGCGCTATCTTCGGATCTTCATGGGTTCATATACTTTGTCCTTAATGTAACTTGGAAGTATTTCATAGGTTGCCCTTCCTGTAATTTGTAGTGCTTCCTGTAACTTGTAGTGCTTCCTGTAACAGACAGTGCTTTTGTTAAGTTACATGTTCTTCATGTAATTTAATGTGTTTCACGTAACTTGTAATGCTTCATGTACCTGGCTGTGCTCAATTAGACTTCTAGTGCTCTGTGTAACTTCATGTGCTTCCTGTAACTTGAAGTGCTTTGTGTAACTTGTGGTGCTTCATGTAACTTAATGCGTTTTCCCATAACATAATGTGTTTCCCTGTAACTTGTGCTTCATGTAACTTGTTATGCTTCATGTAACTTGTTCATCATATAACTTCTAGTGCTTCATGTTACTTGTAGTGCTTCATGTTACTTGTAGTGCATCATGTTACTTGTAGTGTTTCATGTTACTTGTAGTGCTTCATGTTACTTGTAGTGCTTCATGTTACTTGTAGTGCTTCATGTTACTTGTGGTGCATCATGTTACTTGTAGTGTTTCATGTTACTTGTAGTGCATCATGTTACTTGTAGTGTTTCATGTTAATTCTAGTGCTTCATGTTACGTGTAGTGCTTCAATTAATTTGTCTTTCTTGTTACTTGTAGTGCATCTTGTAACTTCTGCTGTTCCTGTAATTTCCAGTAATTTTGACTTTTATTGTTTAGTATAACTTGTAGAGCCAACTGCTTCACGCTGCTTCTTGTGAGTATCACACTTTATCCTTAAGATTAAAGAGGAAATCACTGAAGCACTTTTAAAGGCAATTTATTTATTTATATTTTACAGTTCCTTTTTAAACATAAAAAAATACATATCTTATGATAAAAGTTTAAATTTCTACCCAATCTTTTCTCCATTTCTGTGTTTCTTAAATAGGAATAAAAGCAACATTCTCAGTGTTCTTGATTCAAGATGCAGATAAAAAACACGAATCTCCGATGGTGTTTGAAAATGTAATGTCACCAGGACCAAGGCTGTGGTTGACCTATAGGAAGAGTCAAGAGAACATGACCTAAATAATGCATTAACCATTGTAAGCAATAACAAAACATTAACCCTTCATATGCTGAACACTGGCAAATATATCAAATAACATGTTCCTCAGATAAAGGAATAATAATGGTCAAGTTTAAAACATTATAAATCATGATGGAACATTCATAGAATAATAACTTGTAAATTGAATATGAACCTTTAGGACCATGGGAAACAGCACCTAAACCTAAAGAGGTGACAAAGATTTGACCAATGTGAACACATAGAATATAAAACATGTATTTGATTCTCTTCTTGCAAATTATACAATACAGAGGTGACAACATAGAAAACAGGCACTTACTTATGTACATGGCATTATACATGGCAATATCCATGTGTATTCAATATTGGACAAGTGGATAAAAGGAATGTATCTCACATAAAACATATGCAATATATTGCATGTGGAGAAGATTATGCAATTTCCTATGCAAACCCAAATTTAGGCCAGAACATAATAATATAAGGCATAACATAATTTGTTTTACAATAACAGAGTTCACCTGAATTATTCTGGAATATTATATATTATATAAGGGTAAAGAAGAATCAAAGAAATAACAGGATTTTCTACTCAACAGGCATCTTTAAAACTAAACACCTAATTTAATTAATTCTGATTTTTCACTGGTGAAAAGTCTACATCAGGCACCTCTCCCCTAAAATTAATGTGTCTGGCTTGAAAATGATATGTCATCAGTGGCTCCTCTTGGTGTTTATAAACACCATTCATACATGGCAAACAGACATCTGCACAAACACATACGGACACAGTGGATGTTATCCGAAGGGACAAACTGTACAGACATTATGCTCTTGGAGTAGCATGACATGGATGGATTTCTACACAAAACATAAGCTGTCTGATTTCAAGACAAACTGACCTAATACACCCTCAGCAGTTAATATTTGACACATGGCTATGCCATTTGACATATTTCACAGAACTCTTTTAAATAACTGTAATATTTACCAGGATAGAAAAGAACATATTATTTGTAAGAAAACAGACATGCTATTCAGTATCTTATAAGCATGGCGACCATGATATGTCTGAACTGTCTTTGAGGCTGGATCCCGGTGCTGTCTAGGAGATGACGATGAGGACGATGATGGCGGTGGAGATGGCAGTGATGACAGCGATGTGGAGGAGGAGTAGACCCTGTCGGAGACAGGAACCCTGTAGGAAGACAAGACACTACATGGTCAACTGGAGGACTATTGGGGAACAATCTCATTAAAGTCAGCTTTTAGTTCTTGCTATCGCTAAACAAAGATCTGAGGACATCCCATTACGGGTCATGTCAGAATAACCTTTCATCCGACCAATCAAAACATCGCTTACTAGATCATGAAAGTGACTGTCGGAATGTGATTTCTAATCATACAACCTCGAAAACGTTAACACAGGGTATTCCGAATGATAGTTACGGCCCCTACAACTGAATCCATCAAAATTATTGTCTATCTCTCGCTTCCGTGGGATAAACATTTGAAGGTGCTGCACAGTACTTGGAAAGCACTGCCATATAATCGCAACCATATATTAGACATTATGGAATGTTCGTTTGTTCAGTTTTCAAAATTTTATTCGAGAACTGTGTCAACATATTTTTCAAGCGTAATCTGAAATGGAAGTTGCCAGGTTGAAACAAGTGCCGTGAAGCTCGAGAAAGCTGCTTTCTAGTTGGCTGATGTCTACTTCTTGTTAGTCGTTTCAGTGGTCGGTTGTACTGACGTGACCCGCAATGGGATGTCCTCAGATCTTTATTTAGCGGCAGCGAGAACTTAGATCTGATTTTAATGAGATTGATTGGGGAACAGCAAGAAACACAGTAGAGACAAGTTGACAGAGCTGTTCAACTTCTTTATTCTTTCAATATGGTGTTTTGCATCTTCCCAAGGCAAGAGCGTCCACTAGCCTTTTTATCAAAGTCTTGTTTACACCCTTGCCGCATCAAGTCCACTTTCCTGTGCTAAATATGATTGGACTATTGCACATATTGCTAGTCCAATCAGAGAACGTTCACAAAATCAACATACACAACTGGTATACCTTTGTATGATTTACCGCTGCCCGTCTTTGTTGACATGAATATATCTTTTCATCTTTTAAACAACCCCACGATTTCCTATGTTTTTGTGTTAAGGATGCAAACGCGAATGATTTCGTTATCTGATCGACTTGGTCATTGACTGTGGTTGTTGTCATCTTTGTAAAGCAATACAAGATAAGAACAGCGATCTGATTGAATATCACGTTTTCATTACAAGGGGCACAACTCGTGATCTACGCAAGGTGGTGCCTCCGTCAAGCCAAGAAAAGTGGCCTTGATGTGGCAAGGTTAGAAACTAGGCTTTGATATAGGCTAGTGGACATGCTTGCCTCGGGAAGATATATGTTTCGGTACAGGTGCCAGTTCTGCTATTACTTGCTCATCAATGTACTAGCCCCTGTACCTGTCAACTCTGTCTTCACTGGTACAACAGCTTCTGAATTGCCACTAAAGATAATACTCAGAAAGCAGTGCTTCCAAATGTGATCCCATGTAGTGTAAATGTAACCTGATTACAAGTTGTAATTACTGCACACATCTAGTACTGCGTACATCACCATTGTGGTCTAATAGATGGAGTGTCTGCCTGGAGAGCAGAACGTCAGTCGTTTGATCCACAGCCGCATCATACCAAAAGACATTAAAGAGGGTATATGTTGTTGCCCTGCCTGGTGCTCGGGATTATGGGATAAAACAAGGATTGGTCGACTTGAGTTAGTTTACTGTGTCTGAGTGGGATATCAATGACAAACTGTGGCATGGTATCTCAGACTATTAGAACTATAAAACCAGTATTGGTCCGCACTACTATAAGCAGCTGCAAATGCGCTCACGCATGCATGCACACATCACCATATAAGTGCAATAACCTTGCTTGTGAAGTACACCCCATTTCACCTCACCTCGCCAGTATTGTGTAAGATTCTGAGTATGTACCTGTTGTTTTGCTGGCTGAGCCTGTTGCTGGACCGGCATTCCCTTCTGCGCAAGCTCGTAATTTTCACTGCGATCTGGAACATAACACCACAGTTAAGTCAACAGCGCAAAATTGCCTGTCAGATCTGAGTGCACACATCCTGTATACATGATATTTATGTGTTATAATAAATAAGGCCATTTATATTGTGCTATTTTATTTTATTGTACTCAAAGTGCTACAATACTTCTACCCCAGGCAAAGGATCAGTATGCACTTGATTTTCATTCTAAGCTCCCTGGTGAGTATACAACCCAAGCTGCCTGTGAGGCGCTAGTAGGCTAAAAGTCTCATTGCTTTCTCATCTGCGACCAGCGTCTGCCTTTGAATTGTGATCTGTCCGCTGTGCACAGGACCACATGCCACCTCAGACGTAAGTGTTATACACTGAAGAGAACATGCTGGTAATCTGACTGACCTTTTGACTCCGACTGACACTTGAAGCAGACGAGGAGGAACTCAATGAGGACCTGCCACACAACATAGCCCACCAGGATCCACGTCACATAGCTGGGGACTGCGGGTTTGCCAAGGTTTACACCCAGGAAAACTGTCACCACTGAAGAAAAGAAACAAAATTGCTTTATGCCAAGACCCCAATATTTTGTTGAATTGCTATCACCACTCCACCACCAACAGTCAGGGCCATAATACATATGGCTTCAATGTATTATTTGATTTCTGAGTGAAAGGTTTGGACGAATATGTTATATTCTTCATGGCAGACATTTGAGTGAGTGAGTTTGATTTGATGCCGCTTTAAGCAACATTCCAGCAATATCACATCAAGGAACACCAGAAATGGGCTTCGCACATTGTACCCATATGGGTGATTGACAAAAGGTCTTCAGAGTGACGAGCGAACACTTTAACCACTAGGCTACCCAACCGCCCGGCAGACATTTGAAAATAATTTGAAACGTAAATAATGATAACAAAAATACAGTATTGAATCTAAGGCGAATAAAAATGGGCCATGTTTAAAATTGGATTTAAATTCTGTGAGCAGTTTTTACAGAAACCATAGCTGGGATCTGGGATAGGACTTGTAGTTTCAGATTAGACGTCGGTTAATGACAGACAGATAGACAACCAGACAGATACCAAGACAACGACATAAGTTTCTTTGACTGTCAGTCAGGTAAGCTAAGAATGATAACTGATGATACTGACCTGCAAGAACATGAGCAGCTGTTCCCACACCGAAGTGGGCCCAGTTGAAGATTGGTCGGTTGGCATCATTTGGGTGGGGTCGGAACAGAGCCATGATTGGCTGGAAAGTACAATGTTATACCTTGACTGACATGTACACTAACTGCATGAAATTTATAATTATGCCTCAAAGTGAGATTGACCAATCAAAGAACAGAACTACTCACGTCATATGAGGCTGTATACCATCAGTGAAAATATTTTACTCGCCCAATATTTTGCTGCTGACCTAATATGACACAGTATACGGCAACTTAAGACACCATAACAAACTAATTAAGCCTAAAAGTTCACTATTATTATTATTTCACTATTACATCACATATTTTTACTTCTTTGTTCACATTAGTTTCATGAGAAAACGGTTGGTTGACGTAATGTTGGAAAATTGAATAGAAGAAGACAGACATACAACTTGTTCAGACAAGAGGCAGACATATAGACATATATCGGACAGAAGACAGACAGATGTCAGACAGGAAACAGACACATAGACAGATATCTTACAGATGTCAGACAGGAGACAGACACATAGACAGATATCTTACAGATGTCAGACAGGAGACAGACACATAGACAGATATCTTACAGATGTCAGAAAGGAGACAGACAGATGTCAGACAGGAAACAGACAGATGTCAGACAGGAAACAGACACATAGACAGATATCTTACAGATGTCAGACAGGAGACAGACACATAGACAGATATCTTACAGATGTCAGACAGGAAACAGACACATAGACAGATATCTTACAGATGTCAGACAGGAGACAGACACATAGACAGATATCTTACAGATGTCAGACAGGAAACAGACACATAGACAGATATCTTACAGATGTCAGACAGGAAACAGACACATAGACAGATATCTTACAGATGTCAGACAGGAAACAGACACATAGACAGATATCTTACAGATGTCAGACAGGAAACAGACAGATGTCAGACAGGAGACAGACAGATGTCAGACAGGAAACAGACACATAGACAGATATCTTACAGATGTCAGACAGGAAACAGACACATAGACAGATATCTTACAGATGTCAGACAGGAAACAGACACATAGACAGATATCTTACAGATGTCAGACAGGAAACAGACACATAGACAGATATCTTACAGATGTCAGACAGGAGACAGACACGTAGACAGATATCTTACAGATGTCAGACAGGAAACAGACACATAGACAGATATCTTACAGATGTCAGACAGGAAACAGACACATAGACAGATATCTTACAGATGTCAGACAGGAAACAGACACATAGACAGATATCTTACAGATGTCAGACAGGAGACAGACACGTAGACAGATATCTTACAGATGTCAGACAGGAGACAGACACATAGACAGATATCCTACAGATGTCAGACAGGAGACAGACACATAGACAGATATCTTACAGATGACAGACACATAGACAGATATCTTACAGATGTCAGACAGGAGACAGACACATAGACAGATATCTTACAGATGTCAGACAGGAGACAGACACATAGACAGATATCTTACAGATATCAGACAGGAAACAGACACATAGACAGATATCTTACAGATGTCAGACAGGAGACAGACACATAGACAGATATCTTACAGATGTCAGACAGGAGACAGACACATAGACAGATATCTTACAGATGTCAGACAGGAGACAGACACATAGACAGATATCTTACAGATGTCAGACAGGAGACAGACACATAGACAGATATCTTACAGATGTCAGACAGAAAACAGACACATAGACAGATATCTTACAGATGTCAGACAGGAGACAGACACATAGACAGATATCTTACAGATGTCAGACAGGAGACAGACACATAGACAGATATCTTACAGATGTCAGACAGGAAACAGACACATAGACAGATATCTTACAGATGTCAGACAGGAGACAGACACATAGACAGATATCTTACAGATGTCAGACAGGAGACAGACACGTAGACAGATATCTTACAGATGTCAGACAGGAGACAGACACATAGACAGATATCTTACAGATGTCAGACAGGAAACAGACACATAGACAGATATCTTACAGATGTCAGACAGGAGACAGACACATAGACAGATATCTTACAGATGTCAGACAGGAGACAGACACGTAGACAGATATCTTACAGATGTCAGACAGGAAACAGACACATAGACAGATATCTTACAGATGTCAGACAGGAGACAGATGTAGATAGTGCAGCATCATACAGAAGCATGGTAAGTGGTGGACTTACATTCAGCACTGCCAGAACTGTGACAATGACACCAAGAATCGGGTGAGCTTTCTTTGAAGCCTCTTCTCCGAGCTGGAAGAAACCAAACACAAGTTTAATGGTACTATCATGACTATTGGTGATTCGTTACTAAAGCTGCTATGTTGCTACTGGTGTTATGTTGATCATAAAACCATGTTACTTTTGATGTCATGTTACTATTGGTGTTGTATTACTATAGGTGTTGTATTACTATTAATATTATGTTACTATTGGTGTTGTATTACTATTGGTGTTGTGTGTTCCTATTGGTGTGTATTACTATTGGTGTTGTATTACTATCTGTGTTGTGTTACTATTGGTGTTGTATTACTATTAATGTTATGTTACTATTGGTGTTGTATAACTATTGGTGTTGTGTTACTATTGGTGTTGTATTACTATTAATGTTATGTTACTATTGGTGTTGTATTACTATCGGTGTTGTGTGTTCCTATTGGTTCGTATTACTATGGTGTTGTATTACTATTAATGTTATGTTACTATTGGTGTTGTATAACTATTGGTGTTGTGTTACTATTGGTGTTGTATTACTATTAATGTTATGTTACTATTGGTGTTGTATAACTATTGGTGTTGTGTTACTATTGGTGTTGTATTACTATTAATGTTATGTTACTATTGGTGTTGTATTACTATCGGTGTTGTGTGTTCCTATTGGTTCGTATTACTATGGTGTTGTATTACTATTAATGTTATGTTACTATTGCTGTTGTATTACTATTGGTGTTATGTTACTATTGGTGTTGTATTACTGTTAATGTTGTGTTACTATTGGTGTTGTATTACTACTAAAGTTGTGTTACTATTGTCTAACACATTCATGGTCACAAATCTTGTACCATTTGCTCAAACTTGAATAAAAGCTGCATAGCTTCTTTAACATCACTTGTGTAATACCATAGGTGCAATGTCAGCTAAATGATAAAGATTCTGTTCAAACAACCTATTTGTACAATCTCTAGAAGGCAGTGTTGAAGAATGGCATCTGTAGCACTCACCTCACTCCAGCCCTTCACTTCCACAAAGATGAGGATGAATGCAGTGACGGCAGCCAAGACCACAAGCACCATGAAGCTACGATGAAGCTGGATCGATACACACGACAATAAGAATTCAAAACATCAAAGCAGTCAGGATTCAAACTCACATCTCCATTACCTGGCCGCAAACAAACTGGGATAGACAAGTTCATACAGACCTACAAAGATCATTGTATACAGCGAAACCCTGTTTATCCGGACAGTAAGATATCAGTGAATTTGTCCAGATTTATAATTTTCTGGTTAAATGAATCATGGGTACAGAGCTATGTCACTTGTGATGCATGTTCCGTGTTCCCAACAGTAACTGTTCCAAAAGTGTGTTTTTCAGAGTCCACTGTAACAAGGGTTTGCTGTAGTTATTAGTATGGGCTTATGTACGAAATAAAAGGTTTAAGAAAATTTTGGGTAGAATCTTTGCAACAAGGTTTAAATCATCAAAATACATCACTGATTAGGAAATATGAAGTTGCCAGTTTTTTCTCGAACTATTGTGGTGGCCATCTTAGATTTCAAAACAACCACCATTTAAAATCCATTTGGTTATATTTCAAAATATGACTGTCTTCAATATTCTGACACATTGTCACATTACATCATGAATGAAAGGTCTATTTATGCCCATTCTATTAATATATAATAGTCTATATAGTGATCATCATATAACACCAGGTGTTTAAAAACAGGTGAGCATGGACTGCTGCCCTTCCGGTTGGACAAAGACAAGCTACAAACTGGCTCATTGTTCTAGGGATGACACATGCAAAAATCTCTTGAAATGATAAGTGATTGCATACAGATTCTGAGAGCATCTTTCCCCTGCATCATATGCTCTGCTGTCTCAAGGGAGAGGAAAAAGTTTAGAAAGGGTAGATGGCATCTTCCCGAGGCAAGAGAGTTAGCTGACTTTAAAAGTCCAGTTTCCACCCTTGCCGAACTAGGCTGGAATGACTGGGCTCGATCGTAGCGCCACCAGTGTCTTTTACCAGTTATGTCCCTTTTAAATCTCTCCTATGGACCAATCAGATTCCACCTCTCGTATCGCTTGCATTTGCGTCACACAAAATGGTTGCGCCCGGTCAGGACGATCTGATCGATAATAAAGATCTATATTGAGATAAAACGGTTCTTACATCGCGAAATGCATCTAATCACGGGAGCAACTTGATTAAAAACATGAGAAGATTTGGAAAATATCTGCTGCTAACGAGTTGGTGGTTCACATGCTTTGCAAATCCTGCAATCAACCGAAATCTGTATGACACTTTACGAACCAGTCAATTGGACTATGCATAGACTCGTTAGTCCAGCCAAAATGTAACTCCATAATACCAGCCTAGAAACTGGACTTTTATAGTCAGTTAACTCTCTTGCCTCGGGAAGATGGGTAGATTGATGACGGACGATCGAGACAAGAAGCTCACATGAACTCCGGAACCTACCTGGAACCACACTTTCTCCCCAAGGCATGAACTCTCAGGCCACTGTGGCTTGTAGTAGCGAGCGATGACGATACCGATGCTGGCAGCAAATATCCAGGCTAACACCATCAATGAGCCTGGAACAGGATGTGTTATTGCATGTTCAATAATGTGTTGACTGTGTGCTGAGTTTGTGCTGAGTATGTATAGATGCCTCTAGTACTGTTCACTTCACACACCATGTGCTCATCATGTAGTTATGAAGTATTCAGTGTTGGGAGATAAGTGTCTTGAGTGTTGGGGGATAAGTGTGTTGAGTGTGTGGAGATAAGTTTGTTTAGTGTGTGTAGATAAGTGTTTAGTGTGTGGAGATAAGTGTGTTAAGTGTGTGTAGATAAGTGTTGAGTGTGTGGAGATAAGTGTGTTGAGTGTGTGGAGATAAGTGTGTTGAGTGTGTGGAGATAAGTGTGTTCAGTATGTGGAGATAAGTGTGTATAGTTTGTGGAGATAAGTGTGTTGAGTCTGGGGAGATAAGTGTGTTGAGTGTGTGGAGATAAGTGTGTTGAGTGTGTGTAGATAAGTGTTGAGTGTGGGGAGATAAGTGTGCAGATGCCACTAGTCGTGTGCCTGCTACTCACCATGTGCCTTGACGAGTGTGAGTGGGATGGCACCAATGGTCAGCTCCTCAAACCTCTGAAAGTTGGCTGCTCTAGTTGTTACAAACGGAGTCTCATCATGTTTACTTATAGCGCTGGCTGTAAAACAAAGTTATATCACATAAAATATGCTTTATCACACAATACACATGCTTTATCACAGGTTTTTTGTTGTTGTTTGAAACCGCAGTTAGCAGTATTCCATGATCAAATTTGGAATAGACAATCCAGTGATTGATATCATGAGTATTGATCCCGTTAGTCGCATCTTACGACAAGCATGGGTTGATGAAGACATATTCTAACCTGGATCTTCCCAGGTCTATCACATAACACATGCTTCATCACATAATACACATGCTTTATTACATGATACACATGCTTTATCACTAGATACACATGCTTTATCACTAGATACACATGCTTCATCACATAAAACACATGCTTTATTACATGATACACATGCTTTATCACTAGATACACATGCTTTATTACATGATACACATGCTTTATTACATAATACACATGCTTTAATACATGATGCACATACTTTATCACTAGATACACATGCTTTATCACAAGATACTCATGCTTTATCACATGATACACATGCTTTATCACTAGATACACATGCTTTATCACATGATACACATGCTTTATTACATGATACACATGCTTTATCACATGATACACATGTTTTATCACATAATACACATGCTTTATCACATGATACACATGTTTTATCACATGATACACATGCTTCAGAATTTCATAAGAAAGTTTGTAAAGACGACATTGACGTCATATTTTGGGCGCATTCGTTTCCTGATTCAATTCAAATCTAGGTAACCAAGCTCTACATTGCCAATACAGTATATTCATCTCTTCAGCAAATCATGCTTGTCATAAGATTAGGAGGTAAGACTCACTGACTTGATTGATGCATGTCATCGTAACCCAATTGCATGGATTGATGTGCATGATGTCAATCACTGGATCGTCTGGACCAGACTTGATTATTTACAGACATGCATCATGCAGCTGGAAACCTACTGAGTGCTGTATCAAACCATAATAAAAAAAATTAAAAAAAATGTCCTAAATAACCCAATTCAAGCAATGATCACCTGAGAGAGCTGTACCCCTGGCAAGCAGCAGATATCTTTCTCTGACCAAGCTAAATAAAGTGTTGTCAAGGGTTCCCTGCTTGGTGAGGTTGAAAGAGCAGGAAAACACTCCATTAATGATTGAACCACTCAGTAGGCCTGCTTCAGTCTGGAACACCAACACAAAATTAATAATTTCATATCCAGAAAAAGGAGTAAACATAAAAAAAGTGCACTCTCATGTCTTGACAATGATCATATTAATTTTACTTCTTTCAACCAAGAACACGTGATAACCTATAGCAATACCCCCAAAACATTTGAAATTGTACCAACCCTTGAGATACCTTCAGCATTAACATAACTGGTCCTGGCTACCAGGCTATAGAGTGAGTGAGTTTAATACCACTGTCAGCAATATTCCAGCTATGTCATAGAGGCCTGTAAACAATTGAGTCTGGACCAGGTAAACCACAGACAGAAACACAGACAACTGTCCATCTCACCAGAGCATGAAAGCATGACCATCCAATGACATGGGGTCAGCCACATCCCAGAGCCTGATCACCCAATAAAATCAAGTCAACCTTTACACAAGCAGTAGAGTACTGGGACCTGTGTGCCCACACTGAGTTGGAACCAGTTTGTCACTTACAGTTGGAAGCTTGGAGTTGCTTCTGCCAGTGTTCTGGGAGTTGAAGACAGCCATCTGACCATTGAAGTTTACGCACTCTGTTACACCATCTGAACCCTGGAACAAAAGAAACCACTCCACTTAGCTTCTGAGACATGAGTGAGTGAGTGAGTATGGTTTTACGCCGCTTTTAGCAATATTCCAGCAATATCGCGGCAGGGGACACCAGAAATGGGCTTCACACATTGTACCCATGTCGGGAATCGAACCCGGGTCTTCGGCGTGACGAGCGAACGCTTTAACCACTAGGCTACCCGACCGCCCTTCTGAGACATGAAAAGCAGCAAAATAACCAAAACACTCAGTGGCAGATGGGGATACCTTTGACTTACTGACATACAGATGGTACAAGTTCATTGTGAAAGAACCAAAAAACAAGAACAGCTAGGGTTCTAAAAAACTAGGACATACAGTTCATGAATTCATGGAGATGGCTCCAAGGACACATGGACAAAGACATGATGGCTCAAGGGACAGTCATGGACTCATGGACACAAGGACACATTCATGGAATCATGGGCATGGCTCCAAGGACACATTCATGGAATCATGGACTCATGAACACAAGGACACATTCATGGAATCATGGGCATGGCTCCAAGGACACATTCATGGAATCATGGACATGGCTCCAAGGACACATTCATGGGCATGGCTCCAAGGACACATTCATGGAATCATGGGCATGGCTCCAAGGACACATTCATGGAATTATGGGCATGGCTCCAAGGACACATACATGGAATCATGGACATGGCTCCAAGGACACATTCATGGAATTGTGGACATGGCTCCAAAGAACACAGTCATGAACATGGCTCCACGGACACATTCATGGAATCATGGACATGGCTCCAAGGACATGTGCATGGACATGGCTTCAAGGACACATGGACAAAGACATCATGGCTCCAAAAACCCATTCATGGACATGGCTCCAAGAATTCCATCATGGCCATGGCTTCAAGGACACAGACATGAAATCATGGACATGGCTACAAGGACAAAGTTCTTGGACATAGTCCATGGACATGGCTCAAAAGCACACATGGACATAGTTTATTGACTAAGACATGATTTCATGGTCATTACAAGCAACTGGAAGCTCTCATAAAATCTCTTACATCATCCTCATCCCCATCAACTCGCAACTTTCCTTGCATGAGGAAACACTGGCTTACCATCTTCTGGTCGTCAGACAGACCTATAGCCATCCAGGCATTGCTTGCTCCGGGGAAGCTGGCCTTGATGAAGAACTTGACATGGTCGCTGCTGTCTTCCCAGCCGACCACGAAGGTGCAGCCTGTGCTGTCACAGTCATGGAAACAGCCTCGTGTGCTACGGCAAGAAGAATCTTTTGGAAAGCGTCCAGGTTCCGGAGCCTAGAGAGAAAAAAAAAATCATCTTAAGGTAACAACTATACTCCACAAATCATTCGTATGGGAGAGTGTCTTGGTTGCATTCATTAAATGGCAAGGTTTCAAAGAAATGACACTAATCTTTCACGATTTGTTGATTTGATATAATCTTGCTGATTTACATACTAAATATCAATTGTAAAGAAATTGCTTTTCAAATAAAAAAAAAAAAATGATTTCATCATATTCATACATTTCAAGGAGGCAAGAGACCCTGTTAAGCACTACAATTCACTGAGGAAATAAGCATCTTTGCTCAGATTTGCTCCAATAATAACGACCCGTGAAGATCCGGGGTAGAATGGATCTTCAGCAACCCATGCTTGCCGTAAAAGGTGACTATGCTTGTCGTAAAAGGCGACTAACGGGATCGGGTGGACAGGCTTGCTGACTTGCTTGATGCATGTCATCGATCCCAATTGCGTGGATCGATGTTCATGATATTAATCACTGGATTGTCTGGTCCAGACTCGATTATTTACAGACCACCGTCATATAGCTGGAATATTGCTGAGTGCGGCGTTAAACAACAAACAAACCAAACCAAACCCAATAATAACGCTTGTTTATCATTACCATGCTCATGGGTTTCACTGCAACATCAAATTACCCACATTCAGGTTACACTCCAAAGGTTACAACAATACCATTGCAGTGTAAACAACTCATTAACTCACTAACTTACACATCAATATCATGTCAATGTATACCTGAAACTCCAATGCAGAGATGACAACCCTTATTGCATTCTCATTAAAATCAGATCTTAGTTCTCCCTAATGCTCAAAAAAGATCTGAAGACATCCCATTACGGGTCACGTCAGAACGACCTTTCATCCAACCAATCAGAGCGTCGCTTACCAGATGATGAAAGTGACAGTCGGAATGTGTTTTCTAATCATGCATCATTGAAAATGTTAACACAGGGTATTCCAACCGACTTATGGCCCGTATGACTGATTCCATCAAAATTATCGTCTATCTCTCGCTTCCGTGGGTGAAACATTAGAATGGTAGAGGCGTTGCACAGTATGTGGGAAGCACTGCCATACAATTGCAACCATATATTAGACATTCTGGTATGTTCGTTTGTTCAGTTTTCAAAATTTTAATTGAGAACTGTGTTAACATATTTTTCAAGTGTAGTCTGAATTGGAAGTCGCCTGGTTGAAAAGAGTGCCATAAAGCTCAAGAAAGCTGTTTTCTAATTTGACTTCTTGTTAGTCGTTTCAGTGGGAGGACAATGTTCGTGACGTGACCTGTAATTGGATGTCCTCAGATCTTTGTTTAGTGGCAGCGAGAACTTAGGTTTTGTAAGAAGCTGGAAACCTTTGTTAAGGCATGTTTTCATTTAGAATGAGAAATGCATAGTATGAAATAGGATAAGTTTAAAACATTGGTAATTTGGGGAAGGAAAATTGTTATAGCATAATATTTAATATAGGCTCAAAATCATAATTAGTACACCAAAATCGTAATGCACTCAGCAATATTCCAGCTATGTGATGGTGATCTGTAAATAATTGATTCTGGACCAGACAATCCGGTGATTGATATCATGAGCATCGATCCACACAATTGGGATCGATGACATGCATCAAGCAAGTCAGCGAGCCTTACCACCCAATCCCATTAGTCGCCTCTTACGACAAGCATAGTCGTCTTTTACGGGAAGCATGGGTTGCTGAAGACTTATTCTACACCGGATCTTCACGGGTCAGAAGCATCTCTGTGTTACCCTCTCACATCAGCCAGCTACCTTGATGTCATTCCCACATAAAACACAAGCTGACATTCTATTCTCCAAACATATTTGCAAAATTATGATTTTGATTCATTTAAATTTCATAATTATTTTGATGACATTACCAGTTTCGATGGTCTTTGATGAACATGACATGTGCATGTTGTTGACCTCTTGACAAAAGTCCTGTCATTTCACAAAATCATACACTGCCTAACACTATCTGTAAAGTAAAACTTTCACTTGATTTTATTCATTTACAATAACTGAAAACGTGGCTTCTTTTATCAGAATATGACTTCTGATTTTGGTTCAAATCCAGTGGTAGCTACCAAAAGTAGGGTATGTGATATGGATCCCAGTGTTGAGGCCTCTACCTTTGTTGTGGGAGGTGCCGGTGTTGTGGAGGCACATGATGACGCATCTAACACCGAGGAGGGGACACCAGGATAGTTTGGGGGAGGGTTGGTCAGGGATTCGTCACGAATCACCACAGATGTCTGTTGAACCCAGTAGGTGGAAAAGCTCTCAACAAATGTTGTTCTGAAAAGAAAATGGTCAAGATTGCAGTATACTGGATACTTTCCAGCATTTTGGTGAGGGGTATGCACAAGCTTCTTCGTAAGTTGTTCAGTCACTATTTTCAGCCATCTTATGGGGGACTTGCTTGTCATTTTCAGATACCAAAGTTAATGAAAAGTGATACATATCTTTGTTCATGAGGTTGCCTCACAAATTATGGAACTGCCATTTTCAAGACATTTTTCGATAAAGATAACATATTTTATCAGTGGCAAGTGTAGAAAAGCACTTCCTGAAAACATATGCTGAGCCCCCAATGAAACGTCCTCTTATTAAGTCTTTCAAAAACAAAATAGTGGGGAATGCGGAATTGTCTGGATCCTGTCTTTGACATTGCACTGTGGCTTCGTCAGCCTTTAGCATCATGAACCAAAATAAATTACATGTACAGATATTTTTTAAGTTTCTTTGTTTATCTGTTTATATTGATATCAGTCTTGAATTTTCTGTATGAGATGATGTTGTAGAACCCGGAGAGACATAATGAGCAGAAAGTAAACACGTAAAAAGGGACGTAACACTATCGCATTAAATTTCATCTGTTTTCAAGGGTTACCAGTGCCATCCCGATGATGTTTTAAAGTATTGGCGAACGGAGAAATTCCCATTTCCAACTATCCTGTTCTGAACTGGCCATGAGCGCACTGGAGTTTGACACAGGCCATGGAAGCACACACTGATTAGCACCTCCACTATAAATTGTAGATAAATGGCTAATTGGTGCCCACGACCTCTATGTATCATGTGTATAGTCTCCCTGGTTTTATCAAGTCATTGTAGGTGGATGGGATGAGTGCCTTGATCTAGAGCCTGTGCTGGGGGATTTGGTCTGCTTCTGCTGGTTTCCATTTGGTGCCTCGTCACGATATGGCTGAAATATTGCCGATGTGACGTAAAGCATTAACTCACTCACTCCATTTGGTGCAGTCATGGAGATTGTTTGACAGGATTTGTACTTTGTCCAACATGATATGTGATTACAGCAGTTGGTGAGGTGGTCTGAATGGCTGGTTTTCGGACTGACTTGGTGGTAGATGTTTCATGTTCTTTCACTTTACCCTTCGACCATGTTGACATAAATTCTCCAGGACCATAGAGGAAACTTGTTGATATACCTTGGCTGTTTGAGTGTGTGACCTGGCTGTGTGAGTGTGTGACCTGGCTGTGTGATCTGGCTGTGTGAGTGTGTGACCTGGCTGTTTGAGTGTGTGACCTGGCTGTGTGAGTGTGTGACCTGGCTGTTTGAGTGTGTGACCTGGCTGTGTGAGTGTGTGACCTGGCTGTGTGAGTGTGTGACCTGGCTGTGTGAGTGTGTGACCTGGCTGTGTGATCTGGCTGTTTGAGTGTGTGACCTGGCTGTTTGAGTGTGTGACCTGGCTGTGTGAGTGTGTGACCTGGCTGTGTGATCTGGCTGTGTGAGTGTGTGACCTGGCTGTTTGAGTGTGTGACCTGGCTGTGTGAGTGTGTGACCTGGCTGTGTGATCTGGCTGTTTGAGTGTGTGACCTGGCTGTGTGAGTGTGTGACCTGGCTGTGTGAGTGTGTGACCTGGCTGTTTGAGTGTGTGACCTGGCTGTGTGAGTGTGTGACCTGGCTGTGTGATCTGGCTGTTTGAGTGTGTGACCTGGCTGTGTGAGTGTGTGACCTGGCTGTGTGAGTGTGTGACCTGGCTGTGTGATCTGGCTGTTTGAGTGTGTGACCTGGCTGTGTGAGTGTGTGACCTGGCTGTCTGAGTGTGTGACCTGGCTGTGTGACCTGGCTGTGTGATCTGGCTGTGTGAGTGTATGACCTGGTTGTGTGAGTGTGTGACCTGGCTGTGTGAATGTGTGACCTGGCTGTGTGAGTGTGTGACCTGGCTGTGTGAGTGTGTGATCTGGCTGTGTGAGTGTGTGACCTGGCTGTTTGAGTGTGTGACCTGGCTGTGTGAGTGAGTGACCTGGTTGTGTGAGTGTGTGATCTGGCTGTGTGAGTGTGTGACCTGGCTGTGTGAGTATGTGACCTGGCTGTGTGAGTGTGTGACCTGGCTATGTGATCTGACTGTGTGAGTGTGTGATCTGGCTGTATGACTATGTGATCTGACTGTGTGAGTGTGTGACCTGGCTATGTGATCTGACTGTGTGTGTGTGACCTGGCTGTGTGACCTGGCTATGTGATCTGACTGTGTGAGTGTGTGATCTGGCTGTATGAGTGTGTGTGACCTGGCTGTGTGAGTGTGTGACCTGGCTGTGTGAGTATGTGACCTGGCTGTGTGAGTGTGTGACCTGGCTATGTGATCTGACTGTGTGAGTGTGTGATCTGGCTGTATGACTATGTGATCTGACTGTGTGAGTGTGTGACCTGGCTATGTGATCTGACTGTGTGAGTGTGTGACCTGACTGTGTGATCTGACTGTGTGAGTGTGTGATCTGGCTGTATGAGTGTGTGTGACCTGGCTGTATGAGTGTGTGTGACCTGGCTGTGTGAGTATATGACCTGGCTGTGTGAGTGTGTGACCTGGCTCTGTGACCTGGCTGTGTGAGTGTGTGACCCGGCTGTGTAAGTGTGTGACCTGGCTGTGTGCGTGTGTGAGTGTGTGACCTGGTTGTGTGAGTGTGTGACCTGGCTGTGTTAGTGTGTGACCTGACTGTGTGAGTGTGTGACCTGGCTGTGTGAGTGTGTGACCTGGCTGTGTGAGTGTGTGACCCGGCTGTGTAAGTGTGTGACCCGGCTGTGTGAGTGTGTGACCTGGTTGTGTGAGTGTGTGACCTGACTGTGTGAGTGTGTGACCTGGCTATGTGACCTGGCTGTGTGAGTGTGTGACCTGGCTGTGTGAGTATATGACCTGGCTGTGTGAGTGTGTGACCTGGCTATGTGACCTGGCTGTGTGAGTGTGTGACCCGGCTATGTAAGTGTGTGACCTGGCTGTGTGAGTGTGTGAGTGTGTGACCTGGTTGTGTGAGTGTGTGACCTGGCTGTGTGAGTGTGTGACCTGACTGTGTGAGTGTGTGGCCTGGCTGTGTGCATGGTGTGAGTGTGTGACCTGGCTATGTGAGTGTGTGACCTGGCTGTGTGAGTGTGTGACCTGGCTGTGTGAGTGTGAGATATCCAAGCACTGAATCGTTTCCAAAACAATATGTGTCTGAGGCAGCAGTCAAATTGTAACAAATCCACCAAACTTTCCAGTCCACATTGATGAGAATGTTATACTTACACAAATACAATATCTCCTTGAGCTGAAGATGGGGCAGTCCAAGTGACTGTTATTGAACTTTTCAGATCATTGTTGACATGAGTAATGGATGGATTCTGAAAACAAACAGGTCACCATCAATAAATATTGTTTAATATCTCATTAAAATCAGATCTTAGTTCTCGCTATCACTCAACAAAGATCTGAGGACATCCCATAACAGGATCTGATCTTAATGAGACTGTCATTTTCAGGTTCTTAGTTGCATTGATTAGGGATACTGATCTATCTCATGAAAATATAAATGTTGCCATCTTGCAGATGCAGTTGAGAAGAAATTGTACATGTTGCAGTCTCTGAGATGTAAATGGAAATAAAATTATACACTACAGTCACTGGGATGTTAAATAAGAGTGAAGAATTGCAATATGCCACAGACAGAGACATAACAGATATCCTTCTGTAACATAAGTTTGATCAGCCATTTCTATCACCTACATTCTCGTTGTTATATGAGATTTTGCAGTACCTGCAGCTTTCATTGAGAGCGGCAGCCTTTCGCTTCGACTGGACAAAAAATGTAAGTTTAATCAAAATAATTATGAAATAATGTAATTTTAACCAAGGATTCCATAACTCCCTTTTTTCCACAAACAAAACACCGTAATATTAAAGAAATAAGCCATCGTAAATGTCAGAGAAAACGTTGTCTGCTTTGTTTACTATCTAGTCAATGGAGGTCACGTGACACAATACGTCACGCCCTCGCCAAATTAAAAATCTATGGAAGCTTCACTGGGCCATGTCTTATTTTGATATCAACGTAATTTTAAAGTTTTCTAGTCGACATGAACTTTTTATATTAAGGATTTTCAAGTGTATGCTAGTTATTTCAAAGAATGAATTTAATATATTAGGCCATCTTTGTTGGCGAACCAACAGGGAGAGGTCAGTATCGCCAATATGTGTCAAACGCACTAGATAAGGCATATGAAGCTGTTATTGATGGGATGGCTATAAGGAGAGCTTCTAAGAAAGTTTGTGTACCGTTTTCGACTTTACATGATCGGATTAGCGGGAAGGTGTCAGTTGACTGTGTAACAACTGGAAGGGAGCTTTCTTCTTTCACTTGAGGAAGAAAAGTTGTTAGTTGACCACATCAACATCATGGCTAATTTTGGATATGGGTACTCCAGGGCCGAGGTTACCGCTATGGCCACTGATCTGATTGCAATCCATCTTAGAAAAAGAAGTAAAGATGATCCACCTCTTTCTATGCAATGGGTTTACGGTTTTGTTTCAAAGTTGCATGGCGCAAAAGATGACGGCGATGAAACTAGTTCACTGACAGACGTTTCAACTTTCTTTCAAGACAAAGAAGATGTTTTAAGCAAGAACAGGGTGCCTACCAAGAAAAGAAACTTTCTCAGTGCCGTTGTAGAGTCTTCTATTTTGGATAAAATAGTTCACATCAGGCAAAGACATATGTGCCAAAGAGGAAAACTCAACCACCTAAAAGCTCCAAACCATTTCCGAAGACGAAGAAATGCATCCAGGCATCGCCCTGACTGTCAACAAGCAAAGTAGCGGATAATTCTCCTGTATCTATCAACAATAGAGATCTTTTGGATTGGTCTTCTGACAGCGACAGAAGGTCAGATAATGAAGTTTGTTGTGTTTGCAGCAAACGTGAGTTGCAGGCAATTGGCAACTGTTATTCAGAACTTTACACTAGCTGGGCTCAATGTACTCATCAAACCCATCAGCATTGGGTCAGCCTTCGTTATTGCACTTCCGTGCCTGTAGTTAGAAGAAACTCTGAATTCTGGTGTCCTTGTCATAACGAAAAAGAAGAGTAATATCCAGACTGTATCTTGTGTAAATATGTTATTTTTCATGTTTACTTCAATTTTTAACATTTGTGTGGGATTTTTTTTACATGACAAGAAAAACAATAAATCTAAATCGTGACATTGCGTGATGTACTGTGGCTCGGATAGCATTCCATACATTCCATTGTATGCGGGAGAGCAAGCCAACCAATCAGGTGACCAAACTTATGTGACATTGTTTCTAGGTCATGTTTGTTGACTTCAAAAATGGCGGGCGAAGTATCGATTGATCTGACAGTGGATTTCAATGGAACCTTGCCAAAATAGACGCTAATAAACAGTAATTAAGGTGAGCTTTTGTTTTCTTTATGTTTGCTTTGTTTCTGCTAGTACGGCGCGGGATTTCTTATGTGATCGAACTTTTGTTACACAAGGATACATTTACAGATGGATCAAGCTGGTCTGTAAATGTGGCCAGATCACACACTCACACAGCCAGGACACACAGCCAGATCACACACTCACACAGCAGGGGTACATGCTTACACAGGCAGGTCACACACACACACACAGCTAGCTCACACAGCCAGGTCACACACACACACATAGCCAGGTCACACACTCGCACAGCCAGAACACACAGCCAGATCACACACTCACACAGCAGGGGTACATGCTTACACAACCAGGTCACACACTCACACAGCTAGCTCACACAGCCAGGTCACACACAAACATAGCCAGGTCACACAGCCAGGTCACACACTCACACAGCAGGGTTACATGCTTACACAGCTAGCTAACTAAGCCAGGTCAGACACACACATAGCCAGGTCACACACTCACACAGCCAGGTCAAAAACTCACACAGCCAGGTCACACACTCACACAGCCAGGTCAAAAACTCACACAGCCAGGTCACACACTCACACAACCAGGTCACACACTCACACAGCCAGGTCACACAGTCAGATCACAGCCAGGTCACACACTCACACCGGGTTAGCCACCATTGGTCATATCCAACTAATCCGCATCTCAATTTGCACTAATGGTTCATGAAAAATGCTTATTCCCTCCACCATGTCTACATTTTCACTATTTGTCTCGAACTAACGTACAAGTAGACATGTCTACACCTGGGATTATGGGCTATTGTGACATCTTACAATGTATCCAATCATGCCCATTATTTCAATTAAATGTAAAAAATCAACTTACAGCTGGACACCATGTTTTAGCATTGCTGTCAGTTGCAGCAAACGTTCCTAATCCTGAAGATGTAGTAGGACCAGAAGCTAGTCTTGCCTGCAGGAGGAAGCCCTTGAACTGCCGCCCACACACACCTGCCAGTACCACTGTACAAACAAACAACGGAATGAGGTGATGCTGAACGTCCCTTAGAGACAGCTGAAGGCACTGATACAAAGGGACCCTTGAAGAAACCTGGCAGAATAGGTCTTCAGCAACCCATGCTTGCAGTAAAAGGTGACTATGTTTGTCGTAAAAGGCGACTAACGGGAAAGGGTGGTCAGGCTCGCTGACTTGGTTAATGCATGTCATTGATCCCAATTGCGTGGATCGATGCTCATAATATTAATTACTGCAGCGTTAAACAGCAAACCAACCAACTGATGCAATGGCTCTTGTGTAGTACAATTACCGTATTCGACGTAATAAGTGCCCCGCTCTAATAAGCGCCCATGGCGGTATTTGCTAATATATTGGCTAGTGAACAATCCTGTGTACACACTCGTGTGTCATATGCACCCTTAATTATGGGCAATTAAATTCTAGAAAATATATCTGTCATTTCAGGCTGTCAGCATAAATCACGAAATTTATCTTTCAACTCTGTTTTTTTCTCACCAAAATAATATTGAAATAAGAGCCCCCTATTTCTAATTTCGAGAGCGCCCTCGGCGCTTATTACGTCGAATACGGTATTTCCTGGTGTCCTTACACCCTTCATTTTGAAAGGATTACACCCAAAACGACACAAACATGTGGGCATGCATAAGAGAAAATTTCATAGTTTTAGCATAAAAATGGCAGAATATACCAATTAAATTGTGCACACTAGATGTGTATAGATATATGTAATGTACCACCACACCAAAATTAGTACACATACGACTGGTAAAACGGATATTTCACTTTGTTGTTCAATGATATAAATTCAACAATGCTGTTGTGTTGAAAATATCTCAGACAAATTACGTTGAATGGACTACGCTAAGGGCATCACACATTTTTCAAAATATCAGTTTGAATGCATTACACTTTTGAGTAATTACTTTCAGATACTTATTGTACATAATTGATTATAAAGATACAATCAGAGACCATATAATATAATCTATTATATGGTCTCTGATACAATCAAATTCATCCCCATGCAGTCTTGAGCCGTGAAAATCCGGGGTAGAATAAATCTTCAGCAAGCCATTCCTGCCATAAAAGGCAACCAATGTGGTCGGGTGGTCAAGCTCACTGACTTCCTAGTCTGGGTAGGAGATTCACTAGTCTGGATGGGAGATTCACTAGTCTGGATGGGAGATTCGATAGGTGATTCACTAGTCTGGATTGGAGATTCGCTAGTCTGGATAGGAGATTCACTAGTCTGGATTGGAGATTCGCTAGTCTGGATAGGTGATTCACTAGTCTGGATTGGAGATTCGCTAGTCTGGATAGGAGATTCACTAGTCTGGATGAGAGATTCACTAGTCTGGATGGGAGATTCACTAGTCTGGATAGGAGATTCACTAGTCTGGATGGGAGATTCACTAGTCTGGATGGGAGATTCACTAGTCTGGATAGGAGATTCGATAGGTGATTCACTAGTCTGGATTGGAGATTCGCTAGTCTGGATGGGAGATTCACTAGTCTGGATTGGAGATTCGCTAGTCTGGATAGGTGATTCACTAGTCTGGATTGGAGATTCGCTAGTCTGGATAGGAGATTCACTAGTCTGGATGAGAGATTCACTAGTCTGGATGGGAGATTCACTAGTCTGGATAGGAGATTCACTAGTCTGGATAGGAGATTCACTAGTCTGGGTGGGAGATTCACTAGTCTGGATGGGAGATTCACTAGTCTGGATGGGAGATTCACTAGTCTGGATGGGAGATTCACTAGTCTGGATGGGAGATTCACTAGTCTGGATGGGAGATTCACTAGTCTGGATAGGAGATTCACTAGTCTGGATAGGAGATTCACTAGTCTGGATGGGAGATTCACTAGTCTGGATGGGAGATTCACTAGTCTGGATAGGAGATTCACTAGTCTGGATAGGAGATTCACTAGTCTGGATGGGAGATTCACTAGTCTGGATGGGAGATTCACTAGTCTGGATGGGAGATTCACTAGTCTGGATAGGAGATTCACTAGTCTGGATGGGAGATTCACTAATCTGGATGGGAGATTCACTAGTCTGGACAGGAGATTCACTAGTCTGGATAGGAGATTCACTAGTCTGGATGGGAGATTCACTAGTCTGGATAGGAGATTCACTAGTCTGGGTAGGAGATTCACTAGTCTGGATGGGAGATTCACTAGTCTGGACAGGAGATTCACTAGTCTCGATTGGAGATTCACTAGTCTGGACAGGAGATTCACTAGTCCGGAGCTGAGATTCACTAGTCTGGATAGGTAATTCACTAGTCTGGACAGGAGATTCACTAGTCTGGATGGAAGATTCACTAGTCTGGATAGGAGATTCACTAGTCTGGAGCTGAGATTCACTAGTCTGGATAGGTAATTCACTAGTCTGGACAGAAGATTCACTAGTCTGGATGGAAGATTCACTAGTCTGGATAGGAGATTCACTAGTCTGGATAGGAGATTCACTAGTCTGGATTGGAGATTCACTAGTCTGGATAGGAGATTCACTAGTCTGGATGGGAGATTCGCTAGTCTGGATGGGAGATTCACTAGTCTGGATAGGAGATTCACTAGTCTGGATAGGAGATTCACTAGTCTGGATGGGAGATTCACTAGTCTGGATAGGAGATTCGATAGGAGATTCGCTAGTCTGGATGGGAGATTCACTTGTCTGGATGGGAGATTCACTAGTCTGGATGGGAGATTCACTAGTCTGGATAGGAGATTCACTAGTCTGGGTAGGAGATTCACTAGTCTGGATGGGAGATTCACTAGTCTGGATAGGAGATTCACTAGTCTGGATAGGAGATTCACTAGTCTGGATGGGAGATTCACTAGTCTGGATAGGTAATTCACTAGTCTGGATAGGTGATTCACTAGTCTGGATGGGAGATTCACTAGTCTGGACAGGAGATTCACTAGTCTGGATGGGAGATTCACTAGTCTGGATAGGAGGTTCACTAGTCTGGATAGGTGATTCACTAGCCTGGATAGGAGATTCAATAGTCTGGATGGGAGAATCACTAGTCTGGATAGGAGATTCACTAGTCTGGATCGGAGATTCACTAGTCTGGATAGGTGATTCACTAGTCTGGATAGGTGATTCACTAGTCTGGATAGGAGATTCACTAGTCTGGATAGGAGATTCACTAGTCTGGATGGGAGATTCACTAGTCTGGATGTGAGATTCACTAGTCTGGATGGGAGATTCACTAGTCTGGACAGAAGATTCACTAGTCTGGATAGAAGATTCACTAGTCTGGATAGGTGATTCACTAGTCTGGATGGGAGATTCACTAGTCTGGACAGAAGATTCACTAGTCTGGATAGGAGATTCACTAGTCTGGATAGGAGATTCACTAGTCTGGATTGGAGATTCACTAGTCTGGATAGGAGATTCAGTAGTCTGGATTGGAGATTCACTAGTCTGGATGGGAGATTCACTAGTCTGGATAGAAGATTCACTAGTCTGGATAGAAGATTCACTAGTCTGGATAGAAGATTCACTAGTCTGGATGAGAAATTCACTAGTCTGGATGGGAGATTCACTAGTCTGGACAGAAGATTCACCAGTCTGGATGAGAGATTCACTAGTCTGGATGGGAGATTGACTAGTCTGGATGAGAGATTCACTAGTCTGGATAGGAGATTCACTAGTCTGGATAGGAGGTTCACTAGTCTGGATGAGAGATTTACTAGTCTGGATAGAAGATTCACTAGTCTGGATAGAAGATTCACTAGTCTGGATAGAAGATTCACTAGTCTGGATAGAAGATTCACTAGTCTGGATAGAAGATTCACTAGTCTGGATGAGAGATTCACTAGTCTGGATAGGAGATTCACTAGTCTGGATGAGAGATTCACTAGCCTGGATAGGTGATTCACTAGTCTGGATGAGAGATTCACTAGTCTGGATAGGAGATTCACTAGTCTGGATAGGAGTTTCACTTGTCTGGATTGGAGATTCAATAGTCTGGAGCTGAGATTCACTAGTCTGGATAGGAGATTCACTAGTCTGGATGGGAGATTCACTAGTCTGGATAGGAGATTCACTAGTCTGGATGGGAGATTCGCTAGTCTGGATGGGAGATTCACTAGTCTGGATAGGAGATTCACTAGTCTGGATGGGAGATTCACTAGTCTGGATAGGTAATTCACTAGTCTGGATAGGTGATTCACTAGTCTGGATGGGAGATTCACTAGTCTGGACAGGAGATTCACTAGTCTGGATGGGAGATTCACTAGTCTGGATAGGAGGTTCACTAGTCTGGATGGGAGATTCGCTAGTCTGGATGGGAGATTCACTAGTCTGGATAGGAGATTCACTAGTCTGGATGGGAGATTCACTAGTCTGGATAGGTAATTCACTAGTCTGGATAGGTGATTCACTAGTCTGGATGGGAGATTCACTAGTCTGGACAGGAGATTCACTAGTCTGGATGGGAGATTCACTAGTCTGGATAGGAGGTTCACTAGTCTGGATAGGTGATTCACTAGCCTGGATAGGAGATTCAATAGTCTGGATGGGAGAATCACTAGTCTGGATAGGAGATTCACTAGTCTGGATCGGAGATTCACTAGTCTGGATAGGTGATTCACTAGTCTGGATAGGTGATTCACTAGTCTGGATAGGAGATTCACTAGTCTGGATGGGAGATTCACTAGTCTGGATGTGAGATTCACTAGTCTGGATGGGAGATTCACTAGTCTGGACAGAAGATTCACTAGTCTGGATAGAAGATTCACTAGTCTGGATAGGTGATTCACTAGTCTGGATGGGAGATTCACTAGTCTGGACAGAAGATTCACTAGTCTGGATAGGAGATTCACTAGTCTGGATAGGAGATTCACTAGTCTGGATAGGTGATTCACTAGTCTGGATAGGTGATTCACTAGTCTGGATTGGAGATTCACTAGTCTGGATAGGAGATTCAGTAGTCTGGATTGGAGATTCACTAGTCTGGATGGGAGATTCACTAGTCTGGATAGGAGATTCACTAGTCTGGATAGGAGATTCACTAGTCTGGATAGGTGATTCACTAGTCTGGATGAGAGATTCACTAGTCTGGATAGGAGATTCACTAGTCTGGATAGGAGGTTCACTAGTCTGGATGAGAGATTTACTAGTCTGGATAGAAGATTCACTAGTCTGGATAGAAGATTCACTAGTCTGGATAGAAGATTCACTAGTCTGGATAGAAGATTCACTAGTCTGGATAGAAGATTCACTAGTCTGGATGAGAGATTCACTAGTCTGGATAGGAGATTCACTAGTCTGGATGAGAGATTCACTAGCCTGGATAGGTGATTCACTAGTCTGGATGAGAGATTCACTAGTCTGGATAGGAGATTCACTAGTCTGGATAGGAGTTTCACTTGTCTGGATTGGAGATTCAATAGTCTGGAGCTGAGATTCACTAGTCTGGATGGGAGATTCACTAGTCTGGAGCTGAGATTCACTAGTCTGGATAGGTAATTCACTAGTCTGGATAGGTGATTCACTAGTCTGGATAGGAGATTCACTAGTCTGGATAGGAGATTCACTAGTCTGGATGGGAGATTCACTAGTCTGGACAGGAGATTCACTAGTCTGGATTGGAGATTCACTAGTCTGGATAGGAGATTCACTAGTCTGGATGGGAGATTCACTAGTCTGGATAGGAGCTTCACTAGTCTGGATAGGTGATTCACTAGCCTGGATAGGAGATTCAATAGTCTGGATGGGAGAATCACTAGTCTGGATGGGAGATTCAATAGTCTGGATAGGAGATTCACTAGTCTGGATGGGAGATTCAATAGTCTGGATGGGAGAATCACTAGTCTGGATAGGAGATTCACTAGTCTGGATGGGAGATTCAGTAGTCTGGATGGGAGATTCACTAGTCTGGATAGGAGATTCACTAGTCTGGATAGGAGATTCACTAGTCTGGATGGGAGATTCACTAGTCTGGATGGGAGATTCACTAGTCTGGATTGGAGATTCACTAGTCTGGATGGGAGATTCACTAGTCTGGATAGGAGATTCACTAGTCTGGATAGGAGATTCACTAGTCTGGATAGGAGATTCACTAGTCTGGATGGGAGATTCACTAGTCTGGATGGGAGATTCACTAGTCTGGATGGGAGATTCACTAGTCTGGATAGGAGGTTCACTAGTCTGGATAGGTGATTCACTAGTCTGGATAGGAGATTCGATAGGAGATTCGCTAGTCTGGATAGGAGATTCAGTAGTCTGGATTGGAGATTCACTAGTCTGGATGGGAGATTCACTAGTCTGGATAGGTGATTCACTAGTCTGGACAGGAGATTCACTAGTCTGGAGCTGAGATTCACCAGTGTAGATAGGAGATTCACTAGTCTGGATGGGAGATTCGCTAGTCTGGAATGGAGATTCACTAGTCTGGATAGGAGATTCGCTAGTCTAGAGTGGAGATTCACCAGTGTAGATAGGAGATTCTCTAGTCTGGACAGGAGATTAACTAGTCTGGATAGAAGATTATTGAGAGAAATCTCATCAGTACTAGGCAAAAGAATCTTGTTGCCATGCTAAACTACCAATCATACCTTTCCTTGGCTTGTCATTCAGAACATGATGTTTAACCAAACTAACACAGCTGCAGGATGAGTGTAATAAGATTATGCACACTCAGCAATTTAAAACAAAGAGTTGCAATGATGTGTTGAATAAAATAAGCTTTTTCAGGAATCGATGCATTCTGAACTTAGGAAGGTCAAATATTTCTGCTTATCTTGCTGTGTGACGATACACTCACCATTAATCTGATTGCCAGGGGTGTAGGAAGTAGAAGCCGGTTTTATTGTGAAGGGAGATGGAAAGGCTTGGGTACTTCCCCCATGTCCACTTGGTACCATACTGATACATGCCCCAACATTGGCACCCGATCGATTGCCTTTGACAGACGGAAGCAGCATTGCTGCAACACAAACCAGGAACAGTCCTCTCATGGTTGTTGTGGAAACTGTCAGACCTGAAAAATATAAGAGGCTGAACTTTATGAAGATGTTACTGTTACGTGTGGATCCACTAAACCGTTTCCATACATAACAAGGAGAGATCACATAACAATTTAAAAATAATTTATTACTGGCAGTCTAATCAAGATTCATATTATTTACAAACAGCAAAAGCAAGTAACAATCACAATAAAAACAGTCTTTCTTTATGATGAAAAATCACATCATTTCCAAACAAGATCCAGTGAATGTTTCGTGTAATCCATAATACACCATAGTTCACAAATTGCCGACATGGCATACACAATTAAAGTTTAAAATCTTGCCGACATGGCATGTCAGTTAACACCTCCAACCCGACCTGGGAACTGACCACTTTGTCTACCTGTTGAGCAATAGCCAAGCCACAATTGCATAACATCAGCCTTAACTTGGCTGTGAGCTTACCAGGGCTTACATATAGACAATGTGAAGTGAAGTGTGTAATTGGTCAGTGTTGATCACTGGCAATCTGTACACAAGCAACATAATATATGAAAAGGTAGGAATATACACAGAGAGAGAGAGAGAGAGAGAATAATGTTTATTATAGTGTCACATGTTATATACACTTCATACTAAAACACGTACATGAACAGTAAAATATAACATCCGACCAGGTATGGCCTACGAGACACTAGACATAAAAGCAAATTATAACGTCATGATCTGGGTAAGGTAAAATAAGACATATACTAACACAATGTTTAAAATTAAGGTTGGGTTATGAACACGCACGCACGCACGCACACTCACACTCACACGCCAAATTACTTATTAAGTCACGCACACGATCATACACAACAAAGTGATGATAACAAAGTACATTTAATATATTCTACATATACGTATAGAAAATATACATGTATAATGGATTCTCATAACATTACCAAACATGTAAACATCACAGCACTGGGAGAGCACAGGGCTGTAGGGTATACAGTCAAGTCCCTTTATTCCGACATTGTTGGTTGCATATGATTATGTCGGATTATAACGAGTATGTCGGATAAACAAAATTAGGTAGTATAAACTTCGTGATCGAAAATTGGACAACTACACGGTAGAAAACAATACAAACATGTAGAAAAATGAAAAATGAAATATTCATATTGTTGTGTTACATTGTCAGCGGAATATGTTTTCTAATCATGCAACCACAAAAGGTTAACACAAAACTGCTGTTACGGACTGTATGACTGATTCAAAATTGACTGATTTTTAAAGCATAGTCTGGAATGGAATTCACTAATTTGAAACTAGTGCCGCAATGCTTAAGAAAGCTGCTGTCTTAGTGGCTAATGTCGACTTCCTGTAAGTAATTTCATTGGTCGGTCAAAGTTCGCGAAAGGTCGTTCTGACGTGACCTGTAATGGGTCTAAATAGCCCTGATTAAATCGGTTCCCATCATTTGTGTCGGATAAAAACGATTGTCCGATAAACGAGTGTCGGATTAACGAGAATTGACTGTACATAGTTGCCCTTGAACTCAGCAACTCATGTTTCTCATAACCTATGCCACCATGGGGATTCCGGGCTAGATTAGGTCCTCTGTAACCAAGCTATGCAAAGATGAGGTGGTCAGGCTTGGTGACTTGGTTGATAGCGTGTTATCGTACCCGTCAATGTGAATTGTTCGTTGCTCACACTATTGACCACTGGATTGTGTGGTCCAGAATCGATTATTTACAGGCTGCTGTCGCATAGCTGAAATAGTGTTGTGTGGGGGGTTATACAACAAACCAAAAAAACCAAACAAACAACCCAAGAGGTGACTCAAGTCCTCTGAGTTGGGTGAGGTAAAATCGGGTTTATCATCGTGTTCAAGACTATTACACTTATATAGCAATGTGCATCCACATGTGTGTGTTTGGCTGCTTGTACTAGTCCGGACTTATGCCTATTTTATAGTGCTAGCTGACTGAGACACCATGCTGCTGTTAAACACGATTACCCACTGACTCTGAGCCGACCTGAGTCTTTGTCCTCTACCACTAGACCATGGAGGCAGTCCTGATGTCCACTGAACCTTACAAACTCTTTGAAGGTCTCGGACCCATTGCTCAAAACAGTTTTAAAAGAATATTTTTTCCATATCAGTAACCATGGTAACAAGCAAAATATGATGTTGTCATATTCATTATTTCAAAGCTGAACCAATTGTATAGAATAAGCTTGTGGGTACTGATGTGTCATGTTTTATACATGGGAGGTTGGCATTGTCGTGGTATCATGTGCATGACACTCAGTGCTGTGTATCAGTGATAAGCATGTTAACAGTCATCAGTACAATAACTTGCTGGAGAGAACACCTGTGAAAGAGCCATCTGTTTATTTTATGGCGCCAGGTGATGGCTGCACATGGAGAGTGGGTTGTAAATTGCGATCAGTCAACAATCAGAGCCTACTGCGCATAACTTTATTGTACTGTTATCATCACAAGAACAATGAACATGGAGCCAACTGATATGGAAAACAAAATGATGAAGCTGTTGATATCCCTCATCCTTTTAAATATGTGCATAAACTCACCAAAATGGTTTAATCCTAACCTACAACTGACAATATGATTGATGACAAAACCAAATGTGTTTATAAGCCTGGGTGAGTGAGTATGGTTTTACGCCGCTTTTAGCAATATTCCAGCAATTTAACGGCGGGGGACACCAGAAATTGGCTTCACACATTGTACCCATGTCGGGAATGGAACCTGGATCTTCGGTGTGACGAGCGAACGCTTTAACCACTAGGCTACCCGACCGACCCCGTCTATACTGCCCATGATGTGAATCAGTAATGGTATATTCAATAGACAGAGCTTTTGATTTCATTAATATTTTTTTCAAAACTCTAAATAATAATTCCTTAACGAAACAGCAAACAAATAGTGCCATGGCATTGTAGCTCACCTGAATATTAAGTCACCAGTCTAAAATGTCAACAGACAGGAACTTACCATGTTAACAATGTGTCACATATTTCCTGCATATGTACACCATGTAAGGAGGATAAAAGTATAAATAAATATGACACAAGTAACAAACTATCCACAATGTTTCTAAACCAGCAAGAATGTTAGGGTTGTCACGATAAATCGAAATAACAATATATTGCTATTGGTAAGCACTTAAAGTCAATAAATCAATTGTTAAATCAGTTTGCGATCAATAGTATCAATTTCAGTTAGGAATAGAGATAGTTTCGATTGCATTTACAATATCAATAAAATACATGCAATGCTGTTCAAAATATGTTTTCTTTTGATAATGAGTGGTAGTAATTTACACATAGTAATGTGGAGGTTTCTTGTTCCTAAATTATTAGGGTAAAGAAAAAACAAATCAGTCATATCTCAAACTCTATGTTTTATTTGTTGTTATTGTTATCACATTCAAAGGAAACTTCAGTTCCAAGGTTTAATTCAACAGTTACTCTAAAATCCATCTGAAATGATACACTGATAACTATTGATATTGATCTCAATAGTTGCTTGCAATATGAATAGTTAACGCAAAAGTGATTTCCAGACCAATAGTCACCCCTACTAAATGTACTATTGTAGAACATTGTTGCAATACACAGCAGTTGTATAAACAGTTTCAACACTGAACTTGGTATACACCTCTTAAAGGCCACGATCTCAGTGTCATCGTTTGCATTTGCGTTTGTGTTTGTATCTGCGATTTTGTAGAAAACTCATATTTGCATTTATGTTTGTGATTTTTAATAACATGTGACTGAATTCAAAATAGCATCACTTAATATGGTGATGGTGCTGAAAGAAGAGGTAGAAGAAGGAGAGATATCTCATTGGTTGGTTTGTGGTTTAACGCCGCACTCAGCAATATTCCAGCTAGATGACGGCGGTCTGTAAATAACCGAGTCTGGACCAGACAATCCAGTGATTAATATCATGAGCATCGATCCACGCAATTGGGATCAATGACATGCATCAACCAAGTCAGCGAGCCTGACCACCTGATCCCGTTAGTCGCCTTTTACGACAAGCATAGTCACCTTTTACGGCAAGCATGGGTTGCTGAAGATCTATTCTACCCAGGATCTTCACCTATTATTGTTGCTAACAGCTGGTAAAAGGCAACATCCAGCTCTCTTTGTTTTGTAGTACAGAGCAGGACTACTTTTAACCAACTGCAAGAAAGCTTCCATGTCCACAGCTGCTGAATCATCCTGACAAGTTTTGTTAATGTGGCGCCATTTAAAAGTATGGTCTCTTACATGTGCTTTAAAAACTGCAAGGTGTATCCAAGTCACATGTATCCAAACATTTTGTATATTTAGATTTCACTGCTGCGATATATAACATAATATAAGGTGATGGAATTTAAAAGCCCCCCTGTTTGATAAAATCACAACTCAGAACCGGCACAAAAAACTTTCACCTTGACGATGTAAGTGAGTTTAACATGACATGATATCCCTTGATGCTTACAGTTGCAATTGCAGACCCTATTCGCTAACGCAACGCAAAAATCGTGACAGTGAGTTTTGGCCCAAAGGAGAATAAGTTTCGAGTGCCAAAGAATTTTCCAATTGTTTCACAAAAGACACAGGATATTACAAATGAATTTAACAAACTATCATGTCATCATGCGAAGAGTGAGTGAGTGAGTGAATATGGTTTTACGCCGCTTTTAGCAATATCACGGCGGGGGACACCAGAAATGGGCTTCACATATTGTACCCATGTCGGGAATCGAATATCACGCGAAGAACCATACATGCTGAAGTTCAGCTTCCTCAGTTTGGACACCTGTGAAGATCTGAGCTAGAATTGGTCTTCAGCAACCCATAAAAGTTGTAAGAGCCGACCAATGGGACCGGGTGGTCAGGCGCACAGATTTGATATGATTGATGCATGTCATCGTAACCCAACTGTGTAGATCGATGCTCATGATGTCAATCATTTATATTGTCTGGTCTTTACAAACCACTGTCATATAGTTGGATTATT